GCGAAGCCTCGAAACGACGAAGCCTCGAAGCAGCGGAGCCTCGAAACAGCGAAGCCTCGAAACAGCGAAGCCCCGAAGCCTCGAACAAGCAGCGAAGCCTCAAACAAGCAGCGAATCCTCGACCAAGCAGCGAAGCCTCGAGCAAGCAGCGAAGCCTCGAACAAGCAGCGAAGCCCCGAAGCCCCAAAGCAGCGAAGCCCCCCGAAGCAGCGAAGCCCCCCGAAGCAGCGAAGCCCCGAAGGGCGAAGCCCCGGAGCGGCGAACTCTCGAAGCAGCGAACGGAACCCGCGGAGCAGCGAAGCCCCGAAGCAGCCAGCGAAGCCTCGAAGCGGCGAAGCCTCGAAACAGCGAAGGAAGCCTCGACGCAGCGAAGCCTCGAAGCAACAGACCCTCGAAGCAGCGAAGGCTCCAGGCCCCGAAGCAACGAAGCCCCGAAGCAGCGAAGCCTCGGAGCAGCGGAGCCCCGAAGCAGCGAAGCCCCGAAGCAACGAAGCCCCGAAGCCCCGAAATAGCGAAGCCCCGAAGCCCCGAAGCAGCGAAGACCCGAAACAGCGAAGCCCCGAAGCCGCGAGGCGGGGCAGCAGTTTGCGGGTCGGTACCTCCAAGCATGAGCCGGCGCCAGGTCGTGGCCAGAGGAAGCCCGCCAATCCTACCGGTGCCAGATGAGATCATGGCCAAACCGGTGCCAGATCAGGTCCAAGTCGAAAACAAAGAGCGGAGACGAAAAACGAAAAGAAAGAATAGAAACGAAAAACGCAAACAAAGAATGAAAACAAAACGAAAACAAAGACTAGAAACGAAAAACAACAACAACGAAATGCAGACAAAGTGCCCAAGCTTCTAAGCGGCGAAGCCTCGAAACGATGAGGCCTTGAAACGCCGAAGCGGCGAAGCCTCGAAGCGGCGAAGCCTCGAAATCTCGAAGCAGCGAAGCCTCGAAGCAGCCAGCGAACCCTCAAAGCGGCGAAGCCTCGAAGCAGCGCACCCTCGAAGCCGCAAAGCCTCGAAGCGGCAACGCCTCGAAGCAGCGAAGCCTCGAAGCAGCGAAGCCTCGAAGCAGCGAAACCCCGAAGCAGCGAAGCCCCGAAGCAGCGAAGCCTCGAAGCAGCGAAGCCAGCCTCGAAGCAGCGAAGCCTGCCAAGCCGCCCGGTGCCACATCATGGCCAAAGCAAGCCAAGCCGGTGCCAGATCATGGCCGACCTACCCGGCGCCAGATCATGGCCAAGCCGCCCGGTGCCGGGTCGCGGCAAGGCCGACACCAGATCATGGCCAAGCCGGTGCCAGATCATGGCAAGGCCCGTGCCAGGTCATGGCCAGGCCGGTGCCACGCCATGGCCAAGCCTGCCGGTGCCAGGTCGTGGCAAGGCCGGTCGGTGCCAGATCACGGCAAGGCCGGCGCTTCCTCAGGCAATGGCCAAGCCGGTTCCAGGTCCGGGGTGGCAAAGCCAAGCCGGCTCCGGGTCGTGGCCAAGCCGGAGCCGGCGCCAAGTCATGGCCAAGCCGGGGCCAGATCATCTCATGACAAAGCCAGGCCGGTGCCAGAACATGGCCTGGCCGCGCCCGCCGGCGCCAGGTCGTGGCCAAGCCGGTGCCAGATGAATCATGGCCAAGCCTGCCTGCCTGCCTGTGCCAGAGCATAGCCAAACCGGTGCGGGATCATGGCCATGCCTGCAAGTGCCAGGCCGCGGCCAAGGCGGTGCCACGTCGTGGCCACGCCGGTGCCGGACCCTGGCCACGCCGGTGTCGGGCCCTGGCCACGCCGGTGCCCGACCATGCCCGCCCCCCGCCGCCAGATCGCGGCCCCGCCGGCGCCAGCATGCAAGATGACGGCAGCGGGCAACCTGCCCGCCGCGCCGGCCGGCGCCGGATCGATCGCGCCAAAGCCGTTCTGGCGCTTTGAAAATCGCCGGCAGATGGGCCTGCCTGTGCTGAAGCGCCGACAACGATTCTCCACAGAGAGACGCTGAGTGCTACTATTCATCTAGCGGAATACTATTAAGTCTGCAGGTTACTGAACACGGGAAGCGGGAGAAGGCTAGTGTCTGCATGAATAAACGAAATAAAGCTTCTACAGTCTCTACAATAACGCGCATCAAGAGGAAACACTGATAAAAGTACAAAGTGACAGCATGATGGTCGAAATGATGAAAGGAACCTAAATACAAAATTTAGAAAGACAAAGAGGATAGCAATGATACAATACAAGGATGCGATTACGAACGTTGAAGCAAAATCTTGGAACTCGCATGCATAAATTTGCGACCAAAGTCAAGGCGTGCGTCATTGCTTCACAGGACATCCTCAGGGTCCGCTCGCGCTAGTCGTTGTCCACAACAATTTATACTTGACAGTCGTTCTATATGCAGCGATATCGTCCGTTTGCTAAGTTAATAAACTTAATGACCGGATGAAGATTCTTAATGTACATGTAGTTTCTGGTCGTCTAAAGCAAAACTCACACACTCTCGAGGATTTTCGCTTTTTTCTGCTCAAATTCGGCTTCCGTAATCAACCCCTGGAACTTCATTTCTGTCAACTGCTTGATCCTGTCCACTGCTTTGCCCTGACCGGCCGCAGTACTTCCACCTTGCTGCGCGTTCAGAAACGCCTGCTCGCGCTTCCACATCAACCCGTAACCCAGCCCATTTTTCATTTTCACTTCGGTCGGGTTCGGATTCGATGCCGAGATCTCCGTTTGCAGGTAGCTCCCCCAACCGTCGATGATGAAGATGCGATTGGGCCACGATTGCGCGCGCGAAAATTGGATCAGCTGCTCCGTCTGAGCCGCAGCAGCGCCCTGCCCTCCACCGCCGTACATACTGTATTTTAAGCCGGACACCATGACTTTTTGGAAAGCGACGTTCTTCTGGTACCCGTTATTCTGCGCGTGTCCGGGCATGGAAAGGGGAACCACCTGCCACTCCCCCTGCAGGGCGGCTTTGATGATTTCGTACTCGTCCGGGTGCATCACCACCGCGTCCCGGGGCAAAGTGCTGTTAGGGATCGAGGGTCCCATCAGGCACTGGAGCAAACACGGCAGGCGCACCTCGATTTTCGGGGCAGGGTCCCCGGGCTCTTCGCCAACGCCAACCAAAAACGTCATATGGTCAAGCTTGCGCAGAACTCGTCTGGGCTTGTTCGCGTTCGGCCCGACCACAGGCCTTCTCGAGGCGTCAGCAGTACCTGAAGGGACGACTTCGCGGTAGGCCGCACCACGATCGTCGTCATAAGAAGTTTCCATTTTTGCTGGTGCGTGTGTCGTACTAGTAGAGCAGCTGCACTCCGTTTTTTTTTATTTGTGATAAAGAAGTCGCTTCTGTCCCCGTTCAAAGTGCAAACACTACAAACACGATGACCTGGGGTCGTCGGTGATTCGTTGTCGTGGGTATCTAGCCGAAGGGGCTACTCATTGACTCTGTCGTAATGCTTCTAGTCCTACACTGTCACGAAAACGAATGCTATTGATAGTGCGTCGTAATAAAAACCATTTTCATTTTGCATTTTGGACGTTGGGGCGCATTTGTCGTCTGCCTCACGCACCTCCGAGCAACGGAAACCTAGAAGACTGCAGGGATTCTGCGACCGAACGACAAATTATCAGTCAAAAAATTCCATTTTGCTCACCAGTGGTAGCAAAATCGAGTCACCCCCGATCATCAAACAAAACGGACATCCAAGGAATCAAGTTGGTCAAATTGTTGGAATCAAGTTGGTAACCGGAATCAAGTTAAATGGAATCAAGTTGGACTCTGGAATCAAGTTGACTGGAATCAGGTTTGGTCCTAGAATCAAGTTGCGTGTCCCGTTTCCCGTTTCCGCGAGAAGCACTGCGCGGGCCCCGTTATCTCCTCCACCGCCAAACGTTATTCACCATGCACGCGCCAGCCTGTGCTTCGGGCCCCCCGCCTCCCTACCTTTACCGAAGGCTGGCCTGCCTTCCGACGGGCCATGCATGTTCCGGGGCCCCGGGGCGTAGATGTGACGAGGCCCCGGGACACAAAAGAAAAAACCCGGGGCCCCCGGCGCAAAAGCTGTAAGCACACGCGCACAGCCCCGGACAGCCGCAAACCTGCGCGCTCCGAAGCCGAATCCAAAACGCCTCGGCGAGCCCGGGCACAGAAAAACCCCGAACCACCCACGTCGCGCAGGAGGTGTCAATAAGCTCGGGCCATTCATCAATCTGGAGTCGATGGCGAAAGCTTCGCGCCAGCCAGGAAATAAACAACTCACACTCCCCCACGAGGCAATCAAGCAGCGGTCCTTCCGCCAGGGAGAGACCTACCAGAGGGCAAGGAAGGCGAAATGGCGGCCCCCGAGACACCTTCCGCAGGAAGGCAAAACGGAATCCCCCGAGACTGACACCATCCCCAGGAAGGCGAAATGGAAACGGAATCCCATGAGCAATGGGTCTCCCGAGAGGAGGCGAAGCGGGAATGTAACTCCGAGAGGGACGGATGGATCTTCCGAGGGAAGGCGAAATGAAGACGGAATTCCCAGAGACACACCCCTTCCGAGGGAAGGAGACACAAATGGAATCCCTCCCTGGAACTTCGCAAGGCGAAAGCCTCGAAAACTTTCGGCAAAGAGCCCTAAAACAAGACGGGCGCGCGAAGGTTAGCTATAACATTACTCGCCACGTCTCTACCGACCAGAGGAAGAAAAGCCAGACGCCTTTGATGAACGTGGCCGCCTTTCAAAAAAAATAGCGGAGAACTTTAGGCGCGAGGGTGTGGCAGCCACAAAACACAAAAAGCGCAGCAGATAGATTCTTCCAAGGGGAGGCATTGCGAGTCACCCCCGATCATCAAACAAAACATTACCTCCGAATTACAGCAAGTCCGACCGGAGAAATCACGACCGAGAAAGGATTTTGAAGATTTAGCAGTGCAGACAGAAGAGTCAACATTCGCCTTTCGCAAGGGCCCTGGCATCAAACCGAAAACGGTGGCGCCTTGAAGACGTAGATAGTACGTCGTGATAACGATAAGTAAACCGATCACGGGTCACCATTACAACAGCTGCGAGGTGGTAAGAAACAGAATCCACTTCCCATCGCCGAAAGCGTCACGACTTCGCTCCGTACAGTGGGTGAAGCTATGTTTGTTTCTTTGCTTCTCCTTAGTTTTGAAAAAGTTGTCGCGCAATTGCTTCTCTTCTTTCGAAAAATGATAGCCGATTGTTGCAGAAATCTTCTGGTTGACGGGAAAACGTGGCTTCGCCAGGCTTTCGCATGTGGAGGCATGGTAGAGAAGTCTTCAAAATTTGAAGGGGGAGCACAAAATTGTGGCATTTCCCACATGCATTATTTGTCCCCGGGAAAATTCGTGGATTATTTACACCATCTCTTCCTCCGATGCAGTAGATATGTTGTATATATGATGTATTGTTCATCTTGTTTGCGATATTATTCAAAAGAACTCATTAGACTTACTTATTTTGTCATTCGAGAATATTGATCCCGTGTAAATTCTTATTGGCCTTTCCTTATTCACTTTCGGTGAGAAACACGCGGCGATGCATGACAACGAACTTGAGAGAGCTTCTATTACGCTATCTTGTGGACAACTGTTACCTACCGCTCTTCCTTTTCCGTATGGAGTAGTAGAGCAGGTATGATTTTACACCACTAAGCTACTACCTAGTTGCCGCCCGGTAGCGTGGTCCTCTCAGGAAAATCTTTACTGGTACATCTGATCGATATAATCTTTCCAAATTTCCACCGCGACCGACCGCTTCAGCTTTAACGTGGGCGTGAACTCCTCTGTTTGGATAGAGAAATCCCTCGGGAGAATGCGGAAAAACTGCACCTTGCAGGCATTGGAGATGACGATCTTGGGTTCTTTGTTTACCGCATCCACGGCGCCCTGGATGTACTTCAATACCCGGTCATCCTTCATGGCCTGCGCCAAGGATGTGACCCCGGGGGCGATTTTCAGCGCCTCCCCGTCCAGTTCGTCCCCGCCCGGCAGCTCCCCCGTGGCGCCCTTGGTTTTCAGCGTGACAAGAATGACATTGTACTTTTTCTTGTCCCCGACCATCATCACATTGGAGATCGCGGTGTAATTCGACTTCAGCCAGTCCTCGATGGGGACAGGGGCGACGTTTTCACCCCAACTATGCATTGCAAATGCATCCGGGTCTGGAAGAGTGTACACTTGTGATGCGAGGAGGCCCTGTGAGTCACACCCACACGAAAATCTAATCTCTCTTGCATGAATCTCAATGAGGTTTGCCCATTTTCTTTGACCAAATTAAGCAGGAGTTTCTCATGCAGGATAGAACCGGCAGAGACCCTAAACACAGAATCTGTCATGCTAGGTGGCTAAGTCCTGCATTCAAGACCTCATGGAGCCGCATGGAAAACCTGCATGACGAACCTAGCAGATTTCCAGACCAAGACATGGTTGCATTTGATACCCGGCAGTGATAATCAATTCCTTGTATCGCCCCGTGATGCGGAAAAAACCTGGATTTTTGACCATATCTATCTTCCAAGAAATAACAGCAAACATCATGGAAATAAGGAGAACCTACCACCGCAATAAACAACAAGAAACACCTCTACTGCCGAATAGAAGCAAGTACAACAGCTTCGAATGAATTATACCGTCCTTATCCATGCAGGCCTTATCCCCGGACAGCATCCAGCCCCCAGGTACCAGCGCCTCCTTGTTCTTTTTCTTGACCTCGGCCATGTGCTCCTCCCCCAGATCTGGGTTTGCCAGGTACCCCATCATGATGTGCCGACCCCGAAAGCACAGCTCTCCCTGCTCCTGCTCGCTATCAAATGCAAATATGTCTGGGTCTGGGAGGAGTTAAACTTCTCATGCGCATTTCGCAACACACACAAACCTCTCATGCATAGGCAGCAAAAGTTGCCCATTCTCTGTCACGAAAATGGGGCATTTGTCATGCGCATTGGGCATTGCGGAACCTTATGAATGCCTGTGATGCTAAGGCCTCCATGCCACACCTTCTGAGGCATGCAAAAACAGCATGAGAAAAATCTGCACTCTTCCAGACCTAGACATATTTGCATTTGATACTCGCTCGGCGCGGACAAATCGGCGCAGGGTTTTATGGCGTTCTCAAATGTTACATTATCAACTGTTCTTACATGACTTGTCATGCAAATTTACTACCAAAATCGACACGGCCAAGCTGCTTCGCATGGCGAGTTCTCGAAGTGCCAAACAAGCTGCGAATCTGTACCAAACCTGTCATGCAAAATACGGAAGGCCACCCATTTCACTTTTGCCATTTTTGCATCGCAAATTCATGCAACAGCTGAGAATGTACTTAACAGTTGAGAACGCCATAGGTTTTACCCACTGCATCGGGTTCTTCGGGTCCATCGTGTTAAACACCCCCACTTCCACCCCCTGCGGAGCGTACCCGATGGTGCCCCACTTCACGGTGCGCAGGGTGTTCAGCGTGGTCGGCCCCGTGGACTCCGACATGCCGTACAGTTCCAAAATCATCAGGCCTGAGAAGTCGTGTGAGCAATTGTTTTCGTGCTGCTTTCGATCTGGCTCTGCGTACGAGACGAAAATTACACAAACTGGTTCTACTAAAGAAACCCCAGAAGATAAGGAAGTCGTGTCTACTTATCGCGTCCACCTTCTTTTTACTACTCAGTTCTGCCCAAGAAGAAAACTAGCACCTAGAACATTTTTTTGTACTTACCCAAACTCCCAAAGTAGTCCAAGGTCTCCATGGTAATCGGTGCCGCACCGGATATCAAGCATTGTGCCTGATCCAACCCTAATTTTTGCCGGACCTTGCCCATGACAAAGTTGGCCGGGGTGAAATTCGCCGGGTACTCGCCGTTTCCCTTCCCGAACTGTCGCATCCCCATGTGTTCGCTGTTTTTCGCCTTTGCCCAGGTGCTGATCGCCTTCATCGGGCCCGTCACAGTGGCTGCAACGGCTTTGAGCTTCTCCGCAATCTTTTCATACACGCGCGGCACGGCCACGAAGATCGTGGGCCGCACGGTCAGGAGGCGCGAGCCGATCGTGGACTCTTTCAAGTCATACGGCCGCGCGAAATAGATCGAGGTCGGCTGGCTGTTGGCCGTCTGAAAGTAGAAGTTGTTCTATAGTTTTTTTCATAATAAAGCTGAAATCCAAGCCCTCTCCGGCGCTGCGCTAGGAGCATTCCTGAGCTGTGCTGTCACCTGATACTTGACGCCCCGTACAAGCGGAGGACTGCAAAAGCCGCCTCGACGAGAGCATATTCTTTACTGACACACTGAATCATGTTCGTTACACCAGAGAAAAACTCAAACACAAGTGATCAGGCACATGATCAGCATAAGTAGGTAAAATTACAGCCCCGTTATCTTATACCAGCCACATCGGCAGCGCGATGTCGGCCAAGAAGCCGGTGACGTGTGGTAGCGGTAAGTAGGACAAAATTCGGTGTGGCGGGGTCAGGTCCTGCGTGACTGGCTTGAGGAAGATGGCACACGTGCTCCAGCTATTGTCCTGCGAAAGCATGACACCTTTTGGATTTCCCGTTGTCCCGCTCGTATATACCACGTTCATCGCGTGGCCGGGTCGGATCTGATGTAGCACCAAAGATATCATATTTTTCCCATTCGTAGTTTCATCAACTTAGAGAGACCGCACCTTTCCCTTTCTTTTTACCTTCATACAAATCAGAAGTAGCGAGCAATACTTGTTCTTCACAAACGGTAGAGAGCAATCAAGCTGCGTCACTAGTAGTTTACTAGAAGTGGTGTATCTGAATACAACTAGTACTCCGCATGATCAAAATCCGGCCTTCGAAAGTAGTACTCTACCTTGTTCATCCTCTGTTTGAGCTCTGCGTCTTGATTTTTCAGGGTTTTTGCCCACTTCATCATCGTGTCCCAACGCATATATTTGCAGCCCGCACCACTGGTTACTTCCTCAAATTTCGCTTCAGGATCAAACACTACCACCGCCTTCATACGTGGCAGCTGCGCAATGTTGTCCAAAACCATTTTCGCCTTCTCGCAGGTTTCCACTATTGCCACGGTGGCGCCGGCGCACTTGTTCTTGAAGATGCAGTGCTCGACCTGAAAATGCATTGCTCTTTGTCTATTTTTCAACTTCAATATGGGATTACGACGCTGGTACTAGTGCTACGGGCTTTGCAAATCGTAAAAAAAGCACACTGCAAAAACATGTAGCTCAACATGCAACGGCGTCAGACACAACGTCAACAGAAGGACGACGTTCTTGTGATGAATCAAGTATACCGTGTCACTTGGGTAGATCCCTGCTACTTTTCCGCCGGCAAGGATCGATCCTATTGCCGATAGGTGCCATTCCGGCGCGTTCACCCCAAAACAGGTTACGGACCCAAAATGCGCCATACCAAGCTCCATAAAAGCCTTCGCCGCGAGCTTGCTGTCTTCTATGAACTCCTTCCAAGTCCAACTGGTCCACTTTTCTGGCGGCAGCGAGAGTGCCCCTTGTCCGTCGTTTTTCGGGCAGGGCCTCTCCACGGATAGGCAGAGCACATTCGGCGACTTCGCTTCTATTCGGCCTATTATGTCTATGATCGTTTCCGCCGGGGCGGCTTGCAGCGACGCAGGGCCGGCCTTGGCTGGGTGGAGTTTAACCTGCAGGAAATTTTTATTTGAGTAAAGGTCGATCGATGCTTTTTTCCGAATGTCCAGTGTAAGTAAAGTACATGAAAGCAGGAGAACTTGGACTTCCACAACTTCCGATAAGTTGTGAATAAATTCGCATAATTTTTGCAGAAGTGAACGCGTCGCCCAATAGCAAAGTGTAATAGTACTTCCGCCGCCGGGTCCGCGGTGTAAACGATCTCTCCTTCCTCGAACACTGGCAACGTTTCTGCCGTGTTTTTTGGTGGCGCTTCTACGGGGAAGTTTGCCTTTTTTCCCAGCACCGCGGTCGACACCACCGCCCCGGCGACGGCCCCGGCCCCGACTTTCAACGTGAAGGGACTTACATTCAGCTGGTTCGCAATTTGCTCAACCCGGTTCACCGCCTGCTGGGCCTGACCCGCGGCCGCCCGCGGGTTGGGCGACGATGCCGCCGACATGCGGATACTACCGTGTTGGTGTTGTGCCACCTCAGAACCTCTAGGTCTTTTGTTGACTCCTTTTTGTTTTGATCTCGCAGAAGTTCAAGTGTGTTCCTTTTGCTTGACTACGCACTATGAAAACCCTCACGATACGACCGGTCGCGGGGGTACTGTGGCATGTTGCGTAAAATTTACGTGTCACCTCATAAGTATGAAAAGTAGCACTGAAAAAGCTGATGCGCTTTTATTTTCCTGGCAGGCTCTCAATGTATCGCTCGAAAAAAACCGGATCTTGTGCATCATCTCAAAAAAAGGCGAAAGCGTGGTCGCTCAGAAAAAACAGAGGACAGACTTTTCATACTCGACCACCAGGATCTTCTTGCTGTCGTAAGCTCGTTTTGCTTGGATGCTGAATATGAAAAAATGACACCGACATAAAGATGAGATCATGGGTGGCAGCTATACCGACAGAGCAACGAATTCCGGTATGTCGTTGCAAGACTAGCAAGCGGAGCAACTTCGCTTCACCTTCAGATGAATGTCTGCACGACTATCGAGACCGACACCGAGATGCTCATCTGAGTTGCATGTAACTACTGTTGCAGGAGTTGCAGGTCGTTGGTGTGACAGAAATCACACTGTAGCATTGTTCTGCTGCATTAGTGAACTCCTGCTCGTTCTCCGTGCAAAATTTTGAATAAGTACGTAAAAGCCAACACATCAATATCGATATGTTTTTCTCCCCAGCACAGGCACAGAAGCTGCAATCCTATCTTTGATCATTTTACGTCTCTACTTTTTCTTTCCCTTCTTCATATGCCAGTCCTTGTCTGGCACCACCAGCTCCGGGGGGACGTAGATACTGGGCCTGGTGTTAAAGATCGCTTTTTTCCGGATTACCGCCTCTACTTCCAATATCTCCGAAACGCAGTCAATGTTGCTCGGCTGTCGTATCTGCAAGTTTTTTGCCAGCGGTTTGGCCACGTTACTGATCGCGTTGTCGGCAGCTGTTGGATTGCTTACGCCGAAGTTTCCAAACTCGACCTTTTTACCACCAACATCCTCGTGATTCTTTATTTGCTGAAAGCTGGCCGCAAACTGCGACGTTGACGAAGCAGCTGCAGCTGCGGTAGCGCTGGTCTGCATCACCACATCCCCCGTACCCTCGTTCGGATTGCCACTACTACCACCGGGCAGCACCGACGGTCGTATTGCGGTGGACGTTCCCGCGCCGCTCGCGGCCGTGGTCAGATCGCCGACCAGGACTTCTTTTCCACCCGGCGGGCGCAGCAAGTACTCCTTTCTTCCGGTCTTTCTGACGATGAGCATGGGTTTTGGCAGGTGCTCGATTTTGCCGATCAAAGTGTTGGATCCCATCTGAATTTCCGCCTTCTTCAGGTCCTCCTTGACCCGAAACAGGCCCAGTTCCAGCCCCTGCCGGTTGTCGCCGTTCCGGGCCTTCAGCTCCTCTTTGGAAAGCTCGAAGGTGCCCTGCAGTTCGACCAGAAAACACTCGTCGATCTTGTTCTCCGGCCGCATGCGCAAGACAGCTGACATGATTTCTGAGTATGAGTTTGAATCTTGATACAAAAATTTCTGTGGGGGTTGAATCTGGTGCTAAGAGAAACCGCTTCCATGTGAATGTGATGTTCTTGCAGCAGTTTTGTTCTTTCTTCACTAGATTTTATCTTTATTTCGCTAGCCAATGAGGATTACTTTCAAACTCCAAGTTCAAAGCAGTGGACTCACATCATTGGTAAGTCTTGCAATTATGAAACGCCTATCGTGGTGTCGTAATAAATTTGCACCTCTACAACTGAGCTGAGTCTCATCTACGTACGTGTTTGCGCGCCGGTCTTCCCGCAGCGTCAGCAATATCAAATCCGCAGCTGCGCATTCTCCAGCTGTCCTTTTTTCAGAACACAAACACAATAAAGCGTCTGCGCTTACACCAATGTGCAGCAAAGCTGGACGGAGCATCAAGCCGCGGTCGATCTCGTTCTACTTATCGTCCATAAAAATACTGCTTTCAGTTCGTCCTCTTCATCATACACAACCTCCAAGGCAAATTTCTTGGCCTTGAAAGTTCATTCTGTCTTTGGCATCAATGACGCGCACCCGCAACGCAGATCACGCTGTTCCATTTTCTGTCCGCATCTTGCATTTGAATAATGCGTTTCGAGTCTCATCTTCTACGTTTTCTATATGTACGTTTTGTTCATCTTCATGCAGTTTCTGCTTATTATTTCCTTCTCATCATCAAGTTGATGTAGTCTTGGTAGCGAAAGAAAGGCACCGGCATACCATTTGAGTCCACCACCTGACTCAAGTGCACCACGCAGTCCTGATTTTGATTGTTTTCGTCAATGTCATGTTTGAGTATGCATGAAAACCATAGATGTGATCGATGTTATGCATTTATTATACAGGATGCAGTTAGTAGCAAAAGCAACTACGCGTAGTACCTCGAACTGCTTGAGCAACTGGTTTATTTCGGCTTGGTTGACGCCGCGCAGATAAACCTTCAGCGCCTCCTCGAGGTCTGTCATCTTGATCAACCTGTCATGTCGTTGGTTCAGTGTGAAAATATTTCTCAGATGTGTTTCTCATGCCGGTCTTCACGTAGAAGTAGAACATCATACTACCCATCAAACCATACCCGTTCGGCGCATTCCTTGCGAACGTCTTGAAGGCCGCTTGGATCTCGTCTGCCGTGTAGTCTAGCTCGAGGTCCTTGCAGAGGATCGCAATAAACTCGTCAATTTCAATTTCTCCGGACTGGTCGCTATCCAGCTCGTTGCACATCTCCTGCAGCTCCGCGTGGGTCATCTTCATACCTGGAGTTTTTGATGTAGAAGTGTGTGGGGCGATGGAGCCTTACCATGAGGACATAACGCCATCCATTTCCAGTTCGTTGCTGCATGCAAGAGTTGTAACAAGAACCCTACTCAAATCACAAGTAATCAGAAGTCCAGGATGTTAACAAGCCACACATTTATTTCTATCTATACCCACGCTTTCCACCAACTGCCCCAGTTCGTCGGTGGAGATCGCGCCGGATCCATCGCTGTCAACGAGGTTGAAGATCTCCTTAAACTCCCTGATATCCTCCTCACTCAGCTGGGCGCCCTTCTTCGGCTCCTCGCCCTTTGCGGGCGCGGAGGAGGACATTTTTCGCCTGTTCTGAAAACCGTGGTAGTCTATTAAGTAATTTAGCTGGTACTACTTCTAAGTGACGACGACAGCTGCGAGCGCAAGAGAGAATTGTATAAGTTTTGGAAACAATGGAGTCGATCGAAGCGGTATCGCAGCTTCTCGGATCGATGAATCAACGAGAAAGAAAAACTGAGTGGCACTGTCGCGCGTCGCCTCAAGCAGATTGATCACGCAACGTAGAGCCGCTTCGAAACAGCTGACGAGCCACATATACTCGTCACAGTCAATATGTTTCGCTCATTAATTTAAACAAGTGGAATACTCTCCACCCCTTTTCGCTCCTTGTCCGTGTGCTTGTCGACAACTCAGGCGGGCCAAATGATGCTCGGCGAGATAGCTGTAGTATTCGTGCCACACGGACCCCGAAGACCAAAGTCAAGGACCAGCCTGAATCATCTCACTCTTCCTGCTCGGCCAGAGCTTACCTGCAAAAATTCACAAAAAGTTGCTGTAGTCGTGCGGAGGAGCGACATGTAGAAAAGATGCGGAGTGCTGTGCTATTGCCTGACTGGGATCAAGCAGCCCAGCCCCGCTGGCCACAGCACCTCCAGGAACGTCACCCGCTGGCCCGTGCACCTGCAGTGCGTTTTTCAGCTCGTTGACGACCAGTTTCGCGAGCGAGCCAAACTCGGCCGTGGCTTGGGCAATGCGGGCCGACTCCAGGTCGGCGCGGACGTTTTCGAACGCGGCGATGCGTCCGGCGGAGCCGGGGCTGATTGTCGGAACGCTGGTCGCTGCGACTGCTGCGAAGCAAGTCGGGCACGGCATTGCGTAGTGCGTTCTGGTCCTCGTCTCGGGATAACACAAGGCGACCGTTTGCCGTCAATGTGTACGAAAGCGATCACTCGTGGCTTCGTAATAGTGTTGCTGCACTCGATCTACTGATGCCAAAGTGAAACACAGGCTGCTTGTTGTCTCTCTGCGGAAGTATCACCTCTGGGGAACACAGGGCACACAATGGCAGGAGAAGCAACGTTGGTCTCGCACACAAGGTGGCTGAACCAGTCAAGATCTTTGCTGAACGCGCAAACCCCAATCGCGCAAGCAGGGAAGCGCTAGGGCCGCGGCCGCCCATGCCACAATTGCTGTGTCTCTCCACGGAAAAACACAAATGGGGGCCGGCTGCATGAGAAGCCGACGAACAAACTGGCCGCGGCAATACTTGTAGAGGCAGGCGCCAACGGGATTGGTGGCCGCGCACATTACGACAACTGCGCGCCGGCCCATCCGGACAATAGGCGTCAAAACTGGCGGGCGGGGTACGCCCAGCGCTCTTAGCCACAGGTGCGAACATACCAAAAACGGTGGCCCGGCAGCCGTTCACGCTGCCCGTCGCGGTTCGAGACCACGACCGGGCCAAAGTCCGGAGCTGCTCTGTCAGGCTCCCCTCTCGCCCGGAAGTTGGACGGGGGGCAGCGCAGCTGGTACAAGTTCTCTACCCTGTCCCGCCCCGGGTCCGTCCGCGATTCGCATCAGGTGCGCCGACCAAAGCAGCACCGCGCCAATAAAATCGCCCGAGGCCTCCTCCAATATCTTGCGGAACCTGTCCGCGTTCGCTCCGCCATCGCAGCGGAGCTGCCCCCGGAAGGTTCGCCGCACCCCCCGGACGCCCTCGCGCGGCAGAGGCTTTCCCTGTGCCAGCGTCTCTGCTGCAGCGCGTAGGGACAGGAGTACCGCCGGGCGCCGGGAGGCGCGCGAGTCAACGGGGGGGGCCGGCTATGCGCGGCGCGCGACTCGGGAGCATGCCCGGCCGCATACGCACCACACCCCCGCGAGCAAAAGGAACTTATTAAGCGCGGGCGGACATGCGGGCGCCGATGCGCAACGCCGCCAGGTCCTTCTCGTTGACGAACCCGATGCCATCACTGGGGTCCAGCTCCAGGACTGCCGCGTCGGTTCGTACCTCCAGGAGGGCGAGGGGGGCCCGGACTGCCACCGCCATATTCCCGACCCACTCCGTCGGGCCGAAGTCTAACTTGCCCGCTATCAAAATGAAAAAGTCCCCCCCTCGATGACGGCGCCCCCTGCCGCGCTGATGCTTGCACCCCATGAGCTCGGCCAGAAGGACCGTCTCCGGAAAGCAGTAGCCGCGTACCTTTGGGCGAGCCCCACCGGCCACCGGTCCCTGCCACCAACTAGAGAAGCGCCGGGCGGAACCAGCGGCGAGCACAAGGGCCAGCGCACAACTGAAAGCACGCCGCGCCCAACAGTCCACAAGTGCCAGCGGGCTTCTGCCAGTCTCTCGCGTATGAAATACATGGACTCCAATGAGGTTCATGAGGTTGAGCAACAAAGTCCCTCAACATCTCTCTCTCAGCATTGATAACGGCTTCTCCTCGGTAGAGAACAAAACGAAATTTCGCAACGTTGTAACAGCCCGAGCAAGACACACAGTCGAAGCCGCCAGCTTTATTTTTCGAATGAGGCACGATGATCCTCGCAAGATGGCAGTAGAAACGCAACTTCTTTATTCTCAAGGGAAGTTCAGCAAATGCAGCAGCTTCATCAACAGCATCAGAAGATGCATGCTGCAAACAACGTTGCTCGTCCACCTTGCACCTTGCCGTGCACAGGAACATCAAAGCCTTCTGTTCAACACAACCACGACAACGAACCCAACCATACTCCTCAATCCCCTCCTCCTTCCCCGCCTCCGGTCGCACCCTCCGGCGGCCCAGGCGCCGGCCGACTCCCGGACGCGGCCGTGCCGGACCGCGACCCGCTCGTGCTGGAGGGCAGGTCGATGTGGTATTTTTGTCGCGGCGGCAGCCCCTTGTTCTCCCTCCATTTGTCGTATTGCCGCGTCCAGGCCTCGTACACGTGCCGCACGTTGGTGTCCCCCGTGTCGCGCAGGAAGTTGGCGGAGTTGGACAGGAATTCGTAGATTTCGTCCTTGTCGCCGAACGCGGTGACCGGGTTCAGCTCCTCTTGGAACTTGGCAAACAGTTCCGTGTCGCGGATCTGGTCCAGGCTGCCCACCCCCAGACTCGTCGCCAAGTGCACCGGCCGCTTCTGGGACGCGGTCGAGGGCCCGTTCTTCAAGTCCGCGGGCACGGGGTTGCGCACGCCGTCGCGGCGCCAGGGCCGGTCCCACCGGCTGTGCGAGGGGCCGCGGAGCAGCAAAGAGCTGTCCGCGCCGTCGAACTCGGTGGAGGCGTTGTCCTTGCCGTGCTTCTTCTTGCCCTTCTTGTTCACCATCTTGATCATACTGTGCTCCTCGCCGTCGGCGTCCTCGCCCTCGTCGCCCTCCTCGCCGCCGCCGCGCTCGGCGTGGGACACGTCGGGTAGCACCCCGAATTCGTCGTCGTCGTCGCTGCTGTATCGAATGCAAAAATGTCTGGGTCTGGAAGCTTGGAACTTGTAATGCTAGCTTTTCATACCTAGGCGATCTGTATTGCAAAACCAATAGAAGTCCCAGCCTCTTTTATACATGCAAGAACGCAGTTTCTCATGCGGATTGCCTATGAGAAAGTGTTCTGGAAAGTTGTCATGCTAGGTTGCATTCGAAACTGTTTCCATCATCCACATTTTAGCATCACAAGTCTCCCGACCCAGACATTTTTGCAATCCATATGCTGCCCTGGCCCCCGCCGCGTCCCCGCCTCCCTGCGCCGCCGCGCATGCTGCCCTGTATTTTGAAGAAAAACTCGCTACGTGTTGAAAAACAGGTCGAGATAGAAAAGAAGGGCACTGCAGTCCGAAATCAACTGCTGCAATACGGTTCAAAGTTCAAATGTCAATAAGTCAAGTACTTTCGCGCCCATCTGTTTGATGTCGTCTTCGCGTTTCCCGATCAGCTTCCGCAACTTGTTCCGGTAAGGGTTGAACTCGCGCTTGCGCATGGGCGACAAGGTATCCCACAGAAAAAAGCTGGCAGGGCATATTTGTAATGCAAAAATAAATAAGTACACAGGAAAGTCTGTCATGGGCGGCCTCATAGCATGCTATTTAGGATATGCAATGCAGTTTTTTTAATCTACTTATTTTTTCATTACAAATATGACCTGCAAGTTTTTTTCTGTGTGATACAAGGGCTCTGGCCGCATACTGTCGATCACGTCCTTCTGGATCTGGTCAATGCGCTCGCGACTCACGGTCATCGTCATGCACGTAGGATCACTGCCCGCAGCCGCCGCACGGAGCGAACGGTTTTCTGTTTTATGTATGCTATGACACATTCACACCTACCCTTCATGCTTTTGCTTCAGGCAGCTTCACGTTCACTCATGCGACAAGAATCTATCTCACAGCGTCATCGCTAAAACCCAAAAGAAATCACAAATTATACGTGGACTGGCGTCGTCCATGGCGGTCATGACGATGTGGTTGACCTCCGCGCCGGCCTTGGCATCCGGCTCCCGATTCCGAAACTTCACCAACTTCTCCAGTTGCGCGGACTTCATTCCTTCTTTGATCACGGTTTTCCTCCTTCTCCGCTGGACCTTCTCGCCCTCCTGCACCTCGCGCGTCATCTCCCCGCCGCCCGGGCGCACGCGGGAATTCTTCCGCTTCAGCGACGCTTTCGCATCGATGTTCTCGACGGTCTTTTTCTTCTTCAGCTCCCCCTCGTCCTTTTCACCGGGCTTCTTCTTGCGCGGACCTGCATAGAAGGATTTTAGAGTTGTAAAAGCAAAACTCAAAAAATAAAGCACCAGTTCATGATCAAGAGGAAAGTGCGAATCCCTGTCTGTATGAGGACGCGATAGAAGCAATCGAAGTGCAAGTAGAAATAAATGTCGTATTACATCGCATCAATTCAAGCGATTATCTAAAATATACTTTTCTTCTTTTTCGGACTCTTCTCCGCTTCCGCTTCCTGCGCCGCCCCTTCTGCTTCCCTGGCTGCCCTCTCCGCTTCCCGCATGGCCTCCTTGATGCGCTCTATTTCCTGCAACACCTTCTCCTTTTCCATGTCGATGGTGTAGCGTTCCAGCTTTTCGATCTTCGTTTTGTAGTCCATCAGCAGGTCCTCGATTTCCCTTCGGTCCCGGTCCCACATCTCCTCGATGGACTTGTTGCCGTCGCCGAAGGTCCAGAGCAGGATGTCGTCGATCCCCATCGCGCGGTGCGGCCGGGTCAGGAAGTAGCAGAAGGGGTCGACCTGGGAAATCCGCCCGCTGTAACCGGAACAGACCACGAGGGACTCCATGGAGGGGAAGGGAGAGGAAAGCAAGTTCACGTCGTCGAAGAACGGCTGCAGTTGCTGCTTCAGCCAGAAGAAGGACGCGTGCAGCGGCGTCGTTCCCCAGATCAAGACCATGCAACCCCCCGGGCGCAGCCCGATCATCGTGATGCGCAACGAGCGGCACAAGTTCCACAGCACGTAGCAGGGGAGTTCCGCGTGGGAGAGACCGAGCAACCCGGACTCCATGATCGTTTCGTCCTGTTGCATCAGATCTAACACGTTCTCGTTATCCTGTGCAAAAACGTCCCCACCCCATTATAGTTGCTATGCACATCTGCATTCTTAAAATATCTCTCATGCGGAGCCCTATGAGACGCATTTTCTCGTACTGTTTCGAAATTTGTGATGCGCAAATCTGAGCAATATGCTGAATCTGTGATGCTGCTGCACTAGCGAAACGGAATTAATATTACATTGCTACTAGCACAAAGCTGCCATGCGTAACAGCGAAAGTTTGTTGATTTGTCTTGCAGATTTCCCAACTTGACTATGGGGTGGGGACGTTTTCACACGGGATACTCGTTGTTCATGATTTCCCGCTCCTCGGCGGTTTTCCGCGTTTCCGGGTCCATGTCCTTGTCCTCGAAGAAATCGTCCTCGTCTGTGTCGGAACTGTCGAACATGGCTATCAACAGGAAAAATCCCCCCTCCCCATATCGAAAACGCAATTTGTGATGCTGTATTTCAGTACACCAATCGAGGTGTCATGGTAGAAGGCCAAGAGCCGCAGTTGTGGCCTCCTCTGCAGGCGATTTGTCATGCTGTTTCCCACTTCCAGCTGCCTCCTGTCATGCTGAAGATGCAAGGCTTTTCCACGCCAACCGGCACTACAGTTCGCATCTTCTCCCTTCTAGCATGGCAAAGCTGATTTGTGACCACAAATCTGCATCACAGATCTCCGTTTCGATATGGGGAGGGGGGCTTTCTCCTTTTGATAATGGCCACCATCTGCTCCTTTTCCGCCTTGTCTTTCGCCATTTTCTTTTCCTCGTTCTTGTTTTTCGGCTTTTTCACCGTCAAGTCAATCTTCCCCTTCCGTTTGAACTCGTCGTCGATCAGCTTCTGCGCCATCGCCTCGTAGTGGCTGTTGGGGAGTAGGAAATGGAAGTGGTTCCACTTCTCCGGCACGCACACGTCGATGAAGGATAAAGGAGACAATTTAAACAAATTCTTCGCCTTCTCTGGGTCCTCGGTGTCTAAGGAGAGTTCGTGCCGGTACACGTGGTGGTACTTTCGCTTCATGGAATAGTCCGCCATCTCCGTCCACCCGTCCTCCTCCAGCATGGACCGGATCACGTAGGGGCAGCGGTGGTCCTGGGGGTAGGGCGAGCAGGACATCCACAGGTATTTCCGCTCCTCCTCGTCGTCCTCGTCCACGATGTCGTCGACGATGTCCTTCATATGGATGTGTCAGGATCGAAATCGACAAAATCGAAAAATTTGCGATGCATAAAATGTAGGACACCGAAGGCCTGTATTGGGGGGCAGGCAAATGAGACCGATTGCAAAGGAGCTGCTTAGGGGTATACAAAGTGCTGCCCGAGCAGCATGACAGGAGGAGTCTTCTCTGTCCAAACAGCATGACAACTGGATTTGGGTGCTTCCGAAATTTGTCATGCGCCACTTGGAAACTGAGGCTCCAACTGACATCGATTTTGTGCATCACAAGTTTTTCGATTTTGCCAATTTCGATTCTGACACTTCCATACTTCAGCAGGTCGAAGTAGACGATCCGGTACAGCTCCGCATCTCTCCTATGGGTCATCCGCAGCAGGTCCGTGAAGGTGCCCCACAGGTGCTCCTTCTCCAGCCGCTTCGCGGCCCCGCGCAGCGCAAAGTGGATCCCCGTCACAAGGCCTAACTTCTCCTTGGGCATGGAAGCCAACATCGGATTGTCCCGCTCCTCGTGCATCTGCTCCAGCTTGTTCGGGATCTCGCAGATCGCGTTCGGGTTGAAGTCCAAATCGAACCCGAGCTCTTTCGCGATGAAGAAAATTTCGACGACGAGCGCGAGGCTGGTACTGTTCAAGACCGGGTCGGGGCCGCATAAATTGTGCCCGAACGCGTCGAAGCACCGCTTTAAGATCCGATCTATCAAAAGGAAAAATCCCCCCTCCCCATTCTGAAAAGGTATATTTTTGGAAATTTGTGATGCTGATTTGTGGTCACAAATCGTGTCTGTCTTGCAAGAAGGCAACTGCGCAGGCTCCGCCGCGTTGTGCATGCGCTTTGTCATGCTGTTGGGCCTACAGTGCTGACGTTTTTCATGCTAAGTGCCTAGGTCAAAACCTCTCTACTCGCCACTTAGTATGGGCCTGCAGTGCTCTCCAGCAAGACGGCTCGGATTGGTGTACACAAATCCAGCATCAGAAATTTCGTTTTGATATGGGGAGGAGGGGTTTTTCCTCCCAATACGATCCTTCTGCACCTTCGCGGCCACCTCGTTCTTCGCCTCCGCCTCCAACAGCGCTTCGAAGTCGAGGACCTTCTGGACCTCCGGGTGGATCTTGGGCGCATCCGGGTCATCGGGATTTTGCTGGTTCGCCCCCCGCTTGCCCTCGCGTTTACTCCTCCGTGGTGGCATGTTGGTGGGAAAATGGTTGTGGAGAAAGGGCGGAAGGTCGCAGAGGTGCTGGGGGGTGTGGTTTTAGACGTGTTCTTGACCTTCCGACGACCTTGTTCTACTTTCCGTCCGTTACGTTATCTGGTGCTCCTGCAAAATCTTCAACAGCCATGACAGTCGTTGTACTTGCAGCAAAACTGGTGTAGCGGCTTTGATGCCGGAAGTCATTTCATCCATCCGCTCGCACAAAAATGAACCACCGCGTTCTTGCGACCTTTTACAGGTCGGGGCAATCACTGGTGGCACGTTCTTCATCATTCTCCCGGAGCGAAGATTTCCATGACCAGCAAACGCTACTTGAGAAAAAAACGAAATTCTTATCGCGGTTGATGTGTCTCGGGTTTTTTAGCTGACTGCAAGTAGGTGGAGGTTCTTGCAGTATGAGAAAGCGTCCTGCATGCAGTTGTTCGGCGAAAATGCTGTGCGCGACTGATTTCTAGTCGGACATAACGATCGCACCACAAAGGCGGCGCAAGTCCCTCTCTTGTTTTTCTTGCGCGCTGATTCAAATTCCAGATTTCGTTTCTCTCACACTCGAAACACGAAGACGCTCGAGTTTCACGAAAAGGCAATGAATTGTTCGGCGCAGGAAGTAGGACAACCTAAGCCGATTCAGGACGAACCAAGTCGAACCAACAAGTGAAGCCTTACCAGTAGATTGGACGGTACGCGGGCTGTCGCCGGCCTCACTTGAGGAAGTAGATCTAGAAGTCTAGTACTTCTATTGGAAAGTAAAAGTGAGAAAGTTCAGCAAGAAACTGACGTCTTGTTTTTCCTAAGCAGAAAAAAAAGTTCGCGTCAAAGGCTCACAATTTGAGTAGCTCAATTCCGCCCATTAAGGCACACCTAGTAACGAATAGAATAGTTCAGTTTTTTGAAAATCGGCAAATATTTATTTCAGAGTCTGCATTGATTGGACAAAACTCAAGAAAATTTTCTCAACCAACAGAAAAGCGACAGTGTCTAGACACGATACAAGCATACCATAGCTTCTTCATATCTTCAATTTTGGTGTATTCACGATGCCAACACTAATTCTTTTATGAATCGGGTATTTCTGCGAAAATATCAAAAGCAGCTCACTGGGCAAGAAGTAGTAGAAGTTTCTTGGAAAGTTAGTACTGAGTAGCTCATGAGAAGTTCAGTGAAAAGTTGTGATTTTTGCCTGCCATCTCACTTGCAGTCGCGGTCGCTTGACTTACTGTCAGGCATAACGCTTGTACACAGACGGCACAAAAGCAAAACGAACGACTCTATCGCATAATAATAACGGTATTAACAAGAAGAACAACAGTCGTCATCACTAATTGACACCTTTCTGTCAGAAACATCAAAATCAAGCTCGTCACATAATCGAATTTGCATTCGATGAAAAAATTCCTACTCGCACTACTCGCGCTGAATAACAACTAGAACTACCATAATTCAACCAAAGTTTCAAATTTATTCACAGGTTCGATTTATTTTCCGGTGCCAACAATTGCACTGAAAACAGTTCTTTATTTCCACTTACCCGAAGGGATTGATACTGCAGCTTCGCGGGTCGAACAGCCTCCCCGCTTCTTGTTTCAGGTGCTCCCACCAGGTGGTGGGCTGGGCCTGCGAGTTGCCGGACAACAGCCAGTTGTGCCGGTACGGCGTGATCATCATGGGCTTCGGTGCGGTCGGATCCGGAGGAATCGGCTTGCCCTTCTTAGCGGCTTTTTTCTGCACTTTCTTCAGTTCCTCTTGCTGCCGCTTCTTGGCCTCCTCGTACTGTGCCTTAGCGGCGGTGACCGCGCCTTGCTGTGCACAATACCTTGGTAGTTTGGGATGATTGCATTACCGTCTCGTCAACAACCCATCATGTTCATGGCTTGTTGAAAGCATTTTTTCACCAAACAGAAATCCTCGGTCAAAAACAAAAAAACCTCACAACCAGAAAATTAAGTACTGCGCAAAGATCGCAAATTGCTGGGAATAGGCCCCGTACTGCTGCGCATACAGCATGTACTGCTCTGCGTACTTAGGGTCAAACGACGGCATGTCGCGTTTCTCATCCAGCAGAGCTTGCGGATTCGCCACCGTGGTTCTGCAAAGAAAATTTTTATGGAACTTGGTTTCGATTTGCACACAACTTCATCTGCTTCTAGTTGTACTGCAGCTGCAAATCATACTATGAAGGGGGAGAACGCAACACAACTTCTGACAGTTTTTCCGCATTTTCATTTTGAAAACAGCATCATGATAGATAGGTACTTCAGCCCCAATTTTTCGTCGTGCGGTTTCCGATCCAGCTTTTCCGGTAAATTTTCCTCCGTGAGCGCCTTCTCATCCTTCGGCAAATGCAGCTGGCCAAACCCGTCGTGTTCGCAGGCCGACCGCAAACCCCGGGCCGGCGCATGGATTCCGCATTTCGTGCAGCCTCCCTGCCCGCAGCTGCGCGGCATGAGTCCCGACCCCGGAGCGCGCTTCATGCCGTCGCACGGTTTCAGTGGGGGCCGGGTGGCGAGCTCGGTAGAGGAAGAGGAGGAGGAGTTGCTGGCAGCAGTTGGTCCGCAGCCGTTCGAAGGTCCTCCGCAGCACCCGGGCTTCGTACAGGCAGGAGCGGCTGGCTTTCCTTGCTGGGGACTGTCGGTCAACCCGAGGCCGCCGCCCCCTCCGGAAGCAGGCTATCCTGTGTAAAAACATCCCCACACCAGAGTCAGGATGGGGATTTTGCAACACAAACCTAGGAGTTTTGTGAGTCACGCATGACAAGTTGCACTATGCAGTGTAGTGCAGGTTAGCAAGTGCAGCCGCGTCACAGACTCATCTGCTCATCCTGTTCACAGCATCACAAATCCCAAAACACGATTGGAAATGGCTCTCATGGGGATGCGCATTACAAGTCTTCCTGTCTTTGCAAATCTGCATTACAACTCTGGTGTGGGGACGTTTTTACTCAGGATACAGGCTCCATCTTCTTTACGGTGCGGGTCGCGAGGCCAACCCGCTTTGGAGCAAGCTGTGCTCCCGTCCCTGTTGCGGCCGACGCGGGCACTCCTGGTGGGGCTGCAAATTGATTCGTTTATATTCGGTTAACTCTAACTTTCTGGTAACAATCAATCAATCAACAGTTTGTCCATAAAAAGCTCAGTACATTTCCGTACCATAATTCGACCGTGATGATCATCCAGATCTATCTATCATTGATTATGACCAGGCAGAACGAAATCACAGAAACCATTTTCTTACCAGCCGCTTTTGGTCCAGCGGGTTGTGCGGCAGCAGCGTTACTCCCAGCAGTGCGGTTCAACCCCACGACCCTGCCGCCCGCCGGCTTCGCTGCACCAACGACCGTACTAGCAACAGCGGCAGCGGCAGTCGTCACAACACTCGAGCTTGTACTTGGTTTAGCTCTCTCAACGGCACTGGTGCTGGTGACCTGCGTGTTGCAACTCGATGGCGTCGCCTTCTGTGAACTGCTCGGCACCGGCGAGGAACCGGTGGACGGTTTTGTCGGAGTGGGCACGCCAGTTGCACTTGTTTTTACAAATGTGGTTGTACCAGCTGCTTTCGCGGCGCTCGGTGCATTCGTTGCAGTGGCGGCTGGTACTAGCGAAGCACGCTCAACCTTCACGTCGGGGGTCGTGGAAGATTTCACTTCTCCTGAACCATTCCGCTCCCCCACGTATTCCGTGCCGCTTGCTAATTCCGCCACGACCCTCTTCTCTGAGGACGATGGGACTTCCGGACTGGAGGCCACCGACGCGCTCGTCGCGGGGCTAGAGGGTGCTACGGTCGTTTTGGACGTCGTATCCATCACGGAAGGAGGTTTGCTGCTGCCACAGCCATTTGCATCGTGATTCGTGGTGAAACTCGAACTGTCTGTCCTGGTCACGTCTGGGGAGCCGGTAGATGATGTTGCTGTTGGTGCAGACGTGATGCTAGTAGACACGGGGAGTTTCGTTCTTTGCTCCGGTGAAGCGGAGGAGGAGCTCACCGAAGTAGAAGTTGACGATAGTACAACCGGGGCAACGTCTGACGGTTTGTTCATTTCCGACAGTACCGAAGAAGGAGAAGTTGTTTTCTTCGGAGCAGTATCTGTCTCTCTCGCGACTTCGGTAGCTGCAGGAGCGTCTTCAGGAGTAGACAGTAAACTCGTTTTATTTTCATCTGCTTTTTCCACCGTGACGCTTGGCTTCTCGGTTTTTGGTGCTGCAACCAAGTTATCCTCTGGCTCGATCGTTTGCGACATTTCGCCAGAGGAGCTGTTGACCTGCGAAGTCGTGGATTCTGGCGAATTCACAGCTGCGGTCTCCCCGGTAGCGCATCTTGGACTGTTCAGCGATGCCGTCAGGTTTGTGCTCCTGCTCGGTTCGTTCTCGTTTTTCATCTTCAAATCATCATCTGCGGAAATGGCTTTCACGAGGCCTCGCTGCGATCCTCCCTCTTCGCGTTTGATTTTTGCCTCGTCGGTTGAGGCTGGTGCCGATTCTACTGCAATTTCGGACTCAGGAGGTGCAGTGGTTTCGTTCCCTTCCTCTAGTACAGACGGTGTACCACTATTTTGTTCCACTGTTGAACTACCCAATGTTGGCAACGCGGCGATCTGCTCGCTTGAAACGACCGAGGTCGCTGTCGTCGAGGTGGTACTACTGCAACTTCTTGGCTCGTCGGAGGACAAGGCTATGGTGTCCTCTACGTTTTTACTAGCGGTTGGTGGAGCAGCAGATGCAGACTTTGATTTTTCAGTCGGTTCTTGTTGGTCCACAGCCACACATCTTGCTTCTACTTCCACCTCTAGCTTCATATCCTCGTCTCTAGAAACCACAGGGGAAAAGACTTCCTGGTGCTCCAGCGTTCGCTCCATCAAGTCCATTTGATCAAACTGGTCATGTCCCGGCTTGTCATCTCGCAAGGCGAGAGCGGGCGCAGTAGTAGATTTGTCATCCTTTTTATTTTCCGCGACGCCTTCTTTTTCTCCTTGTCCTTGCAGCGCCGCTGCGCTAGACGTCGTGGTAGACGAAGCCAACGGCGTTATCATGTCAGCTGTCGCGGTGGCACCGCACGCGACGACGACCGCAGCTTCTGTTGTGGAGAACAATTGTTCAATCGTCATGTTGACCGCATAGTGTTTTGTTCTAGATGCTCTTCTTGCTCCACATGCGATGTGGAAAGTTGATGTGATGCGTGTGTGGACAAAATTTGTAAGCGGTAAGGACCTGATCCTTCTCGGAACTTTGCGGCCTGCTCAAGTAGTAGTGTATTATCTGGCCGCACGGCAAAGAATTAACTGAATAATGTCAGTACTTAATTATCAGACATCGCAATTGCATGTGCCTCCAATCGGAAGAACCTTCCCGATGCAGTAGCGTGACAATCTTGCACACGGACCTTCACCTCAAAAGACCCACTGCACCTCTTCCATGTAAGGAGCTGCGTGGGCGCGAAGAGAAGAATGGATCGCAGCATCAGATCTCTCTTTTCTAGCCTCACATCAGATCTTCATCCGAAAGCGGTCGCCGGCGCACAAGAAGATACACTACAAGCAGATCCGGACAGCTAAGGTGGTCAATCATGTTGATCCTCTTCAATACACGTTAGCTCAAACTAGAGCGGCTCCTTTTAAAGTTAAACGAGCAGATTTAATACAATCGAACGTGCACAAAACCGTGTTCTTATACCTCCCACTCCAGAGGAGCAAACTTTCCGTCCCCCCGCCGCCTCATCGGAGACCGCACAGCTCACTCGTTGCTCGCCCTTGTAGCACTTCACGTACTCCTGCGACGCGCCGTCGCCACCCACCGCAGTTACGTACTTGTCTTCGGAATCCTGTTATCAACTGCAAAAATTTCTGGGTCTGGAAACTTGTGATGCAAGGAAGGGAATAGTGAAAACACTGTAATGCGCTGCCCAGCATGACAAGTTTTGCCGTGGTTCTGAATCTGAGTTGCGTACTCCGTCTCCGCATGAGAAACTGCGTTTTTGCATGACAGGCAAGAGGAGCTCTTCGCGGCCACGCAATACAGAGTTCAGAATCATGCCAGACTAGCATGACAAATCTCGGAATCTTCCAGACCCAGACATTTTTGCCTTTGATACCTGTACCAACACGCCCCTCTGCTGCGGGGGCTGCGGCGCCGGGGGTCCCTGGAACATCGGTCCTTCACCGATGTCCGTCGCCTGCATCAGCCGCATTGCCGCTTTCCGCGGGGAATCGAGACCCTCGGACAGACCACCCTCCACTGGACCTAGTGGACGTTTTTGGGTGCCGTTCTTGATGATTTTAGTACAAGGGTTTCTCAGTGTGGACGTACTGTTCATGATGACAGGGCATGAATTATCCTATTTTGTGACTTTCCCGCACAATTTTGATTCCCCTATCACAGCAAACCGAACGAGGATCCAGTAAAAATGTCAAAAACTGTACTCATTCCCTTCAACTGCAATTTTTTCAGGTCGCCCTCAATGGTCTGAATTGCCTGGCCGGTTGTGTTGTCAAATGTAAAAATGTCTGGGTCTGGAAGATTCTGAGACTTGTCATGCATGTTTTGCATTGGCCATGATGTCTGTGATGCATGCCCTAGCATCACAGATTTTTTGAGGGCTCCGCGATGCCTATTCCGCATGACAAATGCCGTCTCCGCGTAGCAAAAATTGCATTCCCTTTGCTGCTCAGGCAATGCAGATTTTTTTGGAATCCAAATTCAGCATCACAAGTTGCATTCTTCCAGACCCAGACATATTTGCAATCCATATGTGTTGTAGTGCTCCTCTTTCCTGGCCTTGAACCACTTGTCCACCGCCGGGTCGCGCACGGAATCGCGAAGACGCTCGTCCATTTCGGCCATATTAGAGGGCATAGCTGCTTGTAGTTCAATCAGCGTTTAGTACGCGATACTAGTACAAAATGACTCTGTGCTGTCCCCTGACGAGAGGCAAAAAGGATTCGTCGGCTCGGTGCTTCAACTTCACACGCGGCGTCGCATCCTTGAAACCTCACTTCTGGACACCTTCTAGTTTCGTTGAAAGAGAAATCACGACAGCAACAAAGTAAAAGCTTTCTCCATGCCCATGGTTTGGAACAAGTGGTTTGAAGTTACAACTCTCTTTCTTCAACTCTCTTTGCTCCGCATTTTGATTGTTGCTCTACTTCGCTCCGAGGGCTCATTTTGTTTCTCGTTTTTTGGGTCGCTCAAAATTTCTCTCAGCTTTGATCAGCTTCTCTGCACCCGACCCACAAATAACCAGAAGTCCCTCTTTAAAACAAACATTCTTCAGAAACCGGCGGACTGGCGAATCAAAAAACACGAAGCGAGTTTTGTTGACACAAGCGCCAGCAATCGAAAAAGCTACAGCGTCTACCGGCATGCCCTGCCGACTATATTACGAGAAATCATGAGAGATAATTCCCAATTCGAATTCGATCACAGCGCTTGCTTTCCAACGATTTTTAGTTTTGCCTGCACGTTCTACAGGCGATACTTGTATATTCCTAGAACCTGGTGCATCATCTACCTCCATCCAGAAATGAAATTGTAAGCAACTACCAACCTCATAGTGTAGTAAAAAAGACCGCACTTCGCAAGATCTACAACCTATCTCCGCCGGCGCTACCCTTCGATCCCGCTGGCGCCGTCATTTGCACAATGTTTGGCGCGCCACTTCTTGGAGACTTCGGCCGTTGCTCGTTGCTATTGGCGTTATTTCCTTTTTTCGCGACAAAAAACTGGTCCAGCAGTTTCTGGTTCGCGAGACTCAGTTCCATGCACCGCTTCAACTGCGCGGCGGACTGGTCCTTATCCCCTAATAAAGATGCCTCCAAAGCTTCTTTGTCCTTTCTGACGTGCTCTAGCTCGGATTGAATCCTATCCCGGTCCCGCCGCATCTGCTCATACAGCTCCCTCTGTTTCTGCAGCTGCAGACTAAATTCCTCTCTTTCCAGCTGAATCGTCCTTTCCATTTTCTGTCTCTCTTCCGCCAACAACCGCGCAAGATCTTCCTGTGTTTCTTTCAACCGGGAATCCAAATCCGCCTGCAAGGCCGTCTTTTCGCGTTCGAAATTATGTTTTTCGGATATCAAAATTGTTTCGTGCTCGTGCAACAGGATTTTCTTGTCCTTTTCCATCTTCTCGTACAGTGCCACCCTTTGGTCCTGCAGCTCCTTCTGCAACGTTTGCAATTTCTCCTGCTCCAGCGAAACTTTTACGTCCGATGTTTGTTTCATCGCGGACAACTGCCGCCTCAGTTCGTCCCCCTGCTCGTACAGTTGCTTCCGTTCTATTTCAAACTTCTTTTCCATGGTCATTTTCTCTTCCGAGAACCGTTTCTCGTCGAACTCTTTCTGCCTCACAACCGAGGTTTTAATCTCGTCTTTCACCTTCCGGATTTCCATATCCGCCTTATCAAATGCAAAAATGTCTGGGTCTGGAAGATTGCGAGATTTGTGATGCAGTTTATCCAAGCTCCACCAAGTCTGGAATGCAGGGTCTAGCATCACAGGATCTGCAGCCCCTGGGTGATGCCTGTTCTGCATGACACATGCCCTCTCAGCATGGCCAGGAGTGGGCACCTTTTGCAAGTTACGCAACACAGATTTTTGTACGATCCGCAACAGGCATCACAAGTTCGCATCCTTCCAGACCCAGACATGTTTGCAAAGCATACGCCTCCACCTGCATCAATTTCTGTTTCTTCGACAAATCCAGCAGCTCCTCGTGATGTGCTATAACCCGATCAGGTGTTACAATCTCAAACGTTACAATAGAGTATGGAAATCTGTGATGCAAAAGTGCATGACCTAGCCAAATCTCATAGGATTCCGCATGACAAGTTCTGGAGTCCCAATCCGCACTACAATCTGGCGAAATTTGTATTGCAGAAAGTGGAATGCTGTCCGAGTCTGTCATGCTCATCATGCAATACAAAACTCACGTTCTATTGTAACGTTTGAGATTGTAACGTTTGAGCAGGTCATATGTGCCTGCTCGATTTTCGCGATGTCGGTTATCTTCTGCTCCAGCTCCGTCTTCAACCGGGCGATTTCCTGTCGCAATTGCAGTTCCCGCTCGGAAAAAGCGCTCGTCTGCTGCTCGGCCTGCTTGTCGTGCACCTCCTTCACCGCGGAGAGTTGGACTTCCAAGTCTTGGATCTGTTTTTCAAGCTGTTTTTTCTGCGTTTCATTTTCATTTTTTTCCACGAGCAACTGGTCCTTCTCCTTTCTCAGTTGCTTCACCTTCAGCTCCGTTTCCTCCTTCTGACTTTCCATTTCCCGCGTGTACTTCGACATCCAAAACTCGATTTCCACCGGCCCCGCCTCCACCCACGGGTCGTTTTTCAGATCGACCACGATCTCGTGCCCCTGCTGCCAGCTGTGGTAGATGTCGCGCATCAGTTCCAACCGGTTCAGGAACTTCGGCACGTTCCACACGAACAGCGTTTCGTCCTCCTGGTCCAGATGTTCCTCGTGGTGGTGGTGCTCGAAATCCATTTCGGCCAGATGGTTTTCCGACAAATGCAAATTGTTCGCCTTTTGCAGCCCGGAATTCCGCAACCGCCACTTCTTCCAATCCTGATCGACCCGCCGCGCCAGCCGCACGATGGGTAACGGGACGTACGCGTCCGGGTAGCCCATGTAGACAATGGGCGCCGCGTGCGCCAGCTCGATAAACAAACCGTCGGAGGGCCGCAACGCGGTGGTCATCTCGTTCGCCTCCTCAACCAAGGCTTTCAGTTTGCACGCTTCGTAGAGAAACTTCCGCGTCTTCTTTTCGTGATCGATGGAGAGTGACTTCATGTTGGAAACGAATTGCTTCGCGTGGTGGAGCTTGAAGGTATTGACGAAGTCCTGTTTCGGTAGTAAGGTCTGCAACGCGTTCAGCACTTCATCTGAGGTATTGAACTGCGTCCGGCGGTTTCGCGGCGTGTGCAGTGCGTCGTCCGTCGGCTCGGCGTTTTGCAAGTAGCAGCGGAAGCAGAAACTCCGGCCGAAGAGTAGCTTGTCCCCCTGCTGCAGCGGTCTGGACAGCTTATCAAATGTAAAAATGTCTGGGTCTGGAAGATTGCCGGGTGTGTCATGCATATTTTGCATGACTCCTCAAGTCTGTGACGCATGCCCTAGCATCACAGATTTTGAGAGGGCTTTCTGATGCCTATCCCGCATGACAAATGCCCTTTCCGTGCTGCAAAATTTGGACTCTCTTTGCTGCTCATGCAATGCAGATTTTTTTAGAATCCAAAATCAGCATGACAAGTTGGATCCTTCCAGACCCAGACATTTTTACATTTGATACAGCTGGTTCTGTTTCAATTCCTCGTTATTCAAAAGCACCGCTATCCTGTGTAAAAACGTCCCCACCCCAGAGTTTTCATGCAGATTTGCCATGACAGGAACATTTGTGATGCGCAACCCCATGACAGGCATTTTCAATCGTGTTTGGGAACTTGTAATGCTGTAAACAGGATCAGAAGGTCGATTTGTGACGCGGCTTTCCTTGCTAACTTGCACTACTTTACGGACTGAAATTTGTCATGCGTGAGTCCTAAAACTCCTAGGTTTGTGTTGCAAAATCCCCATCCTGACTCTGGTGTGGGTACGTTTTTACTCAGGATAACCGCCGCGTTATCCCCATCCTCGCACAGCTTCATCACCTGCAATTGCGGCCCGTCACGGGTTTGCGTGCAAACCACTTTGCACAGCACCGGGGCGGTCTGAAAGCCAATCAACTCCGCGCAATTGGGCAGCTTCTCGGACGAGATGGCGTGGGACGCGAAATAGGTCGGCGCCGTGTCGGCTTCCTCGTATTCGCCGTTCTTCTTCGCCGTTAAAACGACCGCGTCGAAATTGTCCCCGAAGTACCAAGTTTTCAAGTGGGTAAACGAGTACTGCAGTTTTCCGCACTGGTGCGGATCGGAAGACTCGTTGGACAGTAACGGTAAAAGTTCGTGTTTCTCCTTTTCGTGCAGCAACTGCACTTTCGCGACACCCAGTCGCATCATCATCGCGTGTCGGTACTTCCGCAACCTTTCCGCTTCCTCCGACAGTTGCTGGGCCGTCTTGGTCTTCTCCGCGAGCGCGGCCTGCACCGCCTCCAGCTGCTCCTGCACCTCCTGCGGCGTCTCGTGGACGCTGGGCTCCCGCCGTTCTGTGGGGATTTTGTTCGAAGATGAAAACTGTTGAACTTATGATCATGATACAAGATAATTCTCAAGGCTGGCGAAGAGGAAGACATAATGGAGCAGTTTTATATTTTTGTCTGTAGAGCACTAGAAATCTGAGGTTGCACTAGAAGAAGAAGTCTACCTTCGTACATTAAAGATGACCGCGATTTTCAAAACTGGAGAAATAAACGCAGAAGATCCAAAAAACAAAAATCCCCGATAGTACGTATGGCCAAGTCTTGTTCCTCCCGCGCGATGACCAACTGCTGTTTTAGCCGTTCAATTTCCGTTTGCAGCTGCACCACCGTGTCCGATTCCTTCGCCTCAATCTTGCTCGACAGCGTTTTGATGTTTTTACAAGTTGCCGCAAACCGCAGGGTCACCGCGTTTTCGTCGAACGCCGACGCGGCGGGGGACAGCGTTCCGACCATGAACGTCCGACTGTTTCCCGACAGCGCTTCCTGTAACAGCATCGTAATTTTCGAGTTTCGGTAGTTCGCTTTCCCGATATCGATCGTGCCCTTGATCTTCGGATAATTTCCGCTCCCCTTCGAGGATTGCCCCAGCGCTTGGATGCAGTTGGACAAGTGGAATAAGGATTTGTTGATGAACCCTAATTCCACCAGCCGCTCCCCCCGCGCCAAGGTCGTCTTTTCGTTCTCGCGCCCGGCTAAGTCGACGAAATGTAGGGTAGAGGACGTCGTCGTAGATGCTGAATTGCTGTTCAACATCTCCGTTGCACTTGTCCCTTGCCCGATGGACTTCACCACCTTCTCCATCTTGAAGGAAAACACGGTGTGTGCCCGACTGGATTTCGCGTTCATCTGCGTGGACGCGACGGTCTGATTCAAGCGCGCGAACTCCATGCAATGGTTCGCCTCGTTCAAGTCTTTCACGATTTCGATGGTCAAATTCGGGATGTAATTCCCTAACCTCGGGTGCGACCGGATGTCGATTTTTTCCCGGATCTCCTGGTCCTTCGGGATCAGCAGGTCGCGGAGCCGCTCGTTGTAGATCTCCAACACGCTGCATTGGATTTTGTGCTCACTCAAATTCTATCAAATGTAAAAATGTCTCGGTCTGGAAACTTGTGATGCTGGGTGGCGTCTCATGATGAGGCCACAGATTCTGGCTCAGCATGACAAGTTTCTGAGCTCCTATGTCGGTGTTGCCTATTCTGCATGACAAACTGCTTCTGCATCACAGAAAAACGGAGCTCTGGGGTAACGTGCATGACAGATTTAAGAGTCATGACAGACAAGCATGACAAACATGAATTCTTCCAGACCCAGACATTTTTACAGTTGATAAATTCAGCTTCGCCTGCTGCTCCTGAAACGCGAAGAGGTCCTGGAGGAGTCTGGGCAGCAGCCCGTGGTCGTGCTTCACATCTAAGTGCCCCGTCACCGTGGTCGTCTTCCCGCTGCCGGTCTGCCCGTAGGCAAACAGCGCCGCGGAGTACCCGTCGGTCACGGTGCGGAACACTTTTTTCCCTAATGTATCGTACACCTTCTGCTGATCGAAGTAATACACGTCTTGCTTGTCCACGGAGCTGTCCATCAATTCGTCAAACCCGTCGAAGGTTTGCTTCTGCTTCTTCAGTTGCGGGTTCAACAGCTCCAACTTCCCGTTCTTGCAAAACAAAATCCGGTCCTCCCCCGCTTCGCGGGGCACGAACGGACGGATCCGCAGCGCGACATAGATCGCCTGGTTCACGCCCTCGGCGGTGCTGGTCGGGGGTGGGGGCGTTGGGGTGTTCATTCTCGCGATAATATTTTGTTAGTCGTGCCAAGGCGGGATCGATGATGGGACAGTCTAGTATTGCAATGTTTTTGTCGATAACGTCGAGTGGTTCTACTTAGAGTTCTCGAAGACGACGTTGCGGGGGAAACTATGTGATCGCGAAGATTTGACCAAAATCATACTGTAGCTACCGGTCTATCAGTGGTCAAGAGGTGGATAAACGGGGGATAAAATAACGTACTGGTAATTTATTTGAAATTGAAACGAATTGCGAACAGATTTTTACCGAGCATCACTGAAGCTAGTGAACGACCGATATTCCACCAGAAGCACGAAAATGATATCTATCGGTGTTGGTGTAGTCTGTCGGGACGAAAAGCTAATAAAGCGGGTTGTACGAAAACAAAAATAAGCGCACGAGTAAAATACTGTGAAGACCATACACCGAGACCGGCCAGATTGGGCGGGACCACGAAGGGGCTTACAACTTGTATTTCTTGTTTCTGACAAAAGGAAACAAACCGAGCAGAGCACGAATTGATGTTGGCAGACACAAACCGAGTAAACGAGTTGTAATTCAGGAGGAAAGAAGACTCCGTGGCAGTGGACGAATTACGAAACCGAGAGTTTTCGAATTTTCCAGTTAAAGACGAACAACGCCTAGCTTTGTCCAAATACCATTCCGGAAACAGGCCTGGGCAACCCTCCAAAGAAGTGGAAACAGGTTTTGATGCTACTTGCCTTTTTCTAGCGTACGCGACAGAAAGCGAGTTGAACAAATAATTCGACAACGAAAACTATCGGTCTAAAGGGGTGGAGCAATAGTAAGCTTGGGGGTTGAGGACACGTTCTCCTACCGTAAATTCTTGAATTTCTTCTCCGAAAAACATGAGCACACTACTCAAACAAGATGGGAAAACATACAAGCGTAAATGTCTAAAGTAATGCTAAAAAAGGGTGCGTGGAGAATGATTGAGAAAAAATTCGATGGAATAATCTATTTATCTATCTTTCTATTTTCCAAAGCGCAAACAGCTACGTAGGGCACAAAAAGTCGTGCTGTGTGGAGCTTTAAAAAATCGCATAAACGCTACTTATTTCTTTTACTCTTTCTCGCTGCTTGGTTGATCTGGCTCGAGATATTCATGAAGGCGGAGGGGTATCGGAGAGGAAAGAAGCACACGCAAGAGCATGTGAGAAGTCATGAAGACAATCTACCTTGCCACACCAGTTTCTCCCCGCCGCGGGGAGAATTCGTCGACCCATTTCCATGACAAAAGTGGTGTCTTTATTCAGATCTGCAGAGGAGGAGGCTTCTCATATTCTTCACTCCCACATATAGCATCATTTCAGAAAGCTTTTCTACAGCGGAGGCGAACTTGACTTAGTCGTACTTCTCGTCGAACCCCCCCCCATATCAATCACGCAATCGTAAATGCAAAATCATCAATCTGATGCAAGAACAGTCTCCTATGCTTGTGCAGTGTGCTTCTTTATTCACCAAGCATACGATGCGGCCGGGACTCTGTGACGCGCGCGTGGGCAGCTGAGACAGCCGTTGGGATGCTCGCGCCTTTTTGTCCTTTTTCTTCTTCCTACTTCTCGCGCTACTGGTATTCGACGCGTCTGTGTCGGAGTAGCTCATGTTGCTACTGGTATAGTTGCTGGTCCCGCCGTCCCCCTGTTTGTCTTTGGACTTCTTGTTCTTTTTCGCTTTTTTGCTTTTCACCATGTCTTCCGCGTAGGAGTTCTGACTCTGGTTGATGTCCGCCAGAATGGTTTGCGCCAGCGACTTCCGCGCCTCGGCCGCGTGCCCCGGGCCGACCTGCATCTGCGACAGCCGCTGCCCGAAGTCCGTCATCTGGCTGGGCTGCTGCCGCGAGTTGAAGCCGCTGCCGCCCGTAAACCCGCTGCCGCCCGTGAAGGTCCCCCTCGCAGAGGAGGGCGCCTCGAACGTGGCCCGTTTGTCCATGGGCACGGCGGTGCTGCTTTCCTGCTGACTGCCGGTGGTCAGTCCTTTCTTCTCGAGGGAAGAATTGTTGTTCTGGAGCCCCTTTTTCTCCAGCGAGGAATTATTCATCGTCCCCGCTGGTTGCGTATTCGTTCTGCTCTGCCGCGTCTTGGACTTCTTATTCTTACTATAAGTGTCGTCGTAGATGTCTTCCGTGGACTCCATCAAGTCGCCTATTTCCGGCTCCCCCATGGTGCTGGAGTTTTGGTGACTGTGCTTGTTGTGGTCCTTGCTGCGCACGTGCTTCTTGTGCTTGTGGGACGGTAGGTCGGACTCTTTCTCGTCCTCGCTCAGATTGATAGACGGCTCTATGGACGTATCAAGAATGTCGGACGCGTACTCCCGGTCTCTATGGAACCGTCAGGTTCGAAATCGGCGAAGCAAGTTGAAAATAGTGCACAAGAAAACGCAACACACAAAAGATCTGTATGGGAGAAAAGGCGAATGAGGGCGATTGTTTAAGTAGCTTGATAGTTTCTTTTACAGGTAGAGGTGCTGGAGGTGCGAAGGAGCATGACAAAAGCAGCAGTCTTCTTTGCCCCTAGCAGCATCGCAAATAGGCTCTGGTTGCGTTCTAAATTTATTGTCATGCGCCGTTTAGAAATAGAGGGTCCGCCAACTGGTGTCGATTTCGATCTATGCTTTGCAAATGATTTCAACTTTGTCAATTTCGAACTACCTGGTGACACTCCCATATCTGTCGTCGTCGTCGTCGTGGTCCCGGTTGGCCAAACAGCAAAACACGAGGAAAATCAATGCGAGCACGAGAATGATTATGGCCGCGGCGCCGCCGATGATCATGCCGACTGGCGCTTCTTCGTCGGCTTCTCCGTATGGATTGCAAATGTGTCTGGGTCTGGAAGAAGACAAACTTGCGATGCGCATTTCAGAACACAGAAAAGTCCCTCATGCATAGGTAGCAAAAGCTGCGCACTTTCTGTCACCAAAGTGGGGGGTTTGTCATGCGGAAGCTTCTCGAAACCTGTGATGCTAGAGCTTCCATGCCAGACCTCCTGTGTCATGCAAAAACAGCATGACTCTTCCAGACCCAGACATTTTCACATTTGATACTCCGTCCTCTGGTACTATCATCGGGGCCGCGGTTGTACTACCACTGCCACCTGGGTGTTGGAGTAGAGTTGGAGTGGAGTCGGTCCCCCCGCCCGTCTCGCCCGATGGTGTTTCCGTCGTGGAGGTGGGGTCCGTCTGCACTGGTGTCGCGTAAGTATCTTCCGTGGTCTTAGGCACCCAGACACACTCGTAGTCCAGGGCCTCCGGAGTTGCCAGCCGGTCCGCGTAGGGAAACGCCGTTGCGCCGTGGCACACGTTGTCCGCCGCCATGCCGGGGTCGTTCTTCTTACAGCACGCCGCTTCCATGATCTCGTTTTCCGGGGCGAGTAGCCCAGCGCCCTCCAGCCGCGCGGTGCACGCAGCGCAAACGCCGGGGAAGCTGCCCGCACAGACGGTATTGCAACCCTCCTTCACGTGGTTGTCGGACACCCACTTCGGGATCGCCACGCAGGAATGGTAGGTCTTGTCCTGGTCGAGGTAGCTCTGCGTGATGCCACTCAGCACGGACTGGTTTTCCACCGAGGCTCCGAACGGCTTCTGCGCGAAGTCCAGGGCCCCCAGGACCTGGCACTCCCGCGGCGCAAACCCATCGATCGCCTTGACGTTTTGGTCAAATCGGCAGCAGGCCCCGCGGAACTCCTGGTCCGCGATCAGGCAGCTCTGCGGGCACCACGCACTCCACTCGAGCTGCGCGGGATCGCAAGCGCTCCAGCAGTCCAGCGGCTGGCCCAGTGTACTGTCACAGTTGGGACATCGAATTTCGATCTCGGTTCCGTGCGTGCGCGACGTGTGCAACTCTGTGGCGGTGGTGGTTGTCGTCGTCGTGCTCAACTTATGCAAGTGCGCAGAGCTACTTCTCCCTCTCCCTCATCATCTGAAACAAGCCATCGCCATCTACAGTATTTTTAACAACTTTGAAAGTAATTAGAAACATGACGGACCAACCTCCTGCATGACAAATTGAAATCTGCGCCCACATTGGAATTCGACGGAGCTGTTGATGTATCGCTGTTTCGTCTACTTGTTTTCATGTTGCAACACGAAAAAGAAGTACTAAAAAAAGATGGGCTTCTTTGGCACTTTGCATCACGAATAAGGGGACCGGGGACGAAGTAGTAGAGTTGTCCACTTTCATACAACATGATTCCGGGAACCACCACGCACTCGTGCTTCCACAGGTCAGAATTGTTAGGCATGTTGTCGGCGAACGGAAAGACCATGCCGTTCGAGAACTGAGCATTGCATGGATTTCCTTCCGGCGTGTTTTGCTCGTCGGTCTTGGACTTCTTGCAGCACGCGCCCTGTGTGCCGTCCCCAGGGTTGCAGAACTCGCACACCCCGCCGTGCCCGCCGCACTCCGACTCGCACGAATCAGGGATGGCCATGCACACATTCGGCTGCCCGGATAGCCCACCCATGGCTTGCGGATCGGTCCCGAGGGTGGGCAAGCCCGTGGCGGCTTGCACGTCGACGAGATGGCCGCAGCCGGTCTGATATGTAGTGCCATACTCGTCTGTGTGTATTTTTATTATTGCAGCCGCACCGGAATCGTATTTGCAACAGGCTCCGATGTACTTGTTCGGTGCACCCACGGGGGCCGACGCGCTGCAGGCGTTGAATGTGGTTTCTCTCCTGCTACAACGTGAGCCGTCGCATTCTCCACGGTGTATCGTGGGCAAAAGTGTCCCTGTTGCGTCGTGCCAACAGCATGCGTAGTTCGAGGACCACGTGGCTCTCGCTGAGTTTCCAGCGTGAGAAACGTGGACGCTTTTTGTTGATTTTCTTTGTAAGAACATCATACCTCGCAGACTCAGTCGGCACACATCGTCACGGGCGAAAAATCTGTGCGTCAGAGTAAGTTCCCTGAGCACGCGACGCGCATTGAAGCGTTTGCGACACACTTGCACTTCCCCATAAAAGTAAACATGCAAGAAGCCGCGTAAGAATCTACTAAACTAGCATGACCACCTAATGCAAAAAAACAAGTCAACATGCTCACCCAGTACAACTGCTACTTCGCTGTTTTTACCGACGAGCAGGACCCTTTTGCAAATCGTAGAGTAGTTCAAATGCCAATACTGGCCACACTTACTGTAGCAGTCTAACGGCCCCCCGCCCGCTGTCGTGCAATCGCTCCCGTCCGCCGCTTGGCAGCCGAGTTGCACGTTGAGATCCAATGCCGGCAGGTTGCAGCCGTCTTTGTTTGGATTCTCCAGGCAGGCGTTGTACTCGTCAATAGTTTGGCACAACCACGGACTCCCGCACCCCTCGTGGTACTTCGGGTCAAAGTTCACCTCGCAATAGGCCTTGAATTCCGGCATCTTCGACATGCACTGTTCGCGATTTTCATAGCACACCCCGAACTCGGCCCCGCCTTTCAAAAAGCAACTCGTGCCTGTCGGGCAGCTGCATTCCGTGGTGACTTCTGCCTTGTAACTGCTGTAGTCGTAGTCCTCATCCTCCTCCCATCCCCCTTGTGGCTGCGTACATCTGTCAAAAATGTCCAACCCACATACTTTCGCTTCGGACTGTGCTTGCGATTCTTGCTGTGGCTGGGGCCGCCACCACCATGGTTCCTGCTGCACCTCCCTGCTTTGCAAGAAAAAATCCTTTGACGTTAAAAAATGGTCGCTGTCCGGCACCGAAGGGCGGGACGAGACGGGAGACACGAGCCGCTTCTGCTCTTCGACGTGTCGTTCCTCGACTTCCAAAGTGCTATAATCATCGCCGCCCGCGCCGTCTTCGTCTATGTCAAAGTCATCCTGAAGCGGGTCTCCGTTCCGTAGGTCGTGGGGAAAAATCTTTTTGTCTTGCGCCGCACCCGGCTCTTCTAGTTCTGCTTGCGAGATGATGGCTTTCTTTTCTCGCCGTAGTTTCACTTCTTCTACCAGACCCCTAGCCGCAAGGGATCGTGACATGAATTTTCCGTCGTCTCTCCCCGCGGCTCCTGAAGTCGACGCTGTCGTTTGATCTCTTTTCTGAGACACAAGGTCCAGCTGCATATAACTCCTGCTACCCCGTTCCGACAAACTGGCCCCATCACTGTCGTCGTGCACCAGGTCAGCAGAAGTAGTAGCTGTGCCGCTTTTATTTCCGGACGAGATGAACGGAGGCAAGGAAGAATCGTGCCGTTTTTCTTTTTCGACTATACTATTGCGCTCACGGCTGCTAAGACCTCTATTCCTCTGGCTTTCGGTCGCGCCGTCGGAAGGCCGGTCTTTCTCTTTACGCTGCTCCGCAGAAAGTAATCCTTCTTGCTGACCTTCTTGCACCAGACTGAGAACCACGTCCTGTTCGTCGTCTGTAGACAGATTATCCCCTTCTTGGCGTAGGTCTTGCTCACCTTCTGACTTTGACATCAACCCGAAATCATCATGACTCGCCCCCGAAGATACTGTTGCAGTTGGTCTGCGAGGATGAGAACCTGCCTCTGTAGTGGAAGAACCTCCTCTTGAATCTTCTCTCGTTGTAGAGGGGCTACCACGACTCTTTTGTTCTCCCGAACTACTGGTCGTCCTCCGTGCTATTGCAGTCGCTTCCGTTGTTCCGGGTCCGGTATGAATAAAAGCTGTACCAAAACCAGGACCAGCACGACGCTTGGAGGTGGTGTTCCTCTTTGCTACGATTTTCTTTTGCAGTGCACTCATCTTTTTAGAAGTACCCTGGCTCGTCCTATCTCCGCGGTCCTTTCGCGGTACGAACTGAAAACCGGATACAACGGGAAGATAACTGTCGCTGCTGAAAAAAAGTACGACCGCTCGGGAGAGCTGCAACAGCGAGGATCGCGATGAAGGTCCTCCAGTTGGTTCCTCGTGCTTCCTGTGACATCGTCTGTCGCGGCTGAAAATCGCCGTTCCGGTAGCGGTGGAGGGTGGAACAGCGACGGCGGGTGCTGTTAGCCTAGTACCGCCAGTCGTACTGGAACAAATTCTGTAAAAAATGCAGGCTCTTGCTTGTCTAGTCGGGGGCTCTTGCGCCTGCGCCGATGGCAAACCGCTGACGCGCGCCTCGGGCGAAGAACCCGTGAAGCCTCCGAAGCAGGTGTGGAGTGATTCTTCCATGTTTGTCGTTTTTCCCGACAGATTCGTCCTTCGTATTGCTTCTATCAGAGTTGTCAGCGTCGCCCGTCAATGAAGACTTCCAGCATGCTCGGTTTGCTGGCGACGCGCATCACGGTATTAAACACGTCGTAGCTGTGGTGAGCCACAAGTGCAAGAACGCAGGTACTCTGATTCGCCGGATACTTCTTGTTGTTTTGTTCGTCACTTATAGGGAAAGCACAGTAAAAAGCAAAGAAAATTTCACATTTTTACAAATTCTAGTTCTGAATATCAGGGCAAATACATGAATTTGGCAAGAGCATCAGCTACTTGGGGGGCAAGTAATCAACTCAAATTGCAATTGGGGAAGATGCTAAGGGGAGCCTGTGCGCTCCTTTTTATCCTGTTCAAATCAATGTTGTAGGGAAAACACTTCAAAAGTTTCTACTTTGGTTTTCCAACACGCAAAACGAAAAGTCGGCTTTGCGCTACAGCCGAACCATGGTTGCACGACAGTGTAGGACGCAACGATGACGAGAGATGCACCGACAGAACGACGTTGTTACAACCGGTCGTGGCGCCGATAGATACAACCGAAGCAAACCGATGTCGCGACATTACTCTGGAAAAGGACGAGGCAGGAATGAAAACGATCATGCTAAAATTGCACGTACCCTGTCGTATGCAAAGTCGACGTAGTGGGACGAAGACGGACGATGGTACGAAACCGATGGAGTGCGGGCAAGGTCTCGAGAAAGAAACGCGTTGCATATCCGTAGTCCAGTGCATTCATCATAAACAAGGACCGAGAAGCTACAAACACAAGGGCAAGACGGCTCTGCGAGCAAAAGCACGTCGACCAGACAACGAAACACACAAACCACACGCCGTACGCGCAGCATGTAGACCTAATAAAACCAAAAGCATATGACTAAACAGTGCTCGTTCTCTGGGGGAAAGTGGTTTAATTCCAGCGAGGGACAATGTCTAAGGGAGATCTCGTGCTCGTTCTTGTTGCGGCTTGCTTCAGCTTTTTCAGTCGTTCTACAATTAATATGGGTCAGAAACAATATCATGCTGAGCCGAGCGGGAGATAAATCGTAAAAGTGTACCGTACAAAGAACGATAATGCGCTATCCGCATACGGTAAGAAAGTGGTAAAAAAAAGTGGTAAAAAAAAATGTCAAAGACCTATACTTATCTGTTTTTCGAGAAAAACAGTGTGTTTTTATAGCGGTGTGATGAAAAATCTATACCTATCTAGCAAAAGACAAGAAGCCGTAGCGCCCCTCCAAGCGCTTCACTCACGGTCGTCCGACGAGTGGCCTTTGTTCGTTATCACGCTCGGCAGTCGCGCCGGCTTCAAGTGGCCACTTTTGCCGGACGCATCTGCGGCCTTTTTCTTTTTGTCCTTCAGTTCCTTGTCTTTGCTCTTCTTTTTGTCCTTGTCTTTATGCTTCTCCTTAGTCTCTTTGTGCTTTTCTGCTTGTTTTTCTTTCTTGTCCGAGTCGGTATCTTTTTCTCCGTCGTCGAACCGAGTTAAGTTATGGGACGCAGCAGCGTCCTTTTTCTTTTTCTGCGCGGCTGGATCCTTCTTCTTCTCCTGCTTTCCGTCTACTTTATGGTTTCCTTTCTCCTTGCCCTGACTATCATTGTCGTGCGACTCCTCCGATTCGCGCGAGGACTTGCGCGAGGACTTGGCTGACGCAGCGACGTTGGCGGACGCTTGCTGTGCGCTTGTAGTGACGTTCGCGATGGTATCCTGCACGTTCTCCCCCGGCGGTTATGCGCGTGAAAACTACTCTTCTCGCTTTCCTGGGGCCTTTTACATGATCAAAGTGTCAACAAATCTAGTTTGATGATCGCCGCAGCCACCATTTGCTCCTCATGCCCAAGCTTATTCTATTAGGGGAACCAAGTAGCAGGATAAGAAAACTTCAGCGGTACTATCTACCATCTTTCACCACCCGGCCAGAACGGGCGAGCAGGCGGTAGTATAACACAAGACCGGTGACGATGACGATCTGTGGCAACCCGTATATAATTTCCCACAGCCGCTTAGTGCGACTGCGCCGCACATAATTGAATGCAAAAAATAAAAAATAGCAATAGAAAAAGCATAAACAGGTCATGGCTCTTTAGCCGAAATATTATTGAAGGCCCCAGTTTGTTGAAGACATGCGGTAGTTTTCGACGAGGTAGCTTTTCCTTGGTTTTGACCAGCTCGCCTATGGGATCGTCAATCGAGGGGTCGTGCTTCTTTTCCGACAGGGATTGGACGCCCCCGCCGTCGCTCATGCGGCTGCCCTGCGAGAGGATCGGGGTAGCGGTGGCGGCGCTCTGGTAAGCCGCGGCGGGCGGGGCGTGCCCGGGCGCGAACGACTGCACGTCCTCCTCTTCGTCGTCCGTGGACTGCTTGGCGTGCTCCTCAATGACCAACTGCGCCATCGACTTCCGGGCGTGACTCGACTCGTTGTTGGTGGCATCTTTGTTCTCTTTCTTGTTCGACGTGGTCCCCTGATGTTCCTGTTCCAGGACCAGTTGCGCCATGGACTTCCGCCCGCCGTCCGCCGGCGCCTTGTCGGGATGCGCGGCCGCCGCCGCCTGGGATACCCGCGACAGGAAGTCCGTGGCGCCCGCGGGCACCTTGTCGTTGACCCCGCTGCTGGCGACGAAGCCCGTCTTCGAGTCCGGGGCCTTGCTGCTGCTCAGCGGGTTCCCGTCCGCGTCGTATTCCGCGGCCTGGTATGGATTGCAAATATGTCTGGGTCTGGCAACTTGTAATGCCAAAAGTGAATGGTAGACGCACTGCAATACGCATCTATGCATAACAAACTTTTTGGCTCCCATGTCTTACGTATTCCGCATGGCAAACTGCGTTCTTGCATGACAGGTAAGAAGGCATTTTCGTGCCTATGCAATACAGATTCTCGAGTCATGCCAGACAAGCATGACAAACTTGCAATCTTCCAGACCCAGACATTTTTGCACTTGATAAATTGGAGGACTTCTTGGATGCCGTGTTCCGCGCCGCCATGCTGCCCATTTTGTCGCTCTCGAACGTCTCCTCCACCTGCGTTGGCGCCTTCTCGTGCACGGACGTGTCCGAGACATGCACGGACGTGTCTCCCGAACCGTGGATGTTGAACACCTGCACGAAGCTCGGCCGCGTCATCTTCTTGGCCTTTTCCCGCATGGACTCCGGCTCCCCCTCGGTTTCGGTGCCCTCCTCGTCCGCCGCGGCCGCGGCCCGCACGAACAACCACGCAATCACCACCACGCCCAGCAGTAAAATCACCACGCCGCTCGCCGCCTATCCCGCAGAAAAAAAAGCTAGCCGCGCATAACATACTTTTCTTGTACTGGACCTATTTGTAGAAAAATTTAGTGCACCAGCACAAATCCTCGCTTGCGTCGTCTAAGCAACACGCGAACGAGCGTGCGCCGCGCGCGGAATGGATACATTATCCAAAATTTTCTTGTGCTATTTTTGTCTTCGCAAACTTTTCACAAACGAACTAAGTAACCTGCTAGACTAGCTTTTTTCCGCGTGATACGGCCAGGAGAATGATCATGCCCTCCTCGTCGGTGGCTTCATCTCCCGCGGCCGCAGTAGCAGTGGTCGAGGTGGTTGTCGTGGTCATTTCGTCAGAAATGCTCTCCGTCGAGGTGCCTGGTGGAGCAGCTGTAGTCGACGCGCCTTCCCCACTCCCCGCTGACGTCGTTGTCGCTGTTTCTTCCGCGGTGCTGGTGGTGGTGGTGGTAGTGGTGGTGGTGTGCATCAAGACGCACTCGGGCTCATACCAAGTCGGGTCGGCAATTTTATCGGCAAAAGGAAACGGGACGTTCTGCCGCTCGGCGTCACCGCAGAGGCCCTCCGTGGCCCCCTTCTTGCAGCAGACCCTTTCCCGACCTGCGCCAGTATCGTCGCGCGGACAATCGTCACAGCGTACCCCCGGTTCCGTGCAAGTCGCCAGCACGCCTCGGCACGGGTTATGCGCCGCTTCGTACATTTTCAATATCCACCGTGGCATCGCCACACAAGAATAGTCATCTCGTGGGGCGGGGCTGTTTAGATAGGCATCCGTCACGCCGTAGTCTGCTCCGTGGTTTACTAGTGAGCCTAGAACGTTGCAGGCCGCCCGATTCGACGTCGCGTAGTTCGTGTTCTGATCCCAATTGGCGTTGGGCTCCTCGTACCGCTTGTTGTCTCGCTCGTATTTGCAACACGCGCCGACGTAATTGATTCTGTCGCTTACGATGCATTGCATGGGTGTGTCCTCACAGTTCGCCCAGGCCCAGGAGGTCTGGCCGCAGACGTCGTAGCAATACAGCGGGACCTTGTCGCCACAGCCCGGGCAAGACAGCGTGACGTCTTGGTTGCCACTCACCGTCAGTGCGGGGATCTCTGTGACAGTCGTAGTCGTTGTCGTGGTAGTGGTGGTAGAACTCGTAGTGGCTTCGCATACGGTTTCGCTCTCCGAGGGCGGATAGCAGCAGGCAGTGACGACCGCCCCTACAACTTCTCCGGAAGTTAAGTTTCCCCTGACGACTGCCACGTTCTCCGGGCTACTTATTTTGCTGTAGTACTCCGTTGCATGTTCCGAATCGAGATCGAGTTGCGACCCGCATTGATTCTCTTGACACACCCGTTCGAAATCGCGGCAACCCGCGACCTCCCACACAACTGTTCTCTCGATGCTAGCAATTTTCGCTGCCGCCATCAATCCACGACTCTGCTCCGAATCAATTAAGATATCTTTTAACTTAGCGGGCAGCGCATCGTCGTCCGCATCCCACACGCTACTGACGTTGGCCTCCTGCGCCTCGTCAACGCGGAGCGCAAAGGTGACCTCGAGAAAGAGCACCTCGGTGGTTGCGTTCTTCTCCTTGACCGTAGCCCTCAACCCTTCCATCTGGTCCGTGTCGATAACAATCCCCTCTTCCGTTCCGTGTTCCGTGAAGAACTTTGCAAGCGATTGCTGTAAAAAACTCACTAGTGCCGCTTGCGTGTCCGCGTCCTCTGATTCTATGCTGGCGTCGCTGGCTGTCACATACAGGTCAAAACCCTTATAGAGTGCCACCTGCACCGGCGGTGTTGTGGTGGTCGCCGTACAGCCCGTCACGTTCACCGCCTCCCCCGGAACGTCGCACCGAAATTTGGGCGTACCCTCGAAATGGGTCAGGTTGCAACTGAATAAATCGTTCCCGATCCCCACCGCACCGGGACGCATACTCGGCGAACTCAGTAAGGCTTCCCAAGAACCTTCCAGTATCTCGCTGAGCCTGTAGTAGTCGTGATAAATTGAAAAATTTGAAAGAGAATTGCAAAGCGCATATATTTTAGTGGCCTTGATTGAACATCCTTGCAAAATTGGAGGACTAATGAGCCAGAAAAAACCAAAATTTCAATATGCTAGTACGTGCCCAACACGGCGAGATCGGTTGGAGCCTTGCAGCCGTCAACGCAGCAGGTTCCCTGGCAGTCCGACAGTTCTGGACACTCCTCGTTGCTGTCCAGCTGAACTTTGTACGCCTCATTCGCCCCACTGCCCGGTTGCGTGCAAGCATCCACGAGACCGCAGGTCGGAAAGCAACCGTTTTGGGCGGCGCTGGGCCACCCTGGCTTGTGCACGTAATGAAGAGCGCATTTTCCGGGGTCGCAATTCTGCGGCGCGTCCTCGCTGCACTTGGATCCAGCCACGACGTCGCCGTTCGCGCAAAGACAGTCCGGGGCATCGGCTAATGTCGTGATCGTCAGAGTCGTGGAATCGGGGTTTATTTCCACCCCGGTCAGCTCCGAGCTGGTTTCCTCGGAGACCGCAGCCACCACAGCTGTGTGGAGGTCCGCGGCCTTCGCAACTTGGTCCATGCCCAGTGGCTCCATCTTGGTAGTATTCCAATTCGCCTCGAGTAGGGCTTTGTCGTCTGCGCTTTGGAACCGCACCCCAAACGTCACCAGTACCACAGCCTCGTTTTCCGGTGCAACCGCCTCCAGTGCCGGCGCGGGCGGGGGCGGGCTCTGGCTGCAGCCGGCATTGCTTGGATTGTCCAGGCAGGCGTTGTACTCGTCAATAGTTTGGCACAACCACGGACTCCCGCACCCCGAGCGGTACTCCTGGTCAAAGTTCTCCTCGCAATAGGTCTTGAAGTCCGACAGGGACACCTCCGACATGCACTGTGCGCGATTTGCAAAGCACGCCCCGTATTCAGCCGCAGCTTTTATGAAGCAACTCGTGCCTGTCGGGCAGCTGCAGTCCTCCGCAACTACTGCCGTGTGATTGCTGTAGTCGTATTGCCAGGCCGGACCGTGCACATATCCCCCTTGTGGCTGCGTACATCTCTCAAACGTGTCCAACCCACATTCTGGCGTTTCGGACTGTGCTTGTGCGTGCTGCTCCTCGTCTATTCGTCCAGCACTCTCGGCGGTGCGTCCCACGACCAAGAAGGAAGAGGCACCACCACTACCAGCGTCCCCCCCTTCAACTACTTTCTCTGTTATTTCTACCATCTCGATTGTGTCGGCAGTTATCGACTCCGTGAAGGAGGAGCCGTCAAGTAGTGCATCGTTCAGAAAGGCAGCTACGCCAGTTTTAACCGCCGTCTTGAAAGCCTCCAAGTCAAGCACGTCCGCCAATGTCCTGGAGGAACCGCCGACGTCCGTCGTCGTGTAATTGAGCTTCATTTCGAACCTCAGCGTCACCAGCGGAATCACCTCCTGGTCGCAGCCAGTAAACTGTATCTCGTTACCGGCGGCTGCGCAATAGAACTTTGGGTCGTCGCCCTGCCATGCCGCGGTATTGCAAGTCACGCCGACGTGGCCGATGGCGTCTTGTTCTGGCATGCCCGGGGGCATGTTCTCGTTTGCAAGAATGGCCTTCCACTCCATAGATCCCAAATCAAGCCTATTTGTGATTTCGAGTTGCAGTTATTCCGTGTTTCGAATTGAGTATCAATACCAAAGAGAAAGAGAAAAACTCGCATTTCTTTGAGACATAAGACACTAAAGCTCTGTTCAAAAAGAACCTATATGCATCGCACAGCAAAACCGTCGTAAAAACTGGACGAGCAGTATGATCTCTATGAAAATAGCGCTCAAACAACAAATACCTCTCTGCTAGTTCCGCTGAGGGTTCCTTACAACCTAGCTGACAGCAGGCTGTTTTGCATGCGTCCTCTGGGAAAGTATCACCCAACGCAACTTCGTCCGAGAGGCGTGGGCACACGGCGGCATCGGGCCGCCGCACGTAGTAAGCACCATCAGCGTCCTGTTCGTCGCAGCCTGAAATACCCCTGCAGGTGGGTCTGCACCCGTTTTGAACCGCCACACTAGCGTCTGCCGGCCAGCCAGCCCAAAATCTGTAGTTCTCATCGCATTCGGATTCTTTACATGACTGGACTGCGTCAGATGTGCAGGCGTCGGTGGCGTTTCCGTTCGCGCACGTGCAATTCAATGGCTCTGGCTCTGCTGGCACTGGCTCTTCACCCGGCAGGAAGACACACTCGTGGAAATGCAGATTGGCGTCATCGATCTTGTCTGCGAAGGCGAATGACAGCGATTGGTGGTGTATCAAAACCAAAAGTGTAACTACCGCCCTGACGGAGTTCGTGCTCCTAATCGGCTGCACAGGTCCACCACCTTTGGAAATTACGAAACACTGACACATGCTTGTTTGGTGGCCGCTATTAAGATCAGTAAAAATTATCAATTTCGCCTGTTTCAAAAATCGATACATGATATCCAAAGCCACGAAAAGCAGTAGCGGCAACACTTTTGAGATTTGATATCGTTGCAAACGTGGCCGTCCTCGTACGTCTCTCCTTTTTTGCAACAAGCACCTTGGCTGGAATCGGTGCTGCAGAAGTCGCACGCACCTGCTGCGCTGCAGGGGGCGGTACCACCAGGCCCACTTGCCTCTGATTCTAAGCAAGACTGAGGCACTGCAACGCAGCTGTATTCTTGTCGAGCGCCATCGACAACTTCAGTTGCGACACCAAAATGCGTGTCCTGTCCCTGCTTTCGCATCTCTGCCTGAATTCGCCCGAGGCGTCTACACTCGAAGCCATTGTCAACATCATTTTCAGGATCAGGTGAATGGTCGCTTATGAACATTCGGATGTCCTCGCCGGACTTCTCTATGTTTTGGTACTTGCAGCAGTGGCCTTCGTATTTATTCGGCGCGTCGGCGGGGGCTTCCACTTTGCACGCCCGCAGCTCGTGGCTTTGCCACTGAGTCGGTTCATGGAAGTCGCATTTCGACTTACCATTCAGATATTCCCAGTTACCGCAAGCAAAGTTGCAAAAAAGTTTTGTCTCCAAATTGGCGTTGCCTTCTGTGCAGTCTTTCTCGGTCTCCCATTGCCAGTCGCCTTTCGCGAAAATCGAGGCCTCGCACGACACGCTTATCCCCGACGCGGTTGGGAAAGGCCCGTTCACCGGATCCGGAGTAGTCTTGCTTGAAACAACCAACCGCTTCTCCTGCAAAAACGTGTCCGCTTCATCTTCCTGCTTATCGGCTTTCCGATCTATCAGATCGTCCCCGTGCCACTGAGATGTTGTTGACCACGACTTTCTACTAGGGTTATAACCAGTTTCGTCGTCTTGCCCTCCGTTTTCCAAAAGTATCGCCCCAGTTGTGCTGCTCTCTCGGGCTACCCCGCTGTGTCTTGTGGGGCTTCGCACCTTCGTTTCAGCGACAGTTTTGGCTCTACTGCCTCCATTTGCGCCGGTGGCAGTCCTCGCGCTCCTCGCGCTCTTCTGGCGCGCAGTAGAGTACTGAAACCCGTGTACTCCGGAGGAAGTCGTGGATAAACATAGCACCCCTCCGGCGATCCAGAATTTTTGCAGGCCGTGGCAGAAGTCACGAGGACTCGGTGGGCTCACCTTCGTCTTGCGCAAATTCATTTTCTAGTCGTCGCCTCTGCACTCTGGTTCACTGCCGTGTCGCCTCCATTCCGTCCACGCTGTCTTCACAAATGACATCCATGAGAAGTAAGTAGTCGATTCCCGAACTGGGAATTCTTGTTCAAGGTGCATTGGCCGTGCGTATAGCCTTTCGGAGTTGTCTTCCTTGTGAGTGAATTGTGTTTCAGAAAACAACAAACCGGGAGTATACAAGCCACATCTTGTCCGACGGGGATGCGAAGTAATGACTGTGCTCCCGCAGCGTGCCGAAGGGAACAGCAGCTCCCTTCTGCCCTCCGCGGTCGGTAGTCCGAAGTCGGACCCAAACCCGATGAGTTGCAGCTATGGTTGATGCGCAAAACAGTACTTCTATTGCGGTTCGTGATAGGCTTTTGTTTCGGGGGAAAACGAGAACTATGTGAAAGAAGTGAATTCAGGAAAAATCATAATTCTTGAGGGGAAGGGGAGTCCAAATGTCTAACCTGTTTGAAAATGCAGCGAGAAAAGAAATCGCTCGTATTTTGTGCTGATATCTGCAAAGAAGCAAGTACTGCACGAGACATTGCTCGGAACGAAAAACGATACGACGGCGGTGTAGAAAGAGACACATACACATAGCAACGCAGCAATAAATTCCTGCTCACTAGGACCACGACGATAGGATTAGGAAAGAACGAAAACCGACATGCATGATTTATGGTACGAAGCGAGTATTCCTGCCTCACGACGAAGTGGTTTCCAACCAACGCCAGAACGAAGAAGCGGAGAACAACTCCTAATGTACGCAAACTATCGTAGAAGCACCTAAACCGAATTTACAGCAGAAAACAAAGCGCACAAGGACCGAGTAAATTAAGAGGCTGTTTTCAGGCAGTACCCCGTCCTAAAAAACGCGTGCTGTCTGTTTTGAACCTAAACCTGAATTGAAGGATTGCACGACCACGAAGAGGCTTAGACTGTATTTATTACACACATACATCTTCTTTAGTTTGCTTGGCAATGCCTATCAAAGAAGTTTGCTTAACTAATAAAACTCGCCAGGCAAAAGAACAGGGATTTATTTTGCACAACTCTGAAGTAAAAAAGTCATGCAGACACGCAGAAGCAGTTCCACGGATTTCCATTCGTTCAGTGATCTATTCCATCTCTTCCTGATGTTGCTGAACTTTTCTGTTTTCTGGGTACGGGAATGGGTTTCCTATTTCTAATTCTGAGATGATGATTGTCACGAGGAAAAATGAGGAAGAATTTCCTCATGGTTGATGCAATACCATTGATACAAAAACTTCGCTCAAATACATTGGAAGATAATTTTAGAAGATTTTTAATTTCAGATCGGTTGCAATAATGACCCCAAAACAAAGTTACGGGCCTTTCTTCAGCCTCAAAAAAAGTTCGCCACTGGCGAAAACAGCTCAACTACGTGGTTTCCTCTCTCATGAAGGACAATTTTTACACTCCCGTTGTACAATCCGTCCCTTTTTCTACTTGACAATAATACTAGGCATCTTACTTCTCTTCTTCTTAAATCTTTTTTCGCCGCTGTCCACCGGGGTCGACGTGGCTCGCCCGCTTTTGTTCTTCTTCTTTTTCTTGTCCCGGATTACCATGGAGGCCTGCTCGGCGCCGTCACTGGAGGCGGTTTCGGTCGGAGTGGCCCCCCCGCCCCGGGCGCTGCGCCGCGACGCCTTGTTTTCTTTATTTTTCTTAGCTTTTTTCTCTTTCATCTCCGCGGGCGGCTGGTCCGTGTCCGTGTTGTTGGGCGACCCGGCTTGCACGAGACTCCTGCTCCTGCTCGTGTCTTTCTTGTTCTTCTTGCTTTTCTTCGTGTCCCCGCGCAACTGCTGTGCCGGGTCCGAATCTCCGGCGCCACCGTCTGCCGGCGCGGGATTCGCGCCCCCCGCGGGCGGATCTCCGTCGCGCACCGAGATCACGTGGTCGGCGCTCTGTCCTCCGTGCCCGAACGACAAGGCCCGCTTTGCTTCGTCGTCGGAGGACTCTGCGACCACCTGCTTTGCTGCCTGCTGCTCCTCCTGAATCATTTGCGCCATCGACTTTCGGGGCTCCGTTGCCGCCTGGAGCTTAGCGTCCATCACCGCCTGAGCCAGGGACTTGCGCTCATCCACCTTCATGCCGAACGCCTTGGATACGCTGGCCGCGAAGCCCGCCGCGCCAGCCTGTCCTGTCGTGCCGCCCACCTCGCCGGGGGTCATGGCCGAGTTGGAGATCATGCCACCGCCGCCTTCGAAGGAATGGATGTCGTTCTCCTTGCCCGGTATCGAAGGCAAAAAAGCTAGCCGCGCTTCATATTTGTCGTGCAAATGCCGTCAATCCGAATACGTTCGAGCAGAACATATGTGCTCAAGATACTATATGGTTACTTATATTTTTTCGATTGCTTTCACACGACAAGCATGGCGCATTAGCTTTTCTCTCAGGATACTCTGCGGCATTTCCTTACTCTGGATTTTGTCCTTAGAGTTGGCCAGCCGAAATCCCTCCACCGAATCTGGCCGGTGGATGTCCGCACTCTCCTGGCCGCTTTTCCCCTTGGCCACGGCCTCGCCGCCCCCGTCGCCCTCGGTCATGTCCTCGTCCTCTTGCGACTTCTTTATGCTAAGTAAAAACCTCACCACCCCAGAGTTGTCTTTGTCACGCGGACCTGCATGATCGACTACAGCAGGAGCATTTGTAATAAATATGCGCAGAATGATCGCAATGAGAGAAATTTCGACGAGTCGACGTTTTTTGTTACTATTTCTAATGGGGATAAACGTGATGCGGCTGTCCCTGCGAACCATGAAAAGTGACAAACTTGATACAACTGACAGAAACTTGCCAACATCATGCGCGTCTACCAAAGCTTCTCGATTTGTGACGCCGGTAATTCTTCCCCGCTTGACGCTGGGGTAATATGGGTATCAGTTTTTACTCAGGATATTCTTGGCTGCGTCATCGTCTCCGTCGTGGACGTTCTGTGACTGCTTCGAATCCTCGTCCTCCTGCGATTTTAGTTTGGTACCTTTGTCAGCATTCTCTTCTGCATCGGACGAGTTCCGGGACTTTAGTTGATCCGTCTCCCGTCCGTCCTTTTCTTCCTCGGTATCTGATTTTATCTTCGCCCCCGCACCACCCTCCTTGGCGCTGTCGCTACTCCTGCTCGGGCGCGCCGCGGAGGCGTCGCCGAAAGGCTCCTTCTTGCCGTCTTTGTTCGCACCTTCCGAAGTCATATCCTCATCCCCGTCGTCTGCGTGCGGGAAGAAGCATATGATGCCCAGCACGCCGAGCGCAAAGACCAGAAGGGCGCCAACGATGATGAGCACAGCCACCCAGCCCTGCACGTCGTCCTCCTCGGCGTCAGTGCCGTCCCCGGACGTGGTATTTTTGGAGGTGCCGTTCTTGAGCTCCGCCCCGGCCCCGGGCGCTGCGGTTGTTGTGGTCCCGGTGAAGTCAATGATGTTAACCTCTCCCTTGGGCGTCGGCATCGTGGTGATGGTTTCGTCACCGACGTGCGGCGGCACGAACACGCACTCGTACTCCCACAGCGCGGCGTCCGCGATCCGGTCCGCGACGGGGAAGTCCGCGACCCGGCTGCAGGGGTCGCCCGCGGACAAGTTCGCGTCGCCCTTCTTGCAGCATCCCGGCGTGCGGTTGGCGCCAGTCGGGTCCTCCGCGGTGCACTGCCCTTCGCAGGCGTCGGCCGCCGGCCACGTGCGCCGCGCGGAGATCCAGCGCGGCATGGCCACGCAGGTGTACTCGTCCTGGTTGCTGTTTAGGAAGGCCTCGGTCACGCCGTGCGCGGGCGTGGCGTTCACCAAATTCACCAAGATCTGGCACTCCGTGGTGGCCTCGGCCGCCATCTGCCCCGGGGCGGGCACCACCGCATCCTCCGGCGCACCCGCAAACTTTGCCCGGTACTCGCAACAGGCGCCCTCGTACGCGTTCGGGTCTTCGCCCGCGGGAACCCCCTGCACGAGGCAGGCTTCCGCGCAATGCGGCGAATTCCACGCCCAGGAGCACTTCTGATAGCAGTGCAGCGCGGCCGGCGCCTCGTCGCCGCACTCGGGACAGGCCAGCTGGACGCGGGACCCGCGCGTCACGGACTTGTTGGGTCCCTCCACGAAGAGCGTGGTGGTGGTGGTCGTGGTTGTGCCAGCCGGCGTCAGAATCGTAGCGTTCCCCACGACTTGCACGCCCAGCAACCCCGGGGCGCCGTTAACGGCGCTCGCAATTGCAGCGCCGAGTGCCTGGTCTCCACTCACGAAAGCGGATCCGTCTGCCGGAACGGTGTCAGCACCGCGCCACGTTATGCAAGTTTCAGACGAGAATTTCGCGAAGTGGAAGCTGTGCTGTTTTCCAGTTCAGGCCTACAGCTTTGCTGTCGCATAAAAAATCTATTGTACTGTTCCGCGGTCAGAACATGTTTTTCATCACGAAGCTTACGACTGACAACGACAGTATGAGCGAGAGCCACTTTTGCAGCAGCTCTTGATTCATTACGCCTCTCCTTTACAGGAGCAGGAATGATATCGTGTTCCTGTCTAATGAAGCAGGAGAGTGACATAATTTCTTTCATTATCTTCCACTATGACGATTTTCCGCTTGCCACATCGATACACCAATAGTCCACTAGCAGCAGCGTTGCTTGCGGCGCCCGGATGCCGAATGTGGCCAGAACATCGACATACACAAAGTCGGTGTCGCCACCAGGCTGCTCAACCAACTTTTCGACTGTCTCCGTGTGCAGATGAAGCGTGTCCAGAAAACTTGTCTTTTTCGTGCGCCCGCGGCGCCCCATCTCTTGCGCCGTCCTCGTTGCGGCTCCTACTACGAGGCCGCGTGCGACTTTTGGCCTCCGCGGAGCCGTCAACCTGGGAACCACGAGTTGATGCTGCAAAAAGGACCCTGCTCCAGAGCCGGACCCACCGCTGCTGCCGGAGTTTTCCGCCGGCGTGGTGTTGCTGTGGTTTGTGCCATCATCATCCCCACGGGTGACGTTCAAAGCCGTCAGGTTCGCCGTCTCGAACTGCCCCAAGGTAAGGCCCGTGACCCCGGTGCCGAGAAGGAAGTCCAGCACCCCCCGCGTCACCGAGCTGCGAAGCTCCTCTCTCCGCAGGGCTTCCTCAATGTCCGCGAAGAGGGTGCCGTTGAGGCTCAAGTCCATTTCGAACTCCCGCACAGCAACCGGCAGCTCCGTGCCGTTCTCACCGGTGGTGGCGTTTCCCCCAGCGGCCACGCAAGAAAGCCCACTCTTTTCGAAACCGTCGTTACAGGTGTCACAGCCGAGCGTTACACCATCGGCCTCGCAGGTGGGAGCGCCTTGTAGAGCCACGCCGTTGTCGCAAACGCAGGTATTTGCCTCGCAGGCAGTGCCATTCAGATGGAACCCAGAATGGCAATCAGTGCAGATATGGGCCCCGTCGCCGGTGCACGCATCTCCGGTCGCTTTAACTCCGTCTGCGCAAACGCAGGCATTTGCATCGCAGGCAGTGCCATTCAGATGGAACCCAGAATGGCAATCAGTGCAGATATTGGCCCCGTCTCCGGTGCACGCATCTCCGGTCGCTTTAACTCCGTCTGCGCAAACGCAGGAGTTTGCCTCGCAGGCAGTGCCATTCAGATGGAACCCAGAATGGCAATCAATGCAGATATTGGCCCCGTCGTCGGTGCACGCATCTCCGGTCGCTTTAACTCCGTCTCCGCAAACGCAGGTGTTTGCCTCGCAGGCAGTGCCATTCAGATGAAAACCAGAATGGCAATCAGTGCACATATTGGCCCCGTCGCCGGTGCACGCATCTCCGGTCGCTTTAACTCCGTCTGCGCAAACGCAGGTGTTTGCCTCGCAGGCAGTGCCATTCAGATGAAACCCAGAATGGCAATCAATGCAGATATTGGCCCCGTCGCCGGTGCACGCATCTCCGGTCGCTTTAACTCCGTCTGCGCAAACGCAGGTGTTTGCCTCGCAGGCAGTGCCATTCAGATGGAACCCAGAATGGCAATCAATGCAGATATTGGCCCCGTCGCCGGTGCACGCATCTCCGGTCGCTTTAACTCCGTCTGCGCAAACGCAGGTGTTTGCCTCGCAGGCAGTGCCATTCAGATGGAACCCAGAATGGCAATCAGTGCAGATATTGGCCCCGTCGTCGGTGCAAGCTTCCCTAAGCGCTGCAGTCCCGTTTGCACAGGTGCACTCGTTCTGCTCGCACAGGCTGTTCGTATCGTTCAGGTGGAATCCGTCCGCTGTGCAGCGAATGCACTTGACCGTGTTGCCGCTTTCCTCGCAACCGGCACCTGTGGCCGCGTCGCCACCCGGGCAAGTGCACTCCCGCAACTTGCACTCATGGCCGTCTAGGTAGTAATCACCATCGCTGCACTCCGTGCAGCCCAGCGTCGTGCCGTCGGCAGCGCAGTCCGCGCCGGTTTTGTAATGCTCCGCCCCTTGGTCGCAATAGCAGCGGTTTATTTCGCACGTGAAATTAGTCGCTGTCGTGTTACTTTGATTCACGGGGTGGTACCCTAAGAAACATCCACTCTCCGTGCAGCCAGAAGTGCTTCCGTGCACCTCGCAAGCAGCGTCGATCAGAGGCTCGCCGTGGGCGCAGAAACAGGTGTTGGGGACGCACTGTTTTCCTACGTCCGTAAGGTTGTTCCGGTACCCAGGATTGCACTCGCCGCCAGCGCATCCAGCCGTCACACCGTTTTCCTCGCAGAATTCTGCACTAACCAGGGCGGCTCCGTGTTCGCACCTGCAAGAATTAGCTACACAATTCCTCCCTTCGCTATCATCGTTGTGGTAGTAGCCAGAGTCCTCGTGGTTGTGGCATTGCCCATCCACGCACCCCACCGTTGTGCCGTTCGCATCGCAGCGTGAACCTATTTCGGCTACGCCGTTGGCGCAGGTGCAGCTGTGCAGTGCGCACGTGATCGAATCTGTCGCACCATCTGCAGGGAGGTCACACGTGGCTGCCGCGATCACAGCGGCATTTACATCCTCCCCATTTACTGCTTCTGTTCGGGTGAAGGTACGCGACAACGTCTCGCCCGCCCCCGTGCAATTCTGTTCCAGGTCGGGAAGCTCGACGTCCCAGAGGCCCGTGCAGTTCCTTGGGCACGTAATCTCCTCTTCTTTGTCGTTCTCTGGGAGGTCACACGTGCTTGCCGGGATCTCGTAGCCATTTACATCCTCCCCATTTACTGCTTCTGTTCGGGTGAAGGTACGCGACAACGTCTCGCCCGCCCCCGTGCAATTCTGTTCCAGGTCGGGAAGCTCGACGTCCCAGAGGCCCGTGCAGTTCCTTGGGCACGTAATCTCCTCTTCTTTGTCGTTCTCTGGGAGGTCACACGTGCTTGCCGGGATCTCGTAGCCATTTACATCCTCCCCATTTACTGCTTCTGTTCGGGTGAAGGTACGCGACAACGTCTCGCCCGCCCCCGTGCAATTCTGTTCCAGGTCGGGAAGCTCGACGTCCCAGAGGCCCGTGCAGTTCCTTGGGCACGTAATCTCCTCTTCTTTGTCGTTCTCTGGGAGGTCACACGTGCTTGCCGGGATCTCGTAGCCATTTACATCCTCCCCATTTACTGCTTCTGTTCGGGTGAAGGTACGCGACAACGTCTCGCCCGCCCCCGTGCAATTCTGTTCCAGGTCGGGAAGCTCGACGTCCCAGAGGCCCGTGCAGTTCCTTGGGCACGTAATCTCCTCTTCTTTGTCGTTCTCTGGGAGGTCACACGTGCTTGCCGGGATCTCGTAGCCATTTACATCCTCCCCATTTACTGCTTCTGTTCGGGTGAAGGTACGCGACAACGTCTCGCCCGCCCCCGTGCAATTCTGTTCCAGGTCGGGAAGCTCGACGTCCCAGAGGCCCGTGCAGTTCCTTGGGCACGTAATCTCCTCTTCTTTGTCGTTCTCTGGGAGGTCACACGTGCTTGCCGGGATCTCGTAGCCATTTACATCCTCCCCATTTACTGCTTCTGTTCGGGTGAAGGTACGCGACAACGTCTCGCCCGCCCCCGTGCAATTCTGTTCCAGGTCGGGAAGCTCGACGTCCCAGAGGCCCGTGCAGTTCCTTGGGCACGTAATCTCCTCTTCTTTGTCGTTCTCTGGGAGGTCACACGTGCTTGCCGGGATCTCGTAGCCATTTACATCCTCCCCATTTACTGCTTCTGTTCGGGTGAAGGTACGCGACAACGTCTCGCCCGCCCCCGTGCAATTCTGTTCCAGGTCGGGAAGCTCGACGTCCCAGAGGCCCGTGCAGTTCCTTGGGCACGTAATCTCCTCTTCTTTGTCGTTCTCTGGGAGGTCACACGTGCTTGCCGGGATCTCGTAGCCATTTACATCCTCCCCATTTACTGCTTCTGTTCGGGTGAAGGTACGCGACAACGTCTCGCCCGCCCCCGTGCATTCTTGTTCCAGTTCTACGACGTCCCAGAAACCCGTGCAGTTCGTCGGGCAGGTGAGGGTTTCTTGATGCCCATTCACGTAATCACAGTCATTCCCACCATTCAGTGCGGCCCGATCGTGCGTATAGACTCGCGTCACTACTTTTCCGTCTCCGGCAGAGCAGAGCGTGCTTTGTAGTAACTCAGTGTCATTCCAGGAACCCTGGCAATCCGTGGGGCAGGTGATATCTTGCGTTGTGTCGCCCGCGGGCGAACACTCGGCTGCGTTGATCACACTCCCTCTTATGCAGTGCAAACCTGTCGAGGTCTGGATTTCTGCTGTGTCTTACAAGACCACTCATATGACAAATTACATCCTGTATTAAGGGCCGACTGCGCAAATACCTTTGTTCTCATGCCGGAAACAACAATTGTACCGGCGGAGACAGCACCATCATGAGTGTCAAACTAACAAGGCCTCTCAATATCAAAATCGCGAGCTCTCCTGAAAAACAATCCCCATCAAAAAAGGACTAACTTATTTGGTTAGTTATGCACATTGTTTTCAGCAGACATCCCAGATTCACAATTTGCAGCTGGTACCGTCAGCCCCCTGGCCATCTACCGCTGACGTCGTTACGGTGTACATGACCGTCACCGTCTCGCCGTCCCCCGCGCACCGTGTATCCACTACGTCATCGGGGTCCGTGTCCCATGACCCCACGCAGTCGGTCGGACAAATGATGGTCTCTTGAGCGCCATCCGCCTCTTCGCAAGCAGCTGCGCCGCCGCCGACCGGGCTGCTTGTGACGCTGTACTCTCGCGTGAACACTTGCCCGTTTCTACTTGCACTGCACAATTCCCCAGTCGCGAACACATCGTTCGACACGTTCCACGCCCCTACACAGTCACGCACGCAGGCTTGTTCTCGCAGATAGAATCCGTTGCTGCAACTGGCACAGCCGGGCGTGCTCTGGTGTTCTGTACAGATTCCAGGATCCGTCAGTGGAGAACCGTTGTCGCACGCGCACTCATTCGCAACACAACTGTCGTCTGCTTCTTTGTGGTAGCCGCTAGCGCACTCTTTGCACTTCTCCGGAGGGGGGTCGCTACAAACGGACCCCGTGGCGGGAGTACCGTTGGCGCACGTGCATTCCTTTAGCCGGCATTCCGTGCCAACTTTGTGGTAGTCTTCGTCGGCGCAATCAGTGCAGCCCTCCGTCCCACCGTCGTCAGCGCAACCCTCGCCGGTTTTGTGTGTGCCTGCATCGCAAAAACACTGGTTTATTTCGCAAGTAACATTGTTACCAGTTGCAGGCACTGGGTGGTACCATTCGTCGCACCCATCCTGCGTGCACCCGATCGTGTTTTGATGCACTAGGCAAGCTGCGTCCGTAAGGGGCACGCCGTGCGCGCAACGACAGGTATTGACGACGCAGGTGTTCTCCCCGCTCAAGTGATGGCCCTCGTGGCACGGCGCCACGCACTTTTGCTCGCCGTGGGTTTGACATTCGACTCCGGTAGCATAGTTTCCGTTTGCACACGTGCATTGGTTTTCTACACAGGTGCCCCGTCCACCGCCTCCATCAATCTCCTCGTAGTGATACCCCGAGTTGCAGACTTGTTGGGGGTCACACCCATCCGTCACACCGTTTTCCTCGCACAAATCCGCACTCACCAGCGCCGATCCGTGGACGCACTTGCAAGAATTAGTTACACAATTATTTCCTTCAGTATCTCGAGGGTCGTTGTGGTAGTGCCCCAACTGGCCGTCGTTGTTGCATTCCCCTTGCACACACCCCACCGTTTCGCCGTCCGCATTGCAGCGCGAGCCTGTTTCGGCTTCACCGTGGGCGCAGATGCAGCTGTGCAGTGGGCACGTGATAGACTCTGTCGTGCCATTTGCACGGAGGTCACACGTGGCTGCCGCGATCACAGCGGCATTTACATCCTCCCCATTTACTGCTTCTGTCCGTGTAAAGGTACGCGAAAAGGTCTCGCCCGCCCCGGTGCATTCTTGTTCCAGTTCTACGACGTCCCAGAAACCCGTGCAGTTCGTCGGGCACGTAATCTTCTCTATTGCGCCGGCCGCTGGGAGGGTGCACGTTCCTGCCACGATCTCCGAGTTGTTTTCATCCCGACCATTTACTGCTTCTGTCCGTGTGAAGGTACGCGATAACGTCTCGCCCGCCCCTGTGCAGACCGTCTCCGGTAGTAATTCTGTGTCATTCCAGAAGCCTTGGCAATCCGTCGGACAAGTGATGGTCTCTTGAGTGCCATCACCGGCTTCGCAAGCTTCGGCAGCGGCGCCAATTGCGCTCCTTACAACGCTGTACACTCGGGTAATCACTTCTCCGTTTCCTGCAACTGCACTGCATAATTGCATAGCCACGAAATCTATCAAATGCACATACGTCGGGGTCTGGAAGAACGCAACGTCTGTCTTCATGCATCTCGCGTATAACGCAAATGGTGTGGAATGCACACAGAAGCATCACAACCTTCACGACGACTCCTCAATGCCTATCCCGCATGGGACATTTGCCCTTTGCGCAAGTAGCAAGAAGCTGGCGGCTTTTGGCGTTCATGCAACACAGATATTTGTGCGCTCTTGACTCAGCGTGACATGTTGCAGCATTCCAGACCGCGACATATTTGCAATGCATAAAATCTCCGTTCGTGACGTTCCACGAACCCTCACAGTCACGCACGCAGGAGTGATCCTCTGCATGCAGCTTGAAACCCTCGCTCTCCTTGCAGCTAGCACAGCCGGGCGTACTCTGGTGCTCTGTACAAACTGCAGGATCCGTCAGTGGAAAGCCATTTTCACAGGTGCATTGGTTCTCTACACAGGTGCCCCGCCCATCACCTCCATCGATCTCTTCGTGGTGGTACCCCTCGTGGCAGCCAGTTTCGCTGCACCCGATCGTGTTTTCGTGTGACTCACAGACAGCGTCCACGAGAGGCTCGCCGTTGGCACATGCGCAGGTGTTGGGGACACACTCCTTCCGTACGTCCGTTGGATTGTTCCGGTACCCAGAATCGCATTCATTGTCACGGCACTGCATCGCGCCGTTCTCTGGGCATTCGGACCCTATAGCAGATTCACCGAACTCACAGGTACACTCTTTCAATTGGCAATCAAATCTGCCATCTCCATTGCCTATGTCCACGTTGAAGTAGCCGTCAAGGCAGCCGCCATCCACACATCCAACTGTCTCATCATTTTGCTCGCACAGCAAAGCACTAACCAACTCAGTTCCGTGATCGCACTTGCAAGAATTAGCCACACAATTGTTCCCTGCTTCACCACCATCGTTGTGGTAGTAGCCGGCCACGTCGTTATTGCATCCGCCAACCACACACCCCACAGTCACGCCATCTTCAATGCAGTCCGAACCTGTTTCGGCTTCGCCGTGCTCACAGGTACAGGTATGCAGCGGGCACGCGGTACTACTGTCCTGTGTCGTACCATTTATGGGTAGGTCACACGAGCTCGCTGCGATCTCCGTGCCATTTATATGCATGCCCGGTTCTGCTTCTACTCGGTTGAACATTTCCGTCAGAGTCTCGCCCGCACCGGTGCAGGCCCCTTGTACCTCCCAGGACCCCGTGCAGTCCGTTGGGCAGAGGATGCTCTGTGTCTCGCCTGAAACGTGCGGGCACTCTGCCGCACCCTCCGAAACTTCGTACTTCCTCGTCAGAGTTTCCCCTTTGCCCTCGCACTGGCTCACCAGCACCTCCTCCGTGACATTCCAGCTGGCCACACAAGACTCGCACGCCGAGATGCCGACGCAAGCCCGGCTTTCGGTCTCAGTCTCGGCGCACGCTTCACTAGCGGGCTCTTTAGACCGCGTGTAAGTTTGTGTCCCGCTCGACCCGCTGCAGGTCTCCGAACAGTCTCCGGTCGCACTCCAGTCGCCCCAGACGCACTCCACTGCCGCGGGCTCAGGCACGACCACGCACTCGTACTTCCACAGCGTGGCGCTTTGCCGCATGTTGTCCGCGAACGGAAAGTATCAAATGTAAAAATGTCTGGGTCTGGAAGAATGCAAGTTTGTCATGCTTGTCTCACATGACACTTCAATTTGTCATGCGCATTACCCAAGACCCCCATTTTTCTGTCATGCAGAAACGCAGTTTGTCATGCAGATTAGGCAACACCAAGAAGCTCAGAAACTTGTCATGCTGAGCCAGAACTTGTGGCCTCCTCATGATACGCCGCCCAGCGTCACAAGTTTCCAGACCCAGACATTTTTACACTTGATAGAAAGACCATGCCGCTCGACTCTTGGTGGTTGCAGACATTGTCGCCGCCCGGGTCAGTGCCGGTTTCGTCGGTCTCGCCCTTCTTGCAGCAGGCACCCTGCCGACCGTCCCCCGGGTTGCAGAAATCGCACAACCCGGCTTTGCCGTTGCACTCGCTCGTGCAGTCAGTGGGGATGGCCATGCAGATGTTCCTCTTGTACGATTCCCACTGAGACCATGGCAGGTTATCCACTGCTGCAGTGGACGCAGGATTCGTCCCGAGCGCCGCCAGCCCGGTCGCGTCTTGCACGCTCCGGAGGTGGTCACATCCAGTCTGAAGATCTCCTCCTGTCGGTCCCCGTATTCCTACATCCTTCTCATAAAAGCAGCAACCCCCGATATACTTGTTCGGCGATCCGGCTGGAGCCGACGCGCTACAGGCGGTCAAGTCGCCTTCTCTATGGGGTTGCCTGCTGCACACTGAGCCGTCGCATTCTCCGCGGTGTATGATGTGGGGAAGTGCCGTAGTCGCATTAAATGAAAATCGTCTCAGCACATAGAAGAATTGTTCTTCTCCTAGTTTGTCTGGTATGAGAGCGCTTCGCCCACGCCGCTCCTCTGGACATCGGGCATGTCAAGCATGCCGACAACGAGTCCGTGCTTGATGGCATGGTAGCCGCACTTCGTAGTCACGTAGCAAAGCCGTGAGGCACGTTGAGAAAAATATAGGAGCGATTTAGTCGCATGTTAGATAGTGTCCCTTGTTTTTATTTGCATCCAGACTTTGTAAAGCTGCAAGGAAGCAACAAGACGCTGTTTCAATACGACTACGACATTGTCGCACAAAATACAATCATTCAAATAGTGCCATGTGCCACACGCATTGTAGCAATCGAGCCCCGCGGCGTCTGGACCACAACCGTCGCACTCTACCTGCACGTTCAGGTCCAAGGCCGGCACGATATCATGCCAAAAAAATCACTCACCATGAACATGAAGATGTGTCTGCGCGATGATCTGCATAACAGCAAGTATTCTACTTTTTAGAAGAAAAAAGGAGTCGAAGAAAATCTTCCTGCGTGGTTTCTAGACGAAGACACACTTTTTTGCGTTTGCAGCAGGACAGAGAGCTCCGCTCGGCCTGTGGCTCTGCATCGCACTTGCATTTGCACAAGCTTAAGCATGCTCATCAGCAGGCTCATCTGCATTACCAGTTCACAGTGACGTGCTCTTTTCTGAGAGATATGTGTCGCCCGCGTTGTTGGGTGGTGTAGTGAGGATCGCATTGTACTGTTCGATGGTCTGGCACAACCACGCACCATCACACCCCGTCGAACCTTGATCGGTGCACCAGTCTTCGAAAACCTCACCATTCTTCACCGATGTCTTACACTGATCGACATCTGCAAAGCAGGCCCCGTACTCGGCTCCCTCCTTCAGGAAGCAGCTCTCGCCGGACCCGCACACACATAAATCCTCGTCGAGCTTGGCCTCGACGCCGCTGTAGCCGCCATTCCCAGTGTCCACCCATCCCGTTACCGGAATGCTGCACCGCTGGAAACCCACGCAGGTATCACCCGAAGCTTTCGCATGGTGTGCCTCCTCCGCAAAGCTGAGATCCTGTACTCGTGCAACCCAGGAGATTCCAGTAGCATCTTCCCTCGGTTGGTGCTGCCCGGACTTCTTGCTGCCTGCCACGGCAGTGGGACTCCCTCGCGTTCGATCGGATCTGTCGAGATTTCTCCTACTCCCTGCGACGATGTCTCGGCGGAGGCTTCCTTTGTTAAGACTCTTCTGGGGTTTCACGAACTGAAACGCCTTGACGAAAAGAGTACTTCTTGTACAAGTGAGGAAGATAATATTGCCGTTGAACGACGTCTCATACGAATCATCCAACCAGAATGGTACCGCGTTCACTATTAGCGCTAGCAGACCTCTAGTTACCTTGGTCATTTTGGATTGCCTGGACGTGAAAATATCCTGACTGGTCGTTGTTACCAACAGGTGCTAGACAAACGCAAAACCCAGGCCATGGCCATGATCTACAGACAAATAGGCGAACAAGTTACAAGTACTTGGTATAAAATATTTTTCCACTAAAGAACTAAAACTGTCTTGAGGCTGGGGACGAACAGTATCTCGGCAATGCTGAAACGTCCCATCTCTAGAGGATGGAAGATCTAGAAAAAAAAGGTAGCTCTCAACTTCATCTCGGGGGAAGCGTAGTGGGGAAAGGGGAAGGGGTAGCCAAACACAAATCTGGAGGGAAAAGGAAAACATAAAGAAAAAGCGTCACAACGAACGACGATTTTCAATCTGTTTCGTACGATGGATGATCAAATAAACGACAGAAGAACGAATATGGGACGAATCTGTACGCTGGTATGTGTTGCTAGACGCTGTGGTGCACGATATTGGACGAGGTGTCAGTTTGTCCACGGGATAAAACGACTACACATGATACTGAGCCTCCGGATCTGGTAAGTACATGCCGATTTTCTTTATTTTCTGCTGCATATCACTCTTTTCTGTGCAGAAATGATTTTGAACTATCGTTGGACGCAATCTAAATCCTCTTCTGAACTGTGCACTTTGGCCCATACAACGAGAAACACCAACAGGCCAACATTCTACTTAAGCTTTCACATTTAGCTTTTTCTTCGGCTTGTTTGGACTTTCCATTCCGTATGAAACCTAGGTCCTCTGGACACGCCCTTAGTTTAAGCTTTCGCTTTATTCCGTCACCCGAAAGCTTCTTCTAGCAGCTTTTTCTTGCGACGCTCGATTCAAGCTACACAATCGCGTTGATGTGGAAATCTTTCCCTGCCAGCGTAGTATGCCTGCTGGTCTTTTTGATTCTGTTGCGAAGATGGTAAAATCCATTGCTGTTACCTGTTGCTTAAGCTCTGTCAGATGCAGCTTCCATTGTTTTCTCTGATGTGATATCAATAAAACTCGAGTCTATCTCTTTGTACTGTTGTACACTTCTGGTGAAAATAAAGGAAAACGACGTTCTTGTGCTTGGGTCCTTTTCCTTGCTTGGATGATTGCTCCACATCTTGAAAAAAAGTTAGGAAAAGAAAACCGTGCGGCATACCCTGAAACAGGACCGCGCCAGCAGAAAAGCGGCATATTACTGCGACTTCACTGGCCCTCTTCGAAGTCTCCTCCAGCATCGCGCCGCGTCTAGCTTCCAAACAGGCCCGCAAAGACCCCGCTCCGTGCGGAATCGATGGGCGTTTGGTCGGCCCCGTTTGTCTCTCGAACTGCGGACTTCGCCTGCAAACTCTTCTGCGTTTGACTCGCCGCCCGCTGCTCGGACCGGAGAGACGTGCGAATCTCTCGCTCGCGCAAGGACGCCGTGTAGAGTGCGCGTTGGAGCTGATGTATGGGAGGAAGTTTCATCTCTTGGATTGGTGTTAATCGTACACTACCTATGTTCTTCTCTCGTCTGCTTTGCGAAAAAAAGTAAGTCTGACGCTCGCATCTCATGGCGTGCCTAATAGTATACAAATTCAAAAACGGGCATTGATACGTCTTGCTTCAGCTTTTTGTTTTTTTTCTGCGCGACCGCGAAGTCCTGTGAGAGTTTTTTCGTCGCCTTGCAGGCGCGGGACCGGCGCCCCCACTCGTGAAAGCGGAAATTGGTCGCGGGCGCCAACGTGCAGCTGAGATCATTCTCCGCCGCGTTTTCCTCTTCGTATTTGCGTCGCTGCAGGTCCCGGTTGGCGAGGTACACGTGTCCCAACTCCTCCTCGACCGCACCGGACTCCCGGATTTCCTTCCGACTCCGCTCTAGGTCCTGCTCGGCCTTCTTCAGCAGCTGTTTTCGCCGCGTCTCGCCCAAGGCACGGTGCATCCGCTGGGCGGTCAGCGTTTTCAAGATAGCCCCCCTGGTATGCAAGAGGCCTAAAGCGCTGCACGGTTGATATCATGATGTGTGTTTAACTAAAGCGATGTTCTTATCTAGAGACCATTCGTGTTGCTCCGCTACTCCCCGATCTCGCACTCTATCAAATTATACCGCATTGGAATGTTGATCATGTTGATCTTCGTCTTGTCCTATGGATCGACTTTTTCAAAAATGGAAGAGGAACGCGGTTGCAGTAACTTTCTCAGACGGTCTCGGTGCAGCTAAGTGCTTTATTTGACATACTTTAGGCCTGACTCTGGCCGGATGAGTTCCGGATATAGCTTCTCCTTTGCGTGTTTCAAATCCTCGTGCATCCGCGGCAGACAGTATGGAGACGCACAACAACCTCCTGCTGCTCTCCCACTTATCTATTGAGGACTGGTCCGCAGTAGGGCAAGATATTAAACGTTTGCGCGACTTGCGGAATTTATCATGCAATCAGAGGATGCAGAAGCTAAGGCCAGGTTTGCAAGCGCGGTGGGGACGTTGTGCAGTTTGTGACCCTGTTGAGAAAGTACGACCACACAAGCAGGAGCGGGTTGTGAGGATGTTGTGCAAGGTGATAGACATCGCTCGTACTCCCGCGAGACAGACGCCACCAGATCCTCCAGTAGCCGGACCTTGCGCAGCAACGTTTCGGAGTGAACCCGCAACGCAAACACGTCAATGGCCTGCACGTGCTGCCTCTGCCACGCTTCTAGCGCCGTGAAGAACTCGGACATGGACTGCTCGCCTCGTTGGTCCAGCGGGTCCACGTCTAACAGATCCAAAATCATTTGCACCTGACTGGACTTCATGCCGGCTATCTGCAGCGCCGCGCTTTGGTCGCCGTCCCGACTGCTTGAATTGGCGTATCCACCGGTGCAACTCGCTGAGTTAGGACATGATCAGTCGAGAAACAATACCAAAGTGCAGATTCATTTTTTGATAGTGTATAGAAATCTTCGACATTTCTTGGGTTTTATTATCTTCTGCGTCTGTCACACGAAGGATGCATACACGAGAGCAGGATTTTCTACACGACGTGACATCATATCCTCCATCGTTCGCATCTTAATTTCAGTTGGTAATTCCTCGACGACCCTGCTCATGAATGACTCGCTGCACCACTGGATACGGTGTTGCTTTCGAACATTTTGTCGATTAGTCTGCGGTCAATCCAGACCTCGCCTTCCGCGTCGAGCGATACGTAGGCGGCCAACCTTGATCGAAGCCCGCCCTGAATGTGGTTTGCGGTACCACTGTAAAAGGAAAGCGACTGCATGGTAAATAGATGAACGAAACTAATACCTTCACAAATATTCCGTTCAATCCTCAAACGCGTGATTGTCGAAATAGCCGCAATCCCGGTCCCCAGCAGACCTGCTAGACATACAGCACGCACTTACATACACTATCGACAGTACCATGTCTCCACGCATCTGCGAGTACCGCCGCATGTCCGTTTGTTTTCTTCGTTCTTCGAGAATTTCGTAGGCCGTCTCGCAAAAAATTCCAATCACGATGTTCAGGAGCCCGAAATTCATCAGCGTGATGATGATCGCGAAAATATCATATGTAAAAACATCCCCACACCATAGTCAAGATGGAAAGTCTGCAACACAAGTCCCCAAGTTTTCGGAGGTCCGCATGACAAATTTGGCCTCATAGTGTAATCCTGTTTAGCTAGTTCAGCAGCATCACAGATCTAGCACATCATGCCGATTGGAGCATGACAAATTGCGAAACACGACTAAAAATTGCCTCTCATGGGGCTCCGCATGAGAAGCATTTTTACCATGCAGATTTGCACGACAACTCTGGGGTGGGGACGTTTTTACATAGGATAGAAAAAGATAAACACCTGACTGTGCGCGTCCACCATCGGCTTCACCACCGCAGACCAATTGTCGAAAGTCGCTGCTTATGGACATTGCAAAAGGATTGATCACTTCGCATACGCTTATGAAACGATAAAAGTCTTTCTACAATGCCAGGAAGACTTCTGCCTGGCGTGCTCCTCGAAAAAGTGAAAGTCGCATCTACTTGCTTTGTTGCAGCAACCGCGAAAATGTAATCTATCTTGACTCGACTCCGCGTATGCGAAGCAACAACGATGCTTAATCATCTTTCGCGCATCGTAGAATCTGCATCACCGTCAAACTCGAGGAAGCAAGGGTTCCGAAATACACCTGGGCATTCACGATGTCCTGGTCACGGAGGAGGAGCATTCCGAAGATGCTGATCAAGTACACCAGAATCGCGGACCCCACCCCCATATCAAATGTAAAAGCGTCTGGGTCTGGAAGGTTGGAACTTGTGATGCTGCATTCGGATGTCTAAGAAATTTGCGTTGCGTGAGCAGCAAAAGGAATCCAATTTTTGCTACGCGGAGAGGGCACTTGTCATGCGGGATAGGCATCAAGAATCCCTCAAAAACCCTGCGATGCTAGGGCATGCATCACAGACATCATGGCTCATGCAAAACGTGCATGACAAGTCTCAGGATCTTCCAGACCCAGACATTTTTGCATTTGATACCCCACCCAGAAGAGGGTCCGGACCGCGGACTGCATGCCCTGCAACAACAGCCACCCCTATTACAGTGAAAAGTGCCCCCCACCCCTGACATTGCAAATATTTGTGATGCGCAGTTTCCAAATGAAAACTTTTTGTCATGCATGAAAGGCATATGAATCTTTCTGATGCAGAGTCTAGGCGAGTATCGCATCGCTTGCATGACAAGCGCCGCTCTTGCTGGGGTCTTTTGCAATACAAATTTTTGCTATTCACAATTGGAAACCTGTGATGCTGATAGATGCAAGAGGGCGAATGTTTCATTTGGAAAGGTTTGCAATACAAATGGGGGGTGGGGGCATTTTTCATTGCAGTAACCCCTCGTCGAAATTCGGAAAGTCGTGGCGCGCGAACCGCAAAAACTGCACGAAGGGGAGGCGCAGCGGCAGCAGGGAAATGTTCGCGAACGCGCTGGCCGAGATGAGGGCGAGATCGAGCGCGCAGTAGGGGTCCGCACGCAAAAAGTAGGGGAACTCGCAGGGGAAGAGGGATAAACCCACGCAGAGGTACTGCCGTTGCGGGAGGATGTTCAACGTAAAAATCACGTCGTTGTTATATTCCGACTGGATGAACAGCAAGTACCGCAGCAGATTTTCCCCGATGAAAATGACCAAAAAAGCCCCCTCGATGAGGCGGAAGGCGTCGTTGCTCGACGTGCCGCTGTCCACGTGGGCGGTCGTGTTGAAGTTCGTGCGCTCGGACAGCGACAGGCCCATGAGAATCGCGTGGAGCAGCGCGGCGGCGAACCAAAAGCAGTCCACGGGAAACAAAGCGTTGTTTACGGCCTCCCGGAAAAACACCAGACTCGCCTCGTCCTCCGCGTCAGCCACGGGGGCCTGGTCGTCTGCCCCGCCCGCCGCTGCGTGGTCCCCTTCGTTGCTCTCCTCTCCGCTCCGGTCCCCACTCCGCGGGGTCCCGCTGCCCTGACTGCGGGGGCTCACCATCGCGAACAGGTTGGCTTTCGAGGTCGGGCTCACCTGCTGTCGTTGCCGCTGCTGCTCCCGTATGAACTGCAAAACAAGTATCGCACTCGTATAAATGAATTACAAATTTCCTCAGCATGAGAAATAAAATTGGTTATGCATGACTGCAATACGAGTACGATACTTTTGCACAAGATATCCCGCCGCCTCGCGTTTTCCTCCTCGCTGCTTCCGCAGCAGCAAATCCGGACAAACAGGTTCTTCAACTTGCCCAGACACGTGTCCGACGCGGTCAACGCGTCGAGCGTTTTCGAGGAGGTGAAGGATGCGAAGGAGGTGGAAAAACCTCCACCCGTGTTGTTCAACGAGTCCAACACCTCCTTCGGAATGTGCTTCCGGTGCTGTCCGAAATGCAAAAACCCCTGTTCGATCTGCACGTCGGCAGAACTCGCGCCCGGCTTCCGCACGGTTTCCAATCGCCGCATCTCCGCCAAGGTTGACTTGTGGTACGTTTCCTGCTTCTTCATCACGCCCTGCCGTTCCCGGTCCACGAACTCGTTGCACTGGTCCACTAGTGTCAAGGGGAAGTCGTTCCAGGGGCACTGCGCCCACCGGGCCAAACCATGCAGGTCCGCTTGGGGCGTGTTGCCTAGATGGGGTAGAATTCGGATGTTGTCGCCGAGCCGGAGGTGTTCGTACTCCATGGGCGCGAACTGGGGTTCAAAAGCGTTGACGAACGGGTGCCACAGCGTCAGCGTCTCCCGCCCGGACTTCGGGTAGGCGATCTGATCCGGGTACGCTATCGTAGGGGAAAATCCCCCCTCGCCATACTGAAGCGGTATACTTTTTGAAATCTGTGATGCTGATTTGTGGTCACAAATCGTGTCTGTCTTGCAAGAAGGCAACTCCGCAGGCTCCGCCGCATTGTGCAAGCGGTTTGTCATGCTTTTGGACCTACAGCTCGGATATTTTTCATGCTATGCGCCTAGGCCAAAACCTCTCTACTCACGCTTAGTATGGGCCTGCAATGCTCTTCAGCAATTTGTGTACACATATCCAGCATCAGAAATTCCGTTTTGATATGGGGAGGGGGGATTTTTCCTTTCGATATACGCCGCGCGGTCTTCCGGGAGGAAATCCAGGGTGCACCGACTACTCGCACCGTCTCCCGCCAAGGTGGAATTATTGCCTCTATCTTGTGAAGCTTCTCTCGTCCCTTGTCGTTGCGAATGAGAGTCCTGCTCTCCTAAAAAATCATCCTGTTCGTGGACCGGCGGTAAAAATTCTTTCACCTTCTGACTCCGTTTCGCCTGCCGTTTCCTCGTGCGCGCCTCCTCGATCTCCTGTTTCGAGATCATCCGTCCCCTCTTGGCGCTCGATGCCCGCTTGGCGGGGGAAATGAACGGCTCGAGCCCGTCCAAAACCACGGACAGCGCCTGCGCGGTCTCCGCCTTGGACGCGACCAACGAGGACGATGCACTGCTCTGCTTCTTCCCCGGCGGCCGCTTCGGGGCGACGGACAGCGTGTCGGGCACCTGCAGCACCGGGTAGATCTCCTGCGCCTCCTTGTAGCAGGCGTCCAGTTTGTGCATGAAGTTCGCCACCGCCTGATTCGTTTGCCCCTTCAAATGCCCCATCATCTCCAGCGCGTGCGAGCTGGCGGCGCGCAGGTACACCATGTCGCGCGGCAGAAACACCCGCTCGCTGAGCCAGGACAGCACGTGGATGAAGCTGTCGATGGAAAAGTCGTATTCCTGGGTGACTGGGTTCACCTCCGCGATCAAATGCACCAATTCCCGGAGCTTGTTTAGGGGAAGGAAAGGTTTCAGAAACTGGATTTGCTTCTGAAAAGCACCCTCGTCGTACAGTTCCGCAAACTCGACCACGCCCATTCTATGCGGGTTCCGGAGCAAGGGCCGGTTGTTGACGGACGAGAGAATTTTTTTCAACCGAATCAGCCCCAGCCGGTGCTCGAAATTCCGCTGCGCCTCGCCGGACCTGCGGGCGCTCTCCTCGATCGCGAGGGCGGTGTACACCATCACGCGACATTCAAAGGGAATGCGGGTCGTTTTGGGGTGAGATCAGGGGTCTGCTTTTTACACTACTTCTTGAATAGCCACTGCAGTTATGACGAAGAATCGACTACTGTTGTCAGCAGCTGCATATAGACATATCACAACCTCCCCGAACATCACCCCAAACACGACCCACTCAAACCACCCTGCGTAACCGATGATCATGTTAAAAATGCCGACCACGACTAAGAGCATGAAGAGCAGAATGGGGACCAAAAAGAGCGCGTTCGCGTCCTTTAACGCGTCCACCCTGCGCTGCCACCCGGAGGCCGTGGCGAGCAGGATAAAGCTGGTGGCGCTGGAACTCAAATCCTTCCAGTTGTTCCGTACCACGGCATCGTACGCCTCCTCGTTTTTCCCGACTAGCTCTACCATCAGCACCGCGAAGACGAACACCGTGACGGCAATGAGAAAAATCGCCCAGAACAGCGTCCGGAACGAGATCTGCAGGCCCGTGACGAGCCGGGCGACGGACTTGAGTAGCTTGAAAACGCGGACAAGCCGGGCAAGACGGAAAATACGGAAGGCGCGGAAAATCGTCAGGTTGCCGGCGCCTGACGAACAAGATGGTAAAACAGAGTAGTACGATGGGAGACTTATGGGGTCTGCTGCTGTAGACGACAGAAGACATCATCACAACACAGAAAGCATTTCTCCGCACCACATCTTCTCAAGGCACAAATGAAATTTGAGTACGAAGAACAAATAATCCAATATACCATCCACCTCGGTCAGTGCGAACTTGAAGATGAAGAGGTCAAACCCCGTTATCGCTAGCAGCAAAATATCGATGATCATCCAGCTGTCAAGTGCAAAAATGTCTGGGTCTGGAAGAATGCGGACTTGTCATGCATATTTTGTATGATGATTGATGCCTCTAATGCATGATCTAGCATCACTGATTTTTATTGTGCTTCCTAATGCCTATTCCGCATGAGAAATGCCCTCTCCGCGTAACACAAACTGGAGTCCTGTTGCTGGTCATGCAATACAGATTTTTTTGGAATCCAAAAACAGCATCACAAGTTGCAATCTTCCAGACCCAGACATTTTTGCAATCCATACCAGCTATCTTCCGCCAACTTTTGCCAGGACTTCGCCCCGATGAACCGCAGCACCCACTCGACGGAAAACAGCACGAAAAAGAGGCACTTATGCATATGCAAATATCTGCTCTGGGTCTGGGAAATTGCGAGATTTGTCATGCTAGTCAGGCATGACTCTCAACTCTGTATTGCGTGCCCGCAAAGAGCTCCTCTTGCCTGTCATGCAAAAACGCAGTTTCTCATGCGGAGTACGCAACTCTGAACCACGGAAAAACTTGTCATGCTGCGCTGCGCACTACAGTATGCCTGTGCTCACTATTCCCTTCCTTACATCACAACTTTCCAAACCCAGACATTTTTGCAGTTGATAGCACTCGAAGATGTACCAGGACGTGATCGTGGTCGCGTCCTCCTCGTAGTTGTAGCTGTCCTATGGATTGCAAAAATGTCTGGGTCTGGACAGTTGGAACTTGTGATGCTAACTTCGGCCTCTAAAAAAATCTGTATTGCATGATCAGCGCGAGGAGTCTAGTCTGTGCTACGCGGGGAGGGCATTTGTCATGCGGAATAGGCATCAGGAAGCTCTCTAAAAATCTGTGACGCTAGGTCATGCATTACAGTCATTGTGGGTCATGCAAAATATGCATGACAAACCCGGCAACATTCCAGACCCAGACATTTTTGCATTTGATATGTCCTCCAAACCGATAAACAACGCGTTAAAAATGACGAGAAAGCCGAAGACCAGGTCGAAAACCATCCACTCCTGCAGCTCCTCGGCGATTTCCAACTCCTCTGCCAACATGTCGATCTCCTGCGGCGCCATGGAAAGATTCATGTTTTCCAGGTACTGCTTTATGCATTGCAAAAATGTCTGGGTCTGGAATCATGCTGTCTTTGGATTCCAAAAAAATCTGTATTGCGTGGCCAGCAACAGGAGCCCGGTTTGTGTTACGCGGAGAGGGCATTTCTCATGCGGAATAGGCATCAGGAAGCCCTCTAAAAATCTGTGATGCTAGATCATGCATTACATGCATCATCGAGCATACAAAATATGCATCACAAATCCCGGAATCTTCCAGACCCAGACATCTTTGCATTTGATATGCTTCCGCGACATCCGGCTGTGCTTCTCGAAGATGGGCGGCGACCACCGGATCCGGCTTTTCCTTGCCTGCTCCTGCTCGTGGAGCCATTGGGTGATCTCCTTCCCGATCATCTTCGACCGCCGAGGGCCCTGGGTGTTCGCAGTGGCGGACGCCATGGTGCCAGTGCCAGGTGGTGGACGAGTCAGTCCAGCCGCCTCGCTGTCGGTTTTCGGATGGTCGCGCTACGCCGCGTCTAGACCAGCAACGCACGAGCACTGCGGTTGCAGCAGTGGCCAGCCCTTGTCACTCATGAGTCACGTGACCCCGGCCAGAAGTCGTGCCGCGCAAGTGGAAACCGGGCAGGGGCCGCGTGCAACGGCAGATGACATGGTGGTGTGCTTGCCTCGCTGTCGAAATAGGAAATAAAGCCGAAAAGTACACGGGTTGAACAGGTTTGGCGCGTGGTCTCCACTCGTCACATACTGCATGGAAACAGCATAGGCACTCACTCTGCTCTCAACGTGAACAAGAACTTTCCCTGTCCAGCTTATCCGCTCAGCGAAAAGTAAGTTCAATACCCATCACCCTGTAAATCCCTGACCTCTACTGGTGCCTCTAAGTGCCGGCGCTCGGAGTGTCGACGCCCCAGAAAAATGTAAGTAGTGCTATTGAACTTTATTTCAAACTACCAACGCACACAAATCATGTGCGTCGCAGTGTGTTACGTGTTTTTGTAAATTTCTGTTGCGAAAATTCCGTGTAAGATACAAGTGTTTTGTTAGAGTCTGTTGGTCAAACTGTCCATGCAAAAGCACCATTGTTCTTCTTTCCGCGGTTGCATTTCCATATCGGATCCGTTCGCACATCAACCTTGGCGAACGATCCGAAAGCTTTTCAAACAATAGTGACGCAGCTCTTTTGATGTTCAAAACGGCGCTTGCTATAGTGTGAATTATATCGTAAAGTTTTGTTTTCTGTCAACGACAAGGTATAATTCTTCTTGGCATTCGATTCAAAGTCTATTCGCATTCATTCGGAAAGATGAAAGGTGAGCATTGTAATCTGCTATCATAAAGGTTGAAAATAGTAACTCGTTTGTGCAATTGTAATCTGGTCGTATTTAGTGACAATTAGTGTAATCTTTATTCTCAAAAGGCTACAGTCATGGTTCGGATACGTGCTGTTTCCTTACCACGTAGATACCCCGACGAACTCATCTTGCAAGTCCTGCACCTCGGTACATTGTACTCGGTTCTGACGACTTGGTAGATGGTTTTTCTGTGTACATTTGGAATCAGTCGTCGTTTTCACAGGGCGAGCTTTTCGAGGTCTTGCAAGACTGTCTGAATGGTATAGGATCTGAAGCTCGGATTCTTGTCATCAGGTGACAAAATCTCTTTGCTAGAACTCTTCTTGATGTTTATCCATATTACTCATAGAATCTTTTTGTAAAATTTGCATTTTCATTCAAGGTGACAGAAGGCTATCAATTCTGACATTTCCTTATACGACGTTCCTGACCACAGCCTCACAACGGCTTGAAGGCCGAGCCCGAGTCCTTGAACCCGGGTACTAGTCGCCTCATGCGCTCCCCTATGGATTGCAAAAGTGTCTGGGTCTGGAAGGGTGCAACTTGTGATGCTGCATTTGGATTCCAAAAACATCTGTACTGCATGAGCAGCAAAGGGAGTGTCTTTTTGCTACGGGAAGAAGGCATTTGTCATGCGAAATAGGCATCCGGAAGCCCTAAAAAAATCTCTGATGCTAGGGCATGCATCACAGACATCATGGCTCATGCAAAACTTGCATAACAAGTCTCAGAATCTTCCAGACCCAGACATTTTTGCATTTGATATCCCCAAGCTTGCGTTCCGTCGCCATGTCGCGCATCCGCTGCTTACGCGCCAGGATGTCGCGTTCACGGTCTTCTTCGGCCTTTTGCTCCTTGTAAGCCTCGGCCACCGCAGCGGCGGTCTCGTCGCGTCTGAAGAAAATTTTTTCCATATACTTTGTACTTGCGCAGCTCGCATGTTGACAAGAAGGATTTTCTGAATGTCAGGCTCTGTTCTGCATGAGAAGATGATCATGGGCAACAAGAATTATACTCTCTCTGCTTGTTGTAAGCCTCGTCTATCTTGCGTTCCTTCCACTTGATCACCTTCTGCACCTCGCGGTCGTTCTTTTTCTCCTCGATCCTCTTGAACTTGGCGTCGCGCTTCTGCGCGTTCTCGTTCTGCTTGCCTTCTGCCTCCAGCTGTTGCCGCATCTCCGCCTCTATGCATTGCAAAAGCGTCTGGGTCTGGAAGGTTGCAACTTGTAATGCTGTCTTTGAAGTCCAAAAAAATCTGTATTGCATGACCAGCAACGGGAATCCAGTTTGTGTTACGTGGAGAGGGCATTTCTCATGCGGAATAGGCATTAAGAATCCCTCTAAAAATCTGTTATGCTAGATCATGCATTACAGGCCCAGGCGTCATGGATCATACAAAATATGCATGACAAACCTGGCAATGTTCCAGACCCAGACATATTTGCATTTGATAGCCTCGACTGCGTCCATCCGTGCGTCGGACTTGCGTTCCTGCCGAATATTAGGGAAAATCGATCAATTCGGCATGTAGAAAAAACAGCGTAAACCAAGTCTGCCATGCCAGCGGACGTGAGAAACTAAGAAGTAGACAGGATTGAAAATTAAGTACACTAAAAATATACCTTTTTCTTCTTCCCCATGCTGAGCGAGGCGGCGTTTTTCGCATTTTCTTTCTGCGTGGCAAGAGCTTCTAATGCAGCCTTGTTGTCCCTGTGGTGATGATAGATTGTGGGTGGTTGAAACCCAGAAAAAAAAAACTCTTTTTCTATTACACTATGATTCGATGCAGAAGCAGCAAAATGAAAAAAGTACGCTTTTCTCTTCTCGTCCTTCGCTGAGGCTTTTGCCCAGAGGTTTTGCCGGATAACCTGCTGGTCGTGCGCTAACTCCTTTTTTCTCTCCGACCGTGCCTGCTCGGTTCGGGAAATTCCGTCTAGGTAGGACGCACGCTCAGCTTGGAGCCGAATCTGAAAATTTTTGGATTTTACAACAAATTCCAATTTGCCGTGCACAACCAAAGAAAGCAAGCAGCCCTGTGTAAAGAAAATTATCCACATCATCCATGTGATGAAGACGCCGCTTTCATCGAACCACAACAATGCAATACCGCCTTGTGCTCTAGCCTTTCCTCCCTCTTCTCCCAGTTTTCGCCTCTTCTATCTTCCGCTGCCTGGTCCGCCGCGAAGCGCTCCTCGGCAAGCCTGGCTTGCTCCGCCCTCTCGTCCTTCTTTGCTTGTCGCTGCGCCGCAATTTTCCGCGCAGTCTCTTGCCTCTGCTCATCGTGCGCTTTCAGGACTACACGAATTTCCGCGAGCTGATGAGGGGGGAGGTTGAGTTCTTTCATCTTCCAGTTTTTTCGTTTTGAGACAAAGCCATGCAAGCCCTGCATGACAACTGTGGGCAACATCTACTGTGTTTCATATTCCGCATGGCAAATTATGTGAATAAAGACGGAAAATCCAAATGAATAGTACCGATGCAGCATTCCTGGTGTCGTCTTTATCCTTGATGATTCTTTCACGTTTTCGATCCTTGTCTCCATAGTCCTGCTTCAGCACGTTCTCCTGCCTTCGGACCTAGATGGATATCATCATTTTGTGTTGCTAGACAACATCGTCCTGCTGATTATTTTCGTATTTCTTGTTTCGCAATAATCCATCGGCTGTGAAACTGCAATTTTTATTGCATGACACACGACATTATGATTATCCCCAAATTAAGAAAAAAAAAAGTTATACCTCGCAAATTTCGGCGTATCGCACCCTTCGTTCTTCCTCTATTCTTTGTGCGCGCAATTCTGCCTTTCTTCTGTCCATCTCCTGCATCTCCGCGATTTCGGCACAGAAGGCTTCCTTAAACTCGGCTGCCATGCGCAAGATGTTCTCATTCCGTCGTTTCTGTTAATTTGTTGATGGGTAGTGCATACTTAAACACGGTTTGTTCTAAACAACCTGTAATGGGACACCACTTCAGTCGAGAATAAAATAGATCGCTTTATGCAGAACGAGCAACGACCCTTATGCATGAAGATGACAGAATCGATCCTTGTACTATACCGGCAATCTCTCCATTTCCAGCCGTAGCCGCTGCCTGTCTGCGTAATTCATCCTGCCCGTTGGAATTTTGAAATTTCTCGCCTTGTCCGCCACCTGCGGCAAGTCGTCGGTCGGCTCGCACAGCTCCAGTTTTCTTCCGCCTTTGCCATCGGACACGAAGTTTAGTCGCTCGCAGATCCAGTGGTAGCGGCCTTCTCGGTTGTTCGGGTTCATCAGCTCGGCGTTGAACCTTTGTTGAGGTTTGTACTTGTGTAAAAACATGCAGTAAATAAACTGATCACGTTCATAATAGCAAAAGAAGAATCGCTCTACTTCAAGAAGAACTCCAATTCGTACCCGCAAAAAGAAAAACAACAGTCACATCAAAATGCTACCGAAAGTGTGAGTCGAAGTTGACGTAGTCCCATTGTATTCTGCTCACTTTCCCGGTCTCGAAGGAGTACGCTTCGAAGTTGACAAACTTCTTTTCCCTGCTGTCGTGCACGTATGGATGTGTCAGGATCGAAATCGTCAAAGTGGAAATAGTTTGTGATGCATAAAATGTAGGGCACTGGAGGCCTGTCTTGGGGAGCAGGCAAATGAGACCGATTGCAAGCCTGTTTAGGGGTACGCAATGCGCTGCCACAGTAGCATGACAGGAGCAGTCTTCTTTGCCCAAACAGCATGACGGACTGGATTTGGGTGCTCCCGAAATTTGTCATGCGCCACTTGGAAACTGAGGCTCCAACTGACAACGATGTTGCGCATCACAAATTTTTGGCTTTTGTCAATTTCGATTCTGACACCTCCATAGCACGCAGAGGAGGTGTATTTCGTTGTCCAAGATTTTCGACTCCTGGTAGACCACCGGACCGAGGTCCTTGAAGTCCGAAAGCGGCTCCGCGACGGTCACCATTTCGTCTTTGTTTTTCGGTTATTGTTTTATTTGAAAATAACGGGGGTTTTTCTTGCGAAGAGAAGTGTTGGGCTACAACGCTTTTGCTCGTTGAGGTTCGTGGTCTTTTTCAACACGATGCTCGTGGTGCGGCTGTTGTGAAGGGAAGTAGAAGTAGTCCACCTCGGGGTCTTTGCCAGCCACTTGCTCTTCGTTGCTCGTCCGTTGTGATGCGGCGAGTACCTCCTGATGATAGAGTTTACCGCTCGACTGCGCCTGACTGCTGATAGATACCTGGGTTCGCTTGGCAAAAGAGAGAGCGGCGGTACAACCTTGAAGGACTAGGTACCAGAGACCTCCCCGTCGGATTTGATTATTCCACGGTGCAAATCAGAATGTGCTGCTCGTCCCGTCGCGCTCGTAAGTTTACAGCGGAGACGGAGCCACTTTTCGTCGTGCGGTGAACCGTAAGTGAACCGCGCACTGAACCAAGCCGCTTCTTCAGCAAAAAACGACACACGAACTGCGTGTGCTACTGGCTCCTCGTGTGCTTTGCGGTGCGCCAGTAGCCTGCAAAGACTACAGCACCGACTTGCTTCGAGCCAGTAGCCAAGTGAATCTCTCTGGCAATTATACGACGGGTGAAAAAATGGGGTTACCTTGCTATGGGGTGCGCTATTTCGGTACCTTTCTAAACGAATTCGGTGCAGCATCGATAAACCATGGAAAGTCGAAATACCTGTACGAAGACGATATTCAGTTGAGAAAATTTCGTACTTATCTGCAAGACTACCACGACAGTAATCGATCCCCCAACGAGTCGAAGACGATTACTTCTTTCTCTCAACTGCTCACTGTACCACTACCATCGGGAAAAATGATACTGCTCCCAACTCACCACTCCCTCGACACGATTGGGTGGATATCTCAAATCTCTCTGTTGCTCTCACAATTCTCTCCTTCTTGTGACGTAGCGACGCTAGTACGACTTTGATGAAAACTCTGGTCGCGATGGGAGATGGTGACGGGGGAACGATCATACGTACGCGCGTATGTCAGCTTAGGCTCGTACATAATTCACGCCAGGCATGATTCTAAGGTCTATTTGCGTTGTCCACTATCTGAGACAAGACGGTCATTAGGTATCTCTTTCTTGCTTTTCCCTACGAAAAATTTTGCTTCAGTTCTTGCTGCAGTAGCTTGCCGACGAAGAAAGAAATTTTAAAAGAAAATAGCCATCATCGCTCACGGTTTCAATCTACTAAGACCTTAGCGACCGGAAAATTGACATGACTGAAAACAAATCTTTCTTGAAGACAAGGCAAGACCTTTCAACCGTTGACTCAGCTCGCACCACTTCCTCCGCCCGCGCCCCCTTAGTGTCTATCATTTCCCGCACTGCTTCTACTCTCGCCGCTCTACTCTGCCGCAGCTTCTGCCTCACCGCTTTTCTCTTGTTCCTCCTCGATTCCCACGCCTCCTAGTACTCTACTCTGTGGCCAGGTGAAAGCACGGCGCCGAACTGCATTTTCCTCGGCGTTCTGCTCGACAAGGAAAATTTTGTTGTACTGGTCCTGCAAGGACAATCGTCCGGACCCGGTGGATGTGTTGGTCTCGTTACCGCTATTCAACATTCCGTCGCCAAGAGCGCCAAAAGCAGGAGCAGCCGTGGATTGCAGGTTCCAGTCCGCTTGTTCAGGCGCTCCCGGTTGGGGTCTACTCGTAGGATTTATTTCTTCACCATTTTCGTCACCCGCATCTCCACCTCTTCTCAAATTGTTGACTACTCTTTCCACCGCCATTTCGACGATCCGATCCGCGACTCTATCGACCACTCTGTCTACAAGCTCCGCCCTCCCCTCCTCCGGATCATTATTGTTTGGCACCGCTGGCTGGATCTCGGCCACCCGCTGCATCGGCTCCCGTTCTAACTGTCGCCGCGGGCGGAGCAAGTCCTTCACTCGTTTCCACCTACTCGGATCCCTGGCCAAGTAGTGTAATCGCAGCTGCATCATGGACTCGACGAGCGTGTGGGGCGTGAACCCGTTTCCGTCCTCGACGTTGGGGTTCGCTTTGTGCTGCAACAGGATTTTCAACACTTCCTCGTGCCCGGAAAACGCCGCGGCGTGCAAAGCGGACTGCAGCCCGGGCTATCAAGTGTAAAAATGTCTGGGTCTGGAAGAATCATGCTGCTTCAGCATGACACAGAAGGTCTGGCATGGAAGCTCTAGCATCACAGGTTTCGAGAAGCTTCCGCAATGCCGAATCCGCATGACAAATCCCCCATTTTGGTGACAGAAAGTGAGCAGCTTTTGCTGCCTATGCGTCAGAGATTTTTTTGCGTTCTGAAATGCGCATCACAAATTACATCCTTCCAGACCCAGACATTTTTACACTTGATACGGGCGTGGTTTGGTCGATTCCGAAGCGAAATTCGTTCTCCGGGTTCTCCGCCTGGCTGTGTTCCAGGTGTTTTCGCTTCTCCTCGTCCGGGAGGTTTTCGTACAGTTCAAAAATCCAGTTCACGGAGGCCACCTGCCCCGAAACGGCGGCAAGCGACAGCATGGACTCCTCCTTCCGCGCGCGCAACCCGCCGAACGGGCAGACGACCCAGAAGGGCTCGAAGGGGGAGGCGCCGTAGCTGAGGGCGACAGCGGCGGTGTGGCAGTCGCCTGAAGTGGTGGAAGCATGAATGAACTTTTATGGCGGTGGAACCATGTATGTAACTATTCGTGTATATTCAACTCGCATTTATTTCTACCGAATTCTTTCGGAAGTAGAGATGAAGAAGTCTACGACCGAAAAGCAAAGCAAATCAAGTACTTACCGAATCGCAGCGCCTGCGCCAACACCCCCTTGACCAGATTCTGCCCGCCCCACTGCTCGACGTCCGCTGCCTGCTCCGCGGTAAATGGCGCGTGGACGCACAGAGCCTTCGGGCCCTTTCGGTCCTTGCAGATCCGCAGGATGGGTTCTAGCCAGTCCAGCCGCTGAAAGAGCTCGAAGCGGAACTTCGCGCTGCCCTTCAACCGCATGGGCTTTTTTTGCACCTCGAAAAACTCCCGCTTGAACAGCATCCTGACCAAAATGAAAATTTTGTAGAACAACCGGTGCTCGGGCAGCAAGAGACTCGAAAACGCCGAAAAGCGGTTATATTTGCTGAAGAGGAAGAGACGCGCGGTCTTCGTGTTTAAAGTTTGTTGGAAGTGCTTGGACACGCGGGAGTGCGTGACCCAATCTCTGACGTGGAGAAATTGGTAAATCTCGAGGAGAAGATTGTTGTGAAAAATGACGGGGGCGAGCGATAATTTTCTCTTGTTCATCGCAGCAGGAGTTGTTTCGGCGGTCGAATAAATTGAAGTACTAGATGGTGGATCACTGCCGGCACAACTGCTTGATGTGCTGGTAGATGTTGCTACTACAACATATTCGTGATCGGAGCGCGCGGGACTGGAACTATCACTCTCGCTAGTGTCCACCTCGCTTGTGTCCATTTCCTCGTAGCCGTCGAACTTGTGTTTATGCGCCTCCCAGCAAATGTTGCAATGCGTCACCGCTTCGCACAGGCTGGAGGACGGGGAAGAGTCCTGATCCACGTCTGTTGTTCCCTCTCCGCCGGCGCCGTCATCTACTCGAGAATCATTTTCTTTTTCTCCAACATGATCCTCGTCGTCCTCGTCCTCTAACGGCAGCTCCACGGAGAGCACTGGAGGACCTTCTATCCAATTGAAGTGCACCGTGTCGATTTCGACATGCAGTTCGAGATGTTGGCAAAGCGGCCCGCCGATTTCCCAAGTCGAGAAGATTTGCTTCTTCTCGAGAGGGAGAGCGGGTCGTGCAGCTGATGGATTTATTATGCGACGTATACAACCTCTCCACGAATTCCTTAAACACGCACGGCATTTTCTTCTGCTACAGGACCATGATCCGTTGTTCGCCCTCTTACTGGAAGAGCCACCTAAAGACCCTCGAGGAATTTTCTTCTTCACCAACATCACTTTCAATTGTAGATGACACCGAAGGCACTGCTCGACAAAGCCAAAACTGTCCCATTCTATGGTGTTCTTCAGAACCCGTTTTGAGTAGTCGGGAGACAGCGAGCAAAGCGGGATGGCTTTGATTTCTTCCGGATTTCTGATTTCTTCCTCCGGATGCTCGTAGTTGCGGTGCGCTTTGGGAATGATGATCTGCCAATGCTTCGTGTCGACGGGAAAATTCACATCCGAAATATTGCCCTCGACGTAAATGTGGTGTTCCTCGTCTTCCGGAGGCGGAGTTGTAGCACTGACAGGGAACTTATGTTGGGGATTTTGGTTTTGCGCACTGCTGCTGTCGGTTGTTCTCGTAAAACGGCGAAGATTCGTGCACCGACGAGCACAAGCCGCGAGCAGGGCCGCCATCGGGTAGTGGAAACAATCGTGTACTATTTTTCCGCGTGTGTTTTTATTCTCTAGTCCGACAAGGACTCAACTGCAAGACAGTTGTACACTGAGTCGCCCTTGTTGTCTTCAAAAAACCTCACACCTTCAATGGTACAACACTCAAAATACTTAAAAACACATCGAACTACAAACGTACAGGAAAGCGCAGGCATCTGCACACTATTCGCACATAATTTCTGCTGACAAAATCGTGGTAGTTACAGCAGTGGTGTATACTGCATGACGCAGCGACCAACGTCGAACAGGACGAGAGAGCAGCTCACGAACAAGAAACGAGATCTTCGCTTTGCACGACGGGTCGAGGTCGAGGCTTAAGAACCAACCACACAGAGCGACGATTTTCGATTTTACTATTCTCGAGCCTATGATATCCACCTATTGTAAAATCTGTTTTCAATTCATGTAAGACGCACGATCTTCAGTACAATGCGAAAAATGTGGCCACAGTTCTTTCCGTCGCTTTTACAGCGATCATGACAAGAACTTACCACAGAAGATACCACCTTCACACCCACAACAGTCATTCTCCCTTTTGCAGAAACAAGACTTTTTCGTACAAAAATGCAAACACTTTTCCCCCGCCATCACTGCTCCTCCGAAGCGTCGTCCTCCTCCTCCTCAGGCTCCTCTTGCTTGTCGTTATCCTGCAGAGCGCTCAACTTACGCCGAATCCGCTCCGCGTCGGCTTCAAATTTCTGAAACTTCGCCTCGAAGGGATTGATTCTTACCGGCTTCGGTGCAGCAGGGGATGGCAACTTCTGTGAACAACCTGTGGCTTGTTGCACGGCGGGAGCTCCTGCATTCGAAGCTGATGCTTTTGATGTTCCCTCCACAGAATTGTTCCCTAGTACTTCTTTGTGAGGAGCGGGAGATGATCCCTTGTTCTCTGCTTCTTCCCGTCTTTCCGTCAATGCTTCTAGTTCGAACTCGGGCAAGATTCTCGACGGCCGCCGCGAGGGGATTTGCTCCAGAAGTCGCATTTCTTCCGACTTTTCGCCGGACGGGCTGTGGTAGATGAAGATGGAATCGTCCTTTTCCACCGGGGCGAGGTTTGATAGTTGTGCCGAACTGGCTTTATTATTGTTCCCGGTATTAAGATTAACACTGCCACGACGAGGACCCGTTGACAGCGGCTGGGAGCTACCAATAATCGCGCTTCCTCGCCGGCTGCGCTCCGCGCCGGACCGCTTACAACCTTGCTCGCCTGGACTAGTGCTCGCCGGGCCGGTCTCGGCCAGCGTCGCACTCGCGCTGCTCTTCAAGTGGTCTCTAGTTTGATTACTTTCCAGTTTGTTCCTTTCGACGCCCAGCAGTTTGTTTTCCGCGACGGAGCTATTCACGGAACGAATCTCGACCGCGGATGCGCTGCTGGTGATATTATTACAAGGGCTCGACGTTGTACTATTATTTTCAGGGACAAGGTTCATCGTTTTCTTCCCCACGACAGCACCAGCCCCGTCTCCCTTCGCACTGATTCTCTGCGAAGATGAAGGCACCGCTACGGGCTTCACCACCGCGACAGATTTCGTTTCTAACAGCAAAGGAGGCGCGACCACCGTCGGCGCAATCATGTCCCGTTTTGAACAAGACGAATTGAAAGAGTGTCGCTGGCTCCCGCCTTTCGGCGTTTGGACCGCGGGAAGAGTAGTTGTAGCTCCTGACGCAGATGAAGTCGTCCCAGCTACAGAGGAAAGGGCTTTTGTGTTGATAAATGTCATCCCGGTCGTCGTGTCCAATCCGAGCTCCAAGTTCGCGTATTCGAACATCTTCGGCGTCAACACTGGTGGCTGCTCGTCCGACTTGAAGCTGTTTTGCGTGCTGATGGCACTGACGCGCGGACTCCGGCGCATGCTGTTCGCCGCGCTGGTCGGCGAACCAGCGGGCGAGTTCTTTGCTTGGTAACTGTGACTCACACCACTCGAGGAGGCTTTCGAGCCGTTGGCGGACCGATCTTTGGAGCTGTTGTCCTTGCTGGAAAGTAACTGCAGCAGCTCTGCCTTATTTGCAGCTTGCGAAGGGGAGGTAGCTGCAGGCGGCTCAGTTGCAACTACTACGCTTGTAGTTGTACTCAGTGAAGACGCAGCGCCTGGTGCACCAGAAATAACTCCCACACGACTTGTGTTCGCCGCGGTCTCGCTACTTGAAGGGGCCGCAACCAGACCAACTCCTGTTGCCTTCACGAGTGATGGCGCAGCTCCTGCACCGGCAGTACTAGACGCTGTTTCCTCTTTTCGTTTCAAGAAACTACTCATCGAGGTCTGCACCTGCAACGTCTTCGGCGAGAATTTTAACGTCGCCGCACTATTTGACGCGTTCGTTCGGTGGTACCCCGGTGCGCTCAGCCTGCTCGAGGATCCTGTAATATGCTCGACTGTTGCAGCTCCACCTCCAGGGGAGGACGACACCGCCGGGCTCTTCTCCTGTCCACCAGTAGTACTGCTCGCCGTCCCTAAATTTGCGGAGCTCCGGTTCGGGGTGAGTAACGCCAAAACCTGATCCAGCCCTGGCCCGAACAAATGGCTCTTCTTCCCGCGGTGCCGTTTCTGCTCCCTTTTCAATTCTTTCAGAATCCGTTCCTGGATCACCCTAGCGGATTCCCGGGGCCCACGTGGTCCAGTCACCCATTCCGTTGGCCGCGACCGCAACACCTCCTCGACGTGCAGGGTCCGCGGGTCCCTCCGCGAAACGCGCAATTTCATTTTCGTGTTCTCGCTTTTGCTTACGCCAGAATTATTATTCGCTGCGTTCTTAGTGTTCGTGCTCGGACGCCAGGGGGCGCGAGGAGACAGGCCTGCAGCTGTTGTTGCCGCACCACCTCCCTGCGCGGACTTCGGCCGGTTGGTCAGTAAGTCAGTACTGCTTGCGGAATTCTTGTTTTTTTCATCCGGAGCGGCCCCCGCTGGTAACTGCAAGGTAGTTCTCGTGGCAGCTACCGCAGAAGACGGCCGTTGAATTTCGGTTTTGATCGTCAAACTTTGGTGAATAGGGCGTTTGTTGAATGGCTGCAGCTCCGGCTTGATAATCAACGGACCTTCGGACGTGGAAGCAACTGTATTTTTACTCGCTGCTAAGTCGTCGCTTTCCCCCCCATGCGGATTTTCAAATGGATGTGAAAATCTTCCCTTATCGTCAGCCAGTAGTCGGCTCTCCTCATGCAGGCCGCGGCTGCTGTCGTCCGTTGTGCTCAACAACGTCGGAGGGGGTGGAAAAGCTGCAACCATCGCGTTCTGTAAATGCACTGCCGGCGCGGGGGACTTTTCGCTTCCAACATCGTGCTTTGCCTCCACCCCCACCTGCTCTTTCGAAGTTACGCTCGCTCGCCGTAGCTGCTGCACTTGCACGATCTTCAATTCTCGTGTGAAGTCTTCGGTCAAGACCTGCTGCAGAAACGAGCTTCGTCTCCGCCCTCCCGGCACCGGATGAACAGCGGGCTGCAACGGAAGAGAAGCAACAAAATCGGCGCCGGCACCCTCTTCCCCGGCTTGCGAGGAACCGGAATCAACACTCTCTTGACCTGACTCATTTTGCGACACGTCCTCGAGCTCCTCCTTCTCCAGCATAGGAGGTGAGGCAGGCGAGGGCGAAAGACCCGGCGAGGACGGCGACGGTGACGCGGACATGGGAGAGACGAGGCCTGGGCCGCCGAAAGTATGGGATGCGTTTTCACCTTCGTCCGGCGCGTGGTGTGCTTTACCTGGATGAGTCAAGGTTTGATGTTGCCAGTACTTATTTTCAAACCAGAATATCAAACCTGTATCGAGCATAATTGTCACGCATCACGCATCAACACAAAGATCCTTGCCACTTCCTCCAACCTTGCTCGCCATCTGCCGCATCTCCGGTTTTGTTCCCGACGACCAACGCACTCGGTGACCTAGCCACGATGTCGAGAAAGCCCGGCTTCTGAACATTCGGCGAAGCAGCTGCAGCCGTAGCAGCAGATCCGCCAAGATGTAAGCTACCCGTGCCAAGCACGATGTTAGAGCTTCTGGATTTATGAACACCATGCTTCGCCACCGCCAGTTTCGGTTTGTCAGGAAGAAGATTTGTCGGGCTTGCGAGTGTTGTATTTGCAGGCATTACTACTCCTGCGACTTTGTTCGCAGACGACGGTGACGCTGAACCACCCTGCTCGACGTTGCTGCTCCGGCGAGGGATATTGTTTGTTGCTGGACCTAATGCAGCGCCACCGCCCGGCAACGCCCTCGTCGGCGACGCCGCTGCTTTGGGCAGAATCACGACCGGCCCACCCTTGTTCACCACCGAGGCTGATGCTGCGCTCACTTCTGCGCGGTGGGCCACGACGCTGTCAAAGTTTTTCAGCAAGTCTCGGTTGCGCGACGCAAAATCGCCAAGCGGACGCGAACGCTGGCTACCCTGCATTTTCATCTAACTTGCACTGACTGTGGACTTAAACTTCTTAGCCGCCGGGCAAAAGCCCCTACGAGGTATTCCTATTGAAGCGAAGCTGCTGTGCCAGCACCGGCACACAACTAGCGCCCATGTTATGTTGCGCGGCACCGAGAACAAAAAGATCATCTTCACTCAAACGCCTGGTGCGTTGCAGACTCTCGTCACAAGCGCTGCTCAGAACACAGTCATACAGAACACAGTGTATCTTTCCATTGTGCACGAAGATCTGATTCTGAGCCTGCCCCAGTACACGGCAATCGCGGGCGTTTGAGCTTGGATGAAAGAAGTCTTTTCGATACAGTAACAGCACAAAAGTGGTGGGTTCCCCGATCGTCTTGCAGTCGTTCACAAAAATTCTTCACTTTGCCTTCGCAGATGAGATCATGTCCAGTAGCTCTGGGTTCCTCTGCATCAGCGGTAGCATCGCTTCCCTGCACAGCAGTTGCGTCTGGCAATCGAACTTCTCCCTGAAAGAGATTTTTTGTTTTTCCAATCCTCACATGCATCACGACATGGCAATCATGTCATCTTGCGAGCATCAACATGCAGGCAGATTCTCAAACGAAGACACTCTAACCAAGAAGTACCATATGTGCCCAAGCGACAGATTCGTGTACCGCTCCAGCGGTGCCGGTTTTGCCACTTTTGCTGCCTTCGCCTTCGCGAAGGCCTTCATCCAACGAGACACCTCCTTTTTCCCCGCCATATTTTGCTTCTACTTTTCAACTTCGTGCTCTTTGAGGTGTTGTCGTATAAAGAATACGTAATTCGCCAAATCGAATTAAACAAACAAAAGGGTCGTGCACGAACGCCAGACTCGTGACGTTTACGCAGGGTGCCAATGGAGAAGGTGACGCAAGAAAAAACAGCACACTCAGCAACTGTGATCGGCGATAAAGAACACCCTGGGCGGCCCACGTACCGCGAAAGCTGTCGCAGTGCATGTACCTGTAGACTTTGCACTGGATTTATTCGCTCCTGTGTTGGATTATGTATAGTACTTTGTTCGTTCTTTCAACTCAAAAGAAGATCAATGCTGCAGCGCGCAACATCGGTGCTTACAGCATTGTCGTGTGCGTTCGCGCTTTCGTGTCATCTTCCGACAGGAAATATCAAGTCACTAGATTTATTTTGAACTGCATGCTAAACTCCGTCTGCCTCCCCGTCCGCCTCGAAGCACCGCGCGCGCTAATCGCTAGTGCACATCCACGGCGCAGAGCCACAGCGGATAATCAGCTGCGGACTGCAGCTCGATCTGCTGCACCGCCACGCCCTCCTCGCAATTTACCAGCACGTCCTCGAGCCGCGTTTGCATTTCGAACGCCACAAGACTCTCCTTCGCTGGCGGTTGGCTGGTACATGCGGCTGCCGCGAGAGTGTCGAAATCCCTCCCGTCGAACAAGACTCGAAGTCTCTGTGACTTTTCCATCACCGACGACAGCTTTTGCTGCACGGCCCGCGAGTATTTCCAGGGAGTAATGCGCAGAGACTTGATTATTGTTGGCTCTCGGAACTGCAAACGCCACGTTTTCATAGGTTCCGGGCAGTCATGGAATTCGATGCTCTTGCTCAGAAGCTGGGGCTCGGAAACTTGGAGGATATTCGCTGCGTTGTCCGTCAAACTGTGCGGAAGAGTGCTGACTGTAACCTTAGAATTTTTTTTGCAGAATTCGCAACGCAGGGCATGTGCAAGTCGAAGTCCAAGTGTTCCTCACATGCGCGAAAAGCGTCGAAAGCTTTTGTCAAATTACATAAAAAAAAAATCGAAAACAGAACGCCTATACCGTTTTCGACTCGATCTTTTTCCTCCCACTGTCCTCCACTTTTGGCAACGACCTGTTCCACCGCGGCGTCTTCTGCAAGCATCTTTGCTCCAACCGGATACCCGATACTTCTGGCGTGTAAAAGGAGGCTGGGTCGCCGCCGTGGTTCAAATCGATGAACGTGTAGGCGAAACAGAAACGCGGGTTGAGCGTGCTCTTTTTCGCGGAGAATTTCTGCTCCAATAAGGCCCTCAGCATATTCGGGTCGCCGTTCCCGAACTGAAACGTCCACTCTAGGAGCTGGTTGAAGTTGAATTCCTGGCATTTCACTGCGCACTCCTCTTCTGTGACGAAGTTCATGTCCGTCAGAGGTGAGACGAAGGACTTCAGGACTTGCAGCGAGTCCTCGGCGTCTTCGTGGTGGGTTGGTTTTTCTTGTTCTTCGTCGGTATTAGAATCTGATTCTTGATTTTCCAGTCGATGAAATTTCAGAGTGGTAGGAGAAACTTCATCGGAAAAAAACGCTCGAACTGCATCATATGAATGCAGCAAATCACCATCAAGATTCGCTGGAACACCGACCTCCTGGAGGGCGGTAGTCAGTGCTTTCATCGTGACCAGGTCCGTGTTATGTTTCTTTGTCACCTCATACGCCTGCTGCTCAATCGCGTCGAGGAAGCCGGTGACACTGTTCGTCGGATTTTTATACTGAAGAAAGTTCGTGTGGACGTTGGCGTGGGGGAAGGAAAAAACGTCCTCAACCTTTTTCGCGAGTAAACCGGAACCCAGCGGAAACGCATCGGAGACGACCGCCTGCGCACTACCACCGCGGAGAAAGCAGCTGCCGCGAATCGTGTTTAATAGTGCGAGTGGGAGGTCGTTGGCGGTGTAGAAAAAATTGGAGATGAAAAGAGAATCTCTCTTCTGCTCTTCCTGCGTTTTCTCCATTCGTGATTTGACCTCGTGTCGAAAGTCCGATAGTGATTTCGAGAACGTGATGTCGACCGCCAAATGCGCACCGAGCGCTTTGCACTCTTCCGCTGATTCGTACTGCCTCCCGGACAGCAGATTGTCACGCGCGTACGCGGTGGGACAACCGTTGGAGGGGCGATCGGCGATTGGCTCGGTGGCACAGCTAGAGACTGCCTCAGCAGGCTGCACAGGGGTAAGGGTGTCGGTTTGTGTTGATAACGCGGCCACAGCACTTGCACCCGTCGCACCGGCCGAAGAGGCGGCTGCACCTTCTTCCAAGACCGTCGAAAGTTCGGTCGTGGAAAATATCTCCAGCGCCGCAGTAGTACCGCCGCTGCTACTTGTCTTTGTCTGATAACCCCACTCAGAGCAGATTGCCGCAAACGACTCCAGCTTCTTCCTCTCAACGTCTTGCTCTTTCGACGTTTGTTCTTCTAACCTGCGAAAATACGGTGCGAGCAGCGAGTCCCGCACCAAGGTCGGATGCCAGAACCACACGCGGAAAAAGGTCCGGACACTTCGCCGCGCGACAGATCGCTTGTAATCGTTCGGAAGTAGTTCCCGCACCTGCTCCGCCACGAACTCCTTATCACTTCTGTCGCTAGCCACCAACGGCCCCTCCGCTGCGCAGTGCGGTTTCGAGCTGTGATACGCCGTCCCGTCCTGCGCGTAGATCGCGTACTCGTGGCCCAGCTGCCCGACCTTGTCCCGTGGAGAGCTGTACACCGTGGTCATGAAGGCTTGTCTGTCCGACGCGATGTAGTACACGCCGCCGAATAGGTAGTTGTCGGAGTGAACCATCTGGTTGTTCCCGTCGGGCATCTTCATCGCCTTTTCGTCTCCCTCATTTGACTGCTGTATGTGGAACCGGATGAAGCCAGGGGATTGCCTGCTCGTGAAAACCTCCTGCACTAAGCGACGGAGGGCGGCTCTTCTTGCAGCAGAAGTAGTTGTCGACGTCGTTCCGGCACTAGCAATTGTGGGATGCCGCGGTGGTCTAGTGGAGGGCTGCAATGATTCCTCTTTTCCTGCTGCTGCAAACAGTTCCTTTTCTGCAAAATCTTCCGCCAAGTCCACTCTCTGCACGAACTTCTTCTCCACAAAGTGCTCCAGCATTTGTTCAAAAGTCGGCTGGAATTGCGTAAATTCGTCCGGCAGCTCCAGACCCTCGAAAAACGTCCCCCGCGCGTCGCCCGTTTTGGAGAACCCCTCGGGAAGAACGGCCGAGAACTGCAACTGATCCAGGACGAACCCCACCCGCTGGCCGCGCCAGAGCAGCTTGGTCGGGTCCCACGTGTAGGCGGCATTCTGCTCTACTGCTGTTCTAACTAGATGTACGTGCAAGAAGAGAACAGTGATCAGGATTCTTGCGAAATTACTTCGAGCGAACGTGTTGAGCTCTGACTCTCTAGAGAAGAAGCGAATTATCAGGACGCTAAACATTGCGGGCGTGGTGGCTGTGGTAATGCAAAAAGCGACTCCTTTCTAGTAGTGATTGAGTTCGAAAAATTCGTACTTATATTATCGTTGGCGTTTTTAAGACAGTGTTTGTTCTAGCCGGAAGGACGACATTGACATGGAAGATTGAATGATAACACCACACAAACACCGATACTAAACGGTTCCACTTGACCAGCTCGGCGAACACATTTCAGAAATACTGAATGAAACGTCTTTGCGGACTGAAAATTGTTCTTGCCTTTCTTTCTTCATTCAAGCTATAATCCTCCACAAGGCCCGGCTACTTCACCTTCCGATTGCTGTTCAGCCGCAACAATCCATACCACACGGCCGCAACCAAGCACGCAAAATGCTCCTTTGCTGCAAGCACCATCATATCAAATGCAAAAATGTCTGGGTCTGGAAAGTTGTGATGCAGGTCACTGAATAATAAGGACACTGTAATGCGCCGCCGAGCATGACAAGTTTTTTCATGCTTCTGCGTTGCGTATTCCGCATGAGAAACTGCGTGTTTGCATGACAGGCTAGAGGAGCTCTTGGTTGCCACGCAATACAGATCCCAGAGTCATGCCAGAATAGCATGACAAATCTCGCAATCTCCCAGACCCAGACATTTTTACAATCCATACATCACGGCTGCGACACTGGTCGTTCCCCGGTCCAACACCTGAAAAGAGAGCGGCTATCCTGAGTAAAAACGTCCCCATACCAGAGTCAAGGTGAAGAATCTGCTAGAGAAATCGTCCAACTTTGGTTGTTTCGCATGACAAGTTTGTCCTCGTAGTGTGATCCTGAGTAGCTAGCTCAGCAGCATCACAGATTTAGGATAGCGTGTTGATTCTAGCATCACAAATCTCAAAACACGACTAGAAAAAGCTTCTCATGGGGCTTTGCATGAAAAACTTTTTTGGCATGCAAATTTGCATGACAACTCTGGGGTGGGGATGTTTTTACTCGGAATAGCGGCGCGCCCTTCATCAGAAACGTGACTGCGGCCCACTGCATCCCCGCGAAGTTTGCGCAGAATAACGCGACGGTGGTGTCTTGAGAGCAAAAATCCCCCCTCCCCATATCAAAACGGAATTTCTGATGCTGGATTTGTGTACACAAATCAGCTCTGTACTGCAGGAAGGCATTGCCGCCTGATCCCCAGGCCAGGTAGGGGCGTATCGGTCTAGTTCTTCAGCATGGCAGACGGCTCCTCTTTAGGCCCAACAGCATGACAAATCGCTTCCATAATGGGGCGGAAGCTTCTGCCCTTGTCTTCTTGCAAGACAAATGCGATCTGTGACCTCAAATCAGCAACACAAATTTGCGGAAACATACCTTTCCAATATGGGGCGGGGGGATTTTTCCTTCTGATATGCTGAAAGATCTTATCGACACCCAGGTGTGGGGCAGGAACAGCCAAGCTTGCTGTTGGTCACTTGCCAATACCGTGTTGGACAGTTCTTCACGCATAGGCTGTGCTGCGGCAAGTGGTAACGCTGTTGTATCAAGAGCTGCTGCGCCCCCACCATTTTCCAAACTCGTCGTGTCCGCTTGCAGTATCCGTCTTAGCAAGTATTTCCCGTAGTTGTCCTTATCGAACATGGAGGAAACTGTTCGCCAATTCCGCTCCTGCGTCGCCGAAGACCACAGTTCCTGGGCTTGTGTCAGCAGTTTCTCCTGTTCCTGAATCGATAGCAAGTGGCCTTCCGTGAATGGGATCGCGACGAGCAGCAGAATCCAAAAACTTGTCCTCGAAACTAGATGCAGCAATTGCATCGCTGTGACCTCCAGCTGGATCTCCGCACGGTGAATCCACAGGCCGTTCAGCGCCACCAAAAACGCGATTACGACTGTTCTAGTGAGACCCTTCTGACTGGCAAGAGTAAGAAGTAAGTCGGTCAGGAAAGAGGAAAACGAAGTCCTCGACAAAGATGCTGACAGTTGTGTTCCGTCCGTGTTACTATTCTCCTGAGCCGTAGTAGACGACGCAGGTGCACCAGCACCCTCATTCCCCGCTGCTGCCGGCACCATGGTCGCAATCAATGGCACGAGTTGCTGCACAAGCTTCAACACCAACGGGACGCACACAACTGATAACGCCACTAATTCGCAAAACGTCGGGAATTTCAGCCTACTCGCAACGCTTCTCGGTGTCATGTGCGATATCGGTGGTGGTAAATCCAACTCGCCGCTAACGTCCAACAAGTTCCGGCGGCTCCTGGTCTGCGAGACAGAAGAAGACCGGTCTGACTCCTGGTCCGGCGTCTTCACCACAATGTCGATCTTCGGTGACGTTTTGTCGACCGATAGATTGTTCGAAGACTTCCTGCGCGCAACTGGTGTCATCTCCACTTGATCTTGTGCAGATTTATTTCGAGCTGTTCCCGGCCCTCCTGGTTGATTTTCCACATCGACGTCGCGGTCGGTTTTTTTCCCGACGACGTCCGCGCCTCCGCCGCCGGGGACCAGCATCGCCGTCTCCTCCATCGTTGTTTCATCCGCTCCTTCTTTCCTCCCGCAGCACAGCTTGCAGAAAAACTGAAAGGGGCAGGATACTATGCGGTACACCACGTGGAGAATCAGAAACACGGTTCTCCCGCCGCAGTACACCACCCGGAACGCGTGGTAGATGGTCAGAATCGCGGCGGAGAGCGTGCCGACGGCGACGTCGCATAATCGGGGAAGGAGGACGTAGAGAAGAAACAACCCCGTTCGGCAGACCCAACTCCGGTCCCGCAGTCGCTTGTGCGCGCTGCCGATCCCGATCTGGGGCAAGTTGCTGTCCTCCAAATACTCGTCGCGGCCGGTGAAGATGGTCTGGAGGAAAATCGTGCAGGGGATCACGAGGATGGGGAGCAGCGTCGCTTCGAATTCGTCTACTGAGCTTGGTGGACCTTCAGCTGCTGCTGTAGATGGATCGATTCCTAGTACCGTAGCTGCTGCTGTTCCACTAGATAATTTTCCCGCCAACCCCACCACCGTGCAGGCCACGATCGCTTGCGTGACACTCAAAACCAACACCCGCCGCAGCGGCACATCTGCTGCGGGATTGAAACATTTAAGTAGCGCGAGACCCTCGAGGGAGATCCACAGAAGGAGCGTGCCGAGTGTCGTCAACGCCACGGGCCAATCGAAGCCACTGTCGGCGCAGAGTCTCTTCAGGGCGTGTAAGTTGTGCGAGCAAAAGGCATAGGTGGCGCCCGAGAAGAGCAGAAGAGAAAACGACAAACCTGAATTCTTGTTATTTCCCGCCATGGTTTCTTGTTAAGGACAAAGCGATGCCAGGCCTCCTCTGGTGGAGGACTTTGACATGCGAAGCAAGTAAGAAGTAGAGCTGCATTATTGACAAACGTTTGTCTTAAGTACCCGCTCGACTCGCAGAAATGTAGGCTTGCAACAACGCCACGAAAGAACCCAAAACAGCATTGTGCTTCATGATTCTGCCTTCACGGCGTCGTAGTTTCTTCACTGTCAGTTAAAAAAATAGTTCGAAAAGGCGCTGCGACAATCTTCAGCGGTTCTTCCTGTCAAAAGCATTTGCTTTGCGAAAACTAGTATTCTCGAGCGTCAATTTGAAAATTAGATAACTGCAAAAGCCAGGGAGACTTCCAAAAAACAAAAGTTTAGCAGACCACAAGACAAAAACAACTGCCAGCGTTATCCAATTGCAATACTACATCGAAAATAAGGTTTTGCAAAATAAAAAATAAACGATTCCCCTGCGGTAGCAGCTTTCATTGTTTCAGAAATAGTGCACTCTGGCCAAGCTTTACGTGCGTTTTTGATACATGTATCTTCTACTTTTTTAATTTGACATTTACAGCGGTACTTAAGCTTGACTCGAAAATAAATTTGGGTTCATTCTCAGGATTTTGCTATAATGACAACTCGCTAGGTTCGGGAAAAGGAGCTGCAAATGCAAAATTTCAATCTCTACAAAATCTTTGCTACTCGAAAGGCCTGCACGTTCATCCCAATTTTTTCACCGAGACACACCCACACCAGTTACATCGCTGTTCTCCCGCTTACTGCCAGCCCCGCAGACCACCGGCGCCCCGCTTCGCGAGGTATTTCTCCTCGTTTTTGTCGAAGTTGTACGGCATCTTCGCTGCGGACACACTCGTGCTGCGCTCCCGCTGCTGCTGCTTCTTCGCCGCGATTAACGCGTGCTTCGGCACCCACTGCCGCTGGTCCTTCTTGGTTTGGTAGTGGTCCCGGCTCTGCTGCTTTCGAAACCGGTTGGAAGCGACGGAGTCCGCTCGGGTGTCGGATTTTCCGTTGGAATTCATGGCAAACAAGTCGTTCGAGGAAGACCCGGTGGAGGTTAGTCGCTGGAAGTTGTCCAACGGCTGCAGTTGTTCCACTGCCGGAACTACATCACCCGCATTGGCTTGCAGCTTATCCTGCTCCACCCCGGTCGGCTTCAGTGGCGGACTCGCCGAGGTCGAGTAGTCCGATTCGGCAAGCCGCTCTGCCAGCGCCTTGTGGTATGCGGCTACCGCCTCCAAGCCCGCTTGCAGCATGTCCTTGTGATGCTTCCTCTCGTCCGCCAGGCTGGGGACCAGACTCGCGGCGCGCTTCTCGGCCAGCTGTTGCTTTTCTTGCTCCGCTGTCACGGAGGTTGTAGTGTCGTCGTTGGCGAGGGATTTCTCCTCCGATGCGTCGTACGCGGTGGGGACTTGGCCTGTAAATATGGGCGAAACGGTTGATGCAAAATGTAAATGACAGACGGCTTGCTTAAATAAGTACTGAAGTATGTAGCGTCTCCCTTTAGAAGCTCCTGCGACAAGAAGCGCCTCCCTAGAATAGCGTCTCGCTACCTCGCTTGAGCAGTAGTGCACCACAGTAGCGCCTCGCCTAAGTAGTGCGCGCCTCTCCTAAGTGGTGCGTCGCCTAAATATCTGCTTCACCTGAGTGGCGCCTCTCTTACGTAGTGCCTCTGTTAAGTAGTGCCTCGCCTAAGTAGTGCCATGGATCCTCGCCGAAATAGTGCCTCGCATAAGGAGCGCCTGGCCTAAGTAGTGCCCCGCCCAAGCACTGGCGCTAAGTGCTTCGCCTAAGTGCCTCGCTTAAGTGCTTCGCCTAATTGCGTCGAGAAAATGCTTCCCGCTTAAGTGCTTCGCGCTTAGGTGCTTCGCTTACGTGCTTCACGTAAGTGGTTCGCTTGAGTGCTTCGCTTAAGTGCTTCGCGTAAGTGCTTCGCCTAAGTGCTTCGCGTAAGTGCTTCGCGTAAGTGCTTCGCTTAAGTGCTTCGCTTAAGTGCTTCGCTTAAGTGCTTCGCTTCAGTGCTTCGCTTAAGTGCTTCGCTTAAGTGCTCGCTTAAGTGCTTCGCTTAAGTGCTTCGCCTAAGTGCTTCGCTTAAGTGCTTCGCTTAAGTGCTTCGCTTAAGTGTTTCGCCTAAGTCCTTCGCCTAAGCTAAGTGCTTCGCTTAAATGCTTCGCACTTTGTGACGCGCTTAAGTAGTACGCTTCCGCTTCGGTGGTGCCCTTAAGTAGTTCACTTAAGCAGTCCGCTTAAGTAGTGCGCTTAGGTGGTGCGCTTAAGTAATCCGCTTAAGTAGTGCGGACAAGTGCTCCGCTTAAGTAGTGCGCTTGAGTACTCCACTTAAGTAGTGCGTCCCAGCGCATGGCCTAATCTCTGCACCAGGGTAAAGTGCCACTTAGTTCGCACTATGATTCACACGACGGGGCAGTAATCTCACATCATTACAGTTATAATTCCAACACCAAAAACGATCTTTTACGTGGCCTCCAGGTTTTCTTCTCCATATCTTTCCCGCGCCCTCGTCCCACGACACTTGGCGTCCGCTTGGCCACCTTCGCATCCAAACGTTTCTCGTCCCTTCGTCGCACCGATTCGTCCCGTTCCTCCTGCATCTTTTGCCGTAAGGTGTCGCACGAAGCCGCCCGGATGTCGGCTTTGCCGTGGAAGGCGCGTAGGCTTGCTGTATCGCCGTGCAGGGCTTCTGTAAGCGAGTGGAGTTTTTTTATGAACGAATCTCAAAGACGCATTTTGCTTAGGACTCTATCGCGAAACAGAAAATCGGGTGCAACATATCTTCCAAAATCGTTTCCATACCTGCTTGCGCGTGCGGTGTATTCGAGTCGACTTCTGGCGCAGTCGTCGGTCTGTGTTCCTCCACGCGGGCCAGATAGGGCACCGTCGGTGTCTGCAGCGTGGCGCCGAACTAGAAATTTGTTGATTTTTTGCCATAGTAACGGGAAAAAAAAACTGAGGCAGCTCGAACGGTGTGCGATGCAAAAAAGCAGAGCTACGTCTGCGTCTAGCTTCATTTCCCAAACAGACCGATACCGATGGGAGAAAGCGCACATCTTCCTTCTTCTGCGGCTCCGCGATTTCCTTGTCTCGCGACAAGCGCTTCGGCTTCTTCGAGGCAGACGCCGCGTGAACTTTGAGACCCGTCTTCTGCGAAGTTTTCGGCACGAACAGCGACTGGCCGGTCTAAAAGATTTAGGGTGTTTTTGTACTAGTGCAGAATGATCGATAAATTATTTCCTACATGCGCATATGACCACTTCTCGTTCTCGCTAGTAGTGAAACAAAAATCTTCCAAGTACCGATGGCAGCAGGCGGAAACTCCTTTTCTCCGGAACAGCAGCGCCAGAGTGCTCCTTCTCCTGCAAGTTCATCTGGGCCAGCTCCCGGGCCAGCTTGTCTTCTTCCGTCATTCCGAAGATCGCATCAAACAACTCGTTATCCTGTGCAAACCTATCGTATTCGTATAAATGCAAGACTTGCATTACAAATCTTTTTTTTTAGGTAAATCCGGATTACAGATTTCTCATGCTCAGGAAATTTGTAATGCATTCATACGAGTACGATACTTTTGCTATGCATACTCGTCTGCGCGTTCTTCGTCAAACATGTCACTAGTCTGCGTCTCCTCCTCCTCGCCCTCCTGTTCCTGGCCGAAGATGGCGTCAAACAGCTCGTCCGCTCGGTTTTCGTCGAACATGTCCTCACTTTCGGACGCGGAGCCCTCCGCTTCCTCCTGCTGGTTCGATGGAGTTGCAGCACTAGAAGTGGCACCAGCGGGGTGGTCTTCCGTTTTTTTCTTCTTATTCCCGAACACCTCGTGAAACAGCAAATCCGCCCGGTCCTCGTCAAAGATGTCGTCCTCGTGCCGCGCGAGGTTGGTTTGTTGTTCCATGGTTGCTTTCTTCGAGGGAGCGGAAGTCTTGTTCACCTTCGCTTTTCTCTTCAGCCCCTTGGAAGAAAAAGAGGATGCGGGCTTTTGAGCAGAACTTGGACTTGCTTGTTCCGCCGTGTAGTGATCACCGTACATAACTTGGTGAAACAGCTCGTCCGCTCGGTCTTCATCGAAAAGTTGACTAGCAGCCTCATCCTCATCAAACAAGGGCCGCAAGTCCGCGGGCTCTTCTTCTTCTTCCTCCGCGGGCTCTTTTTCTTCTTCCTCCTTTTCCTCGTCGAAAAGGGGTCGGACGTTGCCCGCATCCTCCTCTTGCTCGGTGTTGAACCCGAAGGTTTTTTTCGCACCCGTATACGGCGTTCCGAAAGGTGTATTGAGCAAATGACTTCGGGTCGTGCCATCCCCATTTGCCGGCGTTGCGGTGGAGGCGACCGAGTTGGTACGCTGCACCAGGATGGGGTTGACGATCTTCGGTTTGCTGGGAGAAGCGGCAGTGGGGGAAGGTATTTTCCCGGCGGACGGTTGATGATCATGATCCCCTGCCGTGACAAAATCATCTCCTTCCAGGTTCATAGGCGCATCGTCGACAAAAGACCAGTCCGCGGGAAGATCCGGCACCTGCCGCGTGTCCGCGCCCTTTACGTCCACCCACGGGGCCTGGTATTTGTTATTTAGGAATGTCGCGTCAGCGTTTATTTTCAGAGAGAAACGACACCGCACACAGATGGGCGGGTGCGCAAAACAACTTGATAAACGAAACGCGGATTCATTGTGGCAAGAGCAATGCAGCTTCACCGAACAATTCTTGAAAAGCAAAAACAACATACCGCATCCGCCCCGCCCTGATGTTCCTCTTGTGCCGGTGCCGCAACTCCACTACCCCGCACAACAGCAAGCAACAAGGACGCGCTGCGCAACAACATTTGTCTTTCTGACGAGTTTGATGAATATTTCGTATACAATGCTCAGAAGTGCAGCCGAGAAGCGGTGACGGCAAAGATATCGTGAGTGGTCTTGCAGTGCTATAAATTACGCAGCCGCCGCTAAAAGTAGAATTCTTGTAAACAATGTTGAGCAGTTTGCATGATTGGAGCGGAGAACAACAGGATCATCTTCTGGAAGAAACAAAAAATACGTCGAAAAGGAGCGCTCGTAGCCCGATTGATAAAAAGGAAGATCCGCTTCAAAAATAATGCGCCGCTTTGTTCAAGGGCGGTAAAAGCAATTTAGGTTTGGATGAGCTCGGTTGGATCTGTACGCGCCGCTTCAGGGCTTCCAGGATCTTCGAGCACAAGCCTTCCGCGAAAAATAAAAATAAACACCGCTGAACTGCTGCCGTCCCTAGACGTGCGGAGATGGCGCAAGAGCTAGGGGACCGCAGTTGATTTCTAACAACAGCGGAGGCCGGAGAAGTACCTGTGCAGCAGAAGAGAACAAGTTCCGGCAATGATGATGCGCGGACCACCTTGATGGCTGCGTCGTGCGGAGACGTTGGTCGCCCCGCGCGCCGGATTCTCCCAGAAGACCCGGGCGAACTAACCCGACCGCGAGATCGGGCGGCGGGCCGGAACCACGGAGAATTCGTATCGGCGTTGCGCATGAGGCTGCGGAAAAAGGCGACGCGCCGAACAAGAGCACGCTTGGCCCCCTCCCCGCGCGGCCGCGCACCCTCGGCGCCCCACTGCCGCGCGGCATCCTCGTGCGCGTAGTAAAAAGGGGCGGGGCTGCAGTGGCAAGTCGCGGCACGGGCCCCCTCCCCTGTCTGAGCAGTCGCTTCGTCACGGACGGGCTTCTCGCTTGCATAGTTCACCTCCCGACGCCCGAGGAGGCCACTTGAAGTCGCGATATCAGGCGCGCAGGGGGGCAGCAGGGTCGCCCGAGGCGGGCCAATGGGGGGGGGGTGTGTGTGTTTTAGGGGGTAGTGCAAGGGGGGCGGGGGGGGGGGGGGGGGC